TTCCTAAAGACCTTCAACGTCCCTTAGAAGCTATTTTATTTATCAAAAGCTGCTCAAAAATAAAACGACCCAGTCAAAACATTTAGTAAATGTCATTGTTAACTCGCTGAGCGTGGGGGTCCATCTGAAGGGCAGAGACATTCCAAGACTCTCCGGGACACTTTTTGGTCAAGCAAGAAAAAAAAAAACATGTTGGTACTCACAGATGTTTCCTTTCAGTATCAACTCATTTGCTTTTCAAATGCCAGTGTTAATGAGAAAAGTCCATCAATTCAGCAAAGATTTTATTAAATGACTTGGGGGGAAAAAAAGGGGTTATGCAGTTTCTATGCACGACTAAAGCAATGAGGAGATTCTCAGAATGAAGCATTTTGAGGAGCAACTGATCATTCTGGTAAAGTTGAATGTTCATTGATGCAATTGTGCAAACGACGGCTCCTCCTGCAGAGACACTGTGATGTTGTATATAGACAGTAAATTAATGATTGCTGAATCAATATGATCCAGATCAATATGATTTAATAGTCTTTGGCACATCCTTTCAATCGTATATGTGTGTGTGTGTGTATGTGTCGTTTCAAATCATTTTACTTAAAAACTGTGAATGAAGCCAAAGGAAATACATTTGACTTCACGAGATACCATCAAAACTCCTGAATGGGTCACTAAAGCTCCGATTAATTCATTACCAATTGCAAATCTGTCACTCACATCCCCTCTCAATTCCTCCCGTGGGTGTCGAAAGACGTACTTTAAATTTGGAAAAAGTAGTCAGGCTGAGCTGCCCGGCCCCAATAAGTAGGGCAACACTCCCATATCGAATACCATTCACACATGCAAGAGGATGCCGGGACGTCCAGGAGAGCCGGACCAATACTATCGTCTGGTACCAGGCTCCTGGGATCGGTCCTGCAGGGCGGGAACGAGCATGTGAGCACATCGCTGCTGTGACCAGGACTTTGCAGTTTACAGCAGCGCAGCTGTGCAGATATGGATGCAGTTACACACAGTGGTTCAGCTGTAAAAACCACCTTCAGCACACACACACACACTGTACCTTTGTTATAACTGTGTGTGCTCTGCTTTATGGTCTCAAGAAAGTAGGCCAGTGGCATAAACCAGTCGGGGAGCGACTGAAATGGGAGTTAAGCTGGTCCAGCTAACAGCAGAGTTCTACACTTGAAGCACGGCAGGAGGGACGCGCATGCTTGTTTGATGCCATTGACACATGCAGCCCGATCATTTAGCCCGACAGGGCTGGGATGGATCCATCCCCTCCCTCATTAATCTACACAAACACACTCGGCCGAGCCCTCCGCCCCGTCCGCACAGCGACGCTTTCCTTCTGCATTCACCCTTTGATGTGTGTCACCTCGCGTTAATCGTGTCTACTTTTAGCTGTGTGGGTTGTTTCATGGCCTGTGGCGATGTTTGGTGTGGTGCAGAGTCTGGGCGAGGCTCTGCTATTACCGCGTGTTAATGCGAGTGTGTTGTGCCGGCATCCCACACTGAAAAATGCCACTTTTAGCTGAATAAATCAAGGGGGCTTCTTCTTGCAAATGGAAAGAAATGACGCGATAGAAAAAAACGCTCTTCCTCAAATCGATACACTCAGGTTTTTTTGCTGCTAGACTGACTCACATCCGCTTTGACCGACACTAATGTGTCGCGCAGAAAGGTCGACCAATGCGAAATAAAATGCCATTTTATTAAACATGCCTTCTCTAAATGTTCCTTTGATGCTGCCACAAATGGCTTAATTATGACAGGAAGTATTTGCACTGCAAATTCGAAGAATTTTTTAACCTTCGCAAGACCTCATTTATCTTGTGGTGCACTCTGCATCTTCTTTCCGCTTGCTGTTTGTGGTTTAAGTTGTTTCCATTCAAACTTTGGTTAGTGGTTTGGTGTGTGATGCGTTTCATTTGCAGCAGGCGTTATCAATTGAGAAACATCTGTGAATATGAATGTGCACACTTTACTACTATCTGGGACAAAGCATATTTTAGAACCAAAACAGGTATCACAAAGGCTTTAAAGTGCTCACTTTGTTTTAATGAGAAGTATCAGTGAATAAGCCCGTCTTTGTTCAAAAGGGGAAGCATGGTGACGATATGAAACGCGACATGGCGCGCTCAGCAGAAGATACGATGAGACACTGTTTGAAGTTCTTGGGTTTGATGCGTATCCCCGAAGGCAGCGGTTCACCTTTAAGCACCACATGCCAAATGACAACTGAGGATTTACTCGCTGCTACACACACAGCTATTTATTTTTCCTTGTCTTTTTGTTTGCGTGTGTGTGCCGGACAGAAATAACTTGGCTTGTGGCTGGTGTTTTTTATTTCAGCAGTCAGCATCAAAGTTGCACAGATGGTGAAGGCCTCGAGGGGGTGGATGGGGGGGGAGTGATCAAGAGATAACCTGGACGGTCCTCTCTCGTGGCTCCCCCTGGTGGCGTGGGGATGCATGGAGTCCCTTGCTGCCACAGAGCTGATTTACATTTTTAACACTCCCATCCAGTGCGATTTACAGTCAGCGAACTGTTCAAGGACGCCGCGGCTCAGCCCGCAGCCATAAACCCAAGGTCACTTGTCACGCTCTAAAATGAAGAGGTTTTTTGTTTTTTTTGTTTGGAGTATGAAGTTGAATCATAAATTTGTTCCTGTGAGACTCATGTGGCATTTCACTAAAGGGGGGCAGGAGGGGGGTCAGTGCACAGAGGCAGACGTTCAGTGTCCTGGTCAAGGGCACTTTGACAGGGAGGGCACGTGGATGTCAAAGGGCTGATGACGTCACTGCAGTGAACAAAGGAACGGCGGCATTGCGACTTTTGCGCTTACAAGCGGATAGTTGATTTGACTTAATTCTGTTATTTTTAAACTACTGTTGTGTTCAAAATGAAGAAACGCTAGACGGACATCGCAGATCGAAAGGTTAAAAACAAAAGTATTTAATAAAAGAAAAGGTGTTGTGGTAAAAAGAGCATCTCAGCTTTGCAACCAACAGACCCCAGGGCCCTTTAACCCCCCATTGTGCCCGTCTGTTGCCTCCACCAGCGAACTCCAGAACAATGGTTGGGTATTTATACAGATGCGTAAAGGTGTGGAAGTTAGTGTCCACACCTCTGGGAGTGGTCCTCTGCTGAGATCAATGTCACTCGGATTTCGAACGTCTCCGTCAATAGTTATTGTGCAAATATTACATGCATGCATTCCAGCTGATTACATTACATACAATCATAGCTGTACATTGGTATTATTCTATGGATAACAGTTTCAAAATTACAGTGGTTTTACAATATTGTCATTACTTTATTGATTACACAGTTTCAGAATCATGGCTGTATTCTGGTGTTCACTATATGCCTTTTATTAATTTATGAACCGGGTCGTCAGTTTATTTCTAATATCCTACACGTCATCAGGTGAAGCCTGATTCTGATCTTATTGGCCATCTTGTTGTATTAAGTTTTAAGTTCAAATAGTCTCCAGAGTAAAAGCTCTCTGCTCCGGTTTGACACACACCAAAAGGAGCATCAATACTGAAAACATGTTTGCACGCAGCGCACTCCACTTGTGTTTAACGTTAATTCTTGCTTCCAAAAGCGACGCGTAGACAATTACAATTACTCGCGGCAGTCACAGTAAATCACGGAAAAGCATGACAATAAAACACCAGAAGATGTGCATTCAAATTGGCCGAGGAAAAAAGGGGCCACGTCAGCGTTTTTAGGGTCTGCTGAGTTCCAAGAAGCCACGCGGTCTTGCAGCTCCAGTTGTTCGGGCCACAAACAAACGCCCTTCACTTCCCAGACGGCATGGAGCGATATTTGCAAAACTTTTCATGAATCGCAGCTTTCATCCGGAGCAGGTGGAGGCAACGGCACAAACCTTTCCCGGCGCCAGGGTGCTCGAACGCACTCCCATCTCCACCTGACTTCAATGCAAGAGCAGCGGGACTGATCATCAGAGGAGACCGACTGAGCTGTGATCCAAACACACCCGCGTTCTGCGCCTCCACAACAAAAGCCCAAAGAGCGCGTGCGTATCGGAGGAGAACCAACGGCGGCGGCGCTCTGTGCGCACGGGCACCGTGCGTAATTAGCACTGTAGACGCACAGTGAGCGGGAATGTGCACTGCAAACGGCGCTGTGATGCGCAGGAGCAGCAGAAGAACTGACGGTTTGCGTGGTCCGACTTTCTGTCAACATGCACGAGGTGGTCCTGGAAAAACAGATCCGAGTGTTTGAGGAGAATGAGCTCATTTTGAAAGCGGAGGCAGAATAAGGGATGATTGTGCATTGTGCTGTGAATAGTCTACACAAGTGACTTCCACGCTGGCAGAAATGTAACGATGCGCCGGATTTGTTTGAGCAGTACAGTTCGCCAAAGTTCTGCAAAAACTTTGTTATTATTGGAGGAAATATGAGTTTGGTGCCATTCTGTGCAAATCCCTCCTGAGGAGCGAAGATACTGAATAAACGTGCTTGCAGCTTCTCGCATGAATATTCAACAAGTGTATGAACAACGTACATGCATTCGTTTTCTGAAAAACAAACTCATTTTTCTATGCAGTAGTGTTCCCGATGTTTGGGTGGAGTTGCCAGATGTGCTGTGTGTTTGTTCATGTTGGTTTTCAAAATGGAGGTTCAGTTTATGTCTTTTGATTTTAAAGGATTGTATCATACTGACTGCTGGAAATCTTAAGGAAGAATTCGAAATGCTGCAGCTTTTCAATGTGACTCTCAAAGCAGTAAATAGATTTTACAGCAGCAGGATGGCGCACGTGCAATCGCCTCCAACAAACCCCAGAGCTCACGTTCATGTTAATAATGTTCCACAGAGCAAATGTGTAGCTAAATGATGTGTTTTTATTAGATATCAATGGCGTTGTATGGCTCAGGGGAAATGAGATGTCACGTTTTAGTTGCTGCAGTTCCATCAGGATTTGTTGATACTAATAAACATTTTTAAAAAAAACACACACCAGACACACCAGTCTTATCCATGAAATTCCATATGAAAAGACGATTTATTGAATAATAATGGCATTGAAATTGATTGGTGTAACCCGAACAATCCATTAACACGTTTAAAATGAAGCACAAACATTCTAAATCAATAACTACAAAATCTGTAAAAGTAAGACCGGCGTCCCATTTTACAAACGTGCCGTCCACGACCCAGTGCGGACAGCACGTTGTTACATTGTGCTTTTTCCCCACAGAAATCTTGGCGGATGAAGTCTTTGCGCTGACATCAGTCACGCGAGGGTTTGATTATTTCAATTAGAGCATTCCATTGATTTAAAGCTTTCCATTGATAAGCGCCTATATCCATTAGTGGGATCTCCCTCCCTAGTTAGCAGAGCCTTAAATCGGAGCGCCAACCTTTTTCCTAATCGAGAGGAAGTGTCGTAAAACGCCTCTGTAAACACGAGGCGCTGAATAAATACTTTCATGTACATAAAAGACCACCAATATGGATCATTTCTTCTTCTATAAATGTCACCTCCCCTGTCCGTCACCAACGGGTGAAACACAAATATAACGGCAGCACATCAATGGCCGCTTGTCAAGGTAGTGTTGATAACTTTTGATGATAAATGGAAGATGGGAGGTGAGCTTGGTCTGGAGCTATGGATCACTGAACCTGTCTACGCTGATGCATGACCACAGCTTCAGAAGTCATAGCAGCACAATACATGTGGGCTTAGTGTTTGGTGAGAGGAGGGGAGGGAGGGGGGGGGGGGTTTGATCATGAAAACATGCTTCAGTATCATCACGTAGGTTCTGTGATTATGCACATTGGCCCCCTCCCTTGAGATACATACTTCTTTCTAGTAAAGTAAGACATTTATAACATCCCCATAGGAGACATTTCGCTCATTTGAAGCGGACTGCATGAGGCGCTGGGGTACGGCAGCGCTGCTGGGAGTGACACTTTGTGCAGTCAGTCTTGCTCGGCGGGGTGTTGGATCACGTCTGTCAGCTGTTTGCTTGTGTCAGTGGATCCATGCAAGACAGTCGCAGGCTGCAGTCTGTAGTATCTGCCATCATCTGGGTCTCCCTCTGGGTGCCTGATGCTGGAGAGACACAACAAGCCCTTCATTGCCAACGTGTCTCGCAGAAGAAGACAAAAGCCGACACGTACATTTTTTTAAAAGCAACCGTGTCTGAAACACTTGTGACTAAATACATATTTATGGCACCACGAAGACTGTCAATTGTAAAAAAAAAAAAGAAAAGAAAAGAAAAGAAAAATGCATCATCCGTTTACAAGAACCCGTCAAGCGTCCATCCAGAAAACTCACACTCCTGACAAAGAAACATATTGTCGAGGTGACACGAGAGCACAATGTACACATGAAGCATTACATGACACATTTGAGGGTCTGTGTTATCAATAAACACGTGGCTACTTTGTCCGGTCTCACCCACCTTCTGTGGTTGGGGGGCGCGGGGTTGTTGCCCCCGTCCGCCATCCCCGGGACGGCGGTGTTGGTCGGCGGGCCGCAGACGGACTCGTGCGGGCCGCTGAGCCACCGGTACGTTAACAGGGGGTCTCGCGGGCTGAGCGCCTCTGGCAGGTGATCTGTGCTGGTTCTTCTTGGGGAGGGTCTGGAACTGCGCGAGGGGGATCGCCGGGGGAGGCGTCGGCGCGTGGCGAGCAGCGAGGACCCGTGCCTGCTCTTCGGAATGAAGCAGAGCCGCCTGGGTCTGTTGCCTCCGACTCTGAAACACTTGAGCCCCCTTGGTGTGGGCTGTGAGGGCAGCCTGGGTCAGATCGCCCGGATTACGCCGGGCAGAGGAGTGCGGGACTGGAGCCGTGCCTCCTTGGCCGGGCCGATTGGCGCCGTTTGTGACAAGTTGTGTCTGTTTGCCCGGGCCTTGCGGTGCCGTTTGGACCGGCGCGGCTCTGTGTTGCTGGGCCATGTGTGCCTGTGCAAGGTGATTAGGATCAGCCAAAGCTCTTGAATCCGCAGCCCGCGGCGTAGTCGGCCCCTGTTGTGTCCCCGGTCCTTGTGGCAGAGCAGAGCGGCTCACGACGGGCAGCGCCTGGGGGTTATTGTCGTGCGTGGCTTCCTGCCCGGGGGCGCTCTGGCCACCAGACGAGCCTCTGATGTCTCGCTGAGCGCCCTCCCTTTGTGTGTGGCCGCCTCTCTGTGTGTGGTGCTCAGCCTCAAACCGTGTTACACCGCGACCACTCGGGCCTTGAACATCGGCCGAGCGGCTCCGCGTCCGTCTGTCCGTTGGCGGTGAACTGGGCGGAGCTCTGCTCCGCGAAGTGGTTCGGCTCTGAGGTGGAGGCTGGGATCGGTTTGGCGCGCTCAACTCTCGTATGGGTGGATGGGTGGTGTAGTCTGTGTAGTCTGTGTAGTCAGAAGTGTACTCAGGCGCTGTCTGTCCTCTTTGAGGAGTGCCACTGGGATACGCTGGTGTCCCTCTCAGAAGATCCCATGAGTTCCTGTCGGCCCGGCGAGGAGGTTCTGGCTGCTGCCCGTACGTCTGCGTGTTGGCGTTTCGCTGAGATGTGTTATTTCCATTATAGTGTGTGTATCCAGTCTGGACTAGGCCAGGCTGATCCTGGTGACCATTCGCCCGGGGGTCACTGCGGTACGACTGCCCACTTTGCATTCTGGGATGTGATTGCCCTGTATGGGTCACGGTTTGTTGATTTCGCGAAGCGTTGCGATCGTTCGTGTCGGTCAACGGAAATGCGTTTTCTCCCTGAGCCTGCTGACCGGTGTTTGGGTACGAGGTGAGGTTGACATGAATGGTGGGCATTTGTGCACGGTTGTTTTGCTGCAGCGTGTTCAGGCTGACCTGGTGATCCCCGGCCCGGATGACAACGTCGGGGTTTTGTGGCTGCGCGGTGGCATTCGGAGCATCGGTGTGCGTGAAGGTCCGGTTGTCGATGCCGTTGCGCGGGTCCGAATTGGCATTCTGAGATGCGTTGGGTAGGAGTCCGCTTGTGCGCGTGCGACCGTTCTGCTGTTGTGTGTCGGCGTTTGGCACGCCGCTCAGCTGCTGCGGGTCGCCGCGATCTGCTCGCGGGTCTGTGTGCGCGCGGTCAGGCTGAAGGGTGTGCGTGTTCGAGTGATAGAGCGGGGGAGGGGGACCTTGGCCCAAATCCCTTGCACCATTAGGTAGTGGATCTGGAGGCTTAACGGGAGCAGATGAAAAATGACGAGAGGGCACAAGAAGGATGGAATGAGAAGGTTCATTTGGCAGAAGCCCTTTAGCACCATCACATGGACAAGATAAAGTCAAAATCAATGGTGAATCATATGTAAACTTTACTGTGGCTTACTACAGGCCTGAGATGTGGGTTGGTCTTCTGCATGAGCACGGCACTATCACTGTGTCTCTGTTGTGCTGTAGTAATCAACATGGCAAGAAGAAAATCACTGTGCTGCAATAACACGCGGCTGAGCTATTATCTGAAGCACAAACAGCAATATGGAACATATTTTTTACTTTTCTTTTTAAAAATGGGTGTTTGATTCAGTGTGATACACAAAAAAATAGTGGACAAACTGAATGTCCGTAATCCCACGCGCACACACGCACACACACACACACTTACCCCTCCGCCTTCGTATGAGGAAGACAATGAGCACGACGAGGAGCACGATGATTAGGATCAGCAGCAAGCATCCAATCACAATCCCCACCACTTCCCCTACATCCAGACATGTGGCTGGAGCAGAAAGAGTCAAAGGGGGCGAATTAATAAAGATAATGAGTCTGGAGCAAAGGCAGACAAGGGGACAAAAACAATAAAAGAGAGGAGGGGGAGATTCTAAAAAAGGATTATGGAGGAATAACAGCGAGAGAGGAAAACAGAAGAGAGCGCGGTTGTGAAAGTCACCGAATGACCTTAACCACCCCTGATCAATTCCTCGGGATGCTTTACGTCGTCCTCCTGTCGCGCAGATACAGGAAGCAAAGCTCAAAACCAACCGCCATTACTATCGGTCACAGAGAGGCCGGCGTCCGCCGTGACTCACCTACGATGGTCAGGTCCGTGCCTTGCTGCGACGTGCTGCCGATGAGGGCGTTTCTGGCCGTGCAGACGTAGCGCGCGCTCTCTTGGGTGGAGAAGGTCTGGACGGTGAGCACCCCGCTGTCCGGCTGTCCGGACGCCACCGCCTGCCCGCCACGCTGCCACGAGAAGAGGGCGGGGGGCAGCGAGTCGGACGTGCAGGTGAGACGCGCGGTCTGTCCCACCATCACGTCCCCGCCGCCGACACATACTTTCGGGGAAACCTTGGTCAGCACCGGCGTGTCCGGGCCATCTGCCGTGCCGGGAGTAAGAGGACATTGGAAGGTTATCGGCGTCAGAAAAACATTTGGTTCTAAAGTACAAACGGGGATAAATGTGTTCCCCAAAAAGCTGTCAGCATTGCAGGGATGATGTGTTCGGCTTGAGGGTTTATCATTTTGTCAAGCAAGGGTTTAAGCCATCTCGTCTGAGGAAAAGTATTTAAGTATTTTGATGGGTCCTCCTGGACGACGTGCAGCTCATTACTGAGATAATGAAGGAGCCGTGCACTTTTAGGATTCTGAAATCTAAAATCCCAACTGCGGCCCTTCTTGAATAAACATGCGGCTCAACGGTGGAGGCCGAGTGGAAGGCTTTGAGTGAGAAGAACCAACCAGAAAAAATATTTTGTTTAGGGAGTCTATCGCTTGTATTTCAAACTAGATGAGGCACTGTAGTTTTAGAAAAGGGGAATAATGCAACAAAGGAGAATTAGCATAATAAAGAATGAGCTTTAGATGTATCGAGGGGCGGTTCCAGTTATCTTTGGACAGAGACAGGTTTCCTCCCAACTTCTGGTCTCTATGCTAAGCTATGCTAACTTAACTTGCTATCGTTTCCAGCTTCATAACTGACTGAGAGTATCCATCTTCTGATTCCCAAAACCAAATGAGCGTATTACCCCAAAACCTAAAAGAAAATGTCACATGCTGTCTGAAATACATTTAATTCATCTTGCAAAAGGCAAAACGTTTGCAGATTTTTTACTTGTTCAAATGACAGTTAATCATCTTACCAAATGCCACCATGGCTTCCTCTAACTATTCGATGATAATTCATACACTGGGCAATTAAGAAATGAATCAATGGAAAATCATTTAGATTTCTATTTCACCCTAAATGGAACCATAATTTACTAAATGAACATCCTGCTACAAAAACCTTGAAACTAGCAAAAACTGTGTTTACCGAGGTGGAATAAATCATCAATACGTTTCTGGTGGACTTCTAAACCCTCAGTGTTCTCTTTGCAACCAGAGTTGCCGTTCCATGATGGCCACTATAAAGAGAATGCGAGTTTAAGGCACTTCTTTATTGGCCTCACTTTTCAGACCTTGGTGGTTGCTCCCTTAAGTACGCCGTCAGGGTGATGGGATGTGTTGGGATACAGCCATAAAAAAAAAAAAAAAAGACAAAGCTAGGAGCAGCAGAACAGGCTAATGGAAGGAGATCCTACGCGATCCGGGTGCAATCCAGGACCCTGAGCAGTGCAATGCCGACAGAGCAGATAAGCTCCTGCTGTTTGCAGTGGCCACGGCAGATTAAATGCCCCATGGTCTCGATCAGTGCAAACTCACAGTAAACAGTGAGCCGCTGGGTGGCGGTTTGGGCGCTGACGGGGTTGCTGGCGGTACACGAGTAGTCCCCGGCGTCCCCCCGTCTGGCCGGGTTTATGACCAGCGAGCCACCCGAGATGGTGATGCTGGGGTCGGCGGGGACGGACGCGCCTCCCTTGCCCCACTGGACCGTGATCTCTGTCCCGCTGGTCCACGTGCAGCTCAGAGACACGTTTCTCCCCTCCACCGCTATGGAGGGGACCTGCAGAGTCACCCCGGCAACCGCCTCTGCAGGGAGAGTAGAAAAAAAACACATTTTCACCACGGAGCTGCAAATGCAGTCTTAAAAAGGCTCCCTTACTGTGCGTATAGAGACATGAGTGTGAGAGAGTTCATTTCAAAAGTTGGAGCTACAGAACGATAGAGGGCAGCTTTATGTCTCTGTTGAGGATAATTTGCTGTAATCAAAGAAAGCGAGAGCCGAGAAGGGACAGGATTCAGATAGGAGGCACAGATGGCGCATGAGGGGGCAGGCGGTGTGAGTGGTAGCTGAGATGCCTCTTGGCGGGCAGCCTAAGTTAAATAATTGGAGAGGGAGAAGCGGGGGCGGGGGGGCGTGCAGACGGAGGCTGTGACTGAGAGAAAACTGCCGCAAAAACAAACAAACACTCAAGCAGACACCAAATACTTCTAAATCACTTGCATTCGTTGCTAACTTAGTGGCTGCATGGGTCTCAGCAGAAGCATTTTATATTTTAGGATTTTACTCCTTAGTTGTGGAGGGAGAAGGAGGTCGGGAGAAGTGCCGAAGCAGGCGGAGGATGTGACCTTTCAGCAATAATGGACCGGTGTTTCTAACAGGGTGTAGTTACCCTGACACCCTGCTAGCGCTGGTGGTTACAGGAAGGAGAGAGAGCGGAACGCGTGCAGGCTCTTGTCCGAAAATATTCAGGCTCCATTTCGGCACTGACTGTAATTTAATGCAAATGCTACTAGTGTATGTAAATGTGACACTACATATTTAGACGGCTACAATATCAAACATCTAAGAGCATGAACGCTGCATATCAAATGGGTGCCATTAGCATAAAGCCCTCAGCCGCTCGCTCCATCCCCTCCTCCTCTTCCTCCTCTTTCATTCATTTTACCGCGCCGTCTATGGGTCACTAATTTCATTACACCTCCCAGACTAATTCTCTTACTCCCCAAATCCTCCCTCTTCTCTCTTTACTCCCTTCTGTTCCTCCTCAACATTATCGCTTCCCTGGAAACCCTCCTCCTCCTCCTCCTCCTCCTCCTCACAGGCCCACTTATTTACTCCTTACCAAACACCCTCAGCTGAACAGATCCAGAGTTTGGTCGCAGGCCTGTTGTAGCAGCGGGCTCAACGGTCACGGTGAAGGCCCCCGCATCTCGGAGCTGGGCGCCTTTGATTCGGAGCTGGTTGGCCGTGACGGCGATCCTGCCCTCGAACTGGGTCCCCGCGTTGGTGGACGGGCCCGTTTGGCTCCACTGAGCCACGCCCACTCCTTGGTACTGCCACAGCACGTTGAAAACCTGGGGCGCCGTCAGCACCGTCAGCACCGTCAACACGATCTCTGAACCGGTTTGGACCAGCACCGGGTCCGTCTGGAACTTGATCTCGACCTGGTTCTGAGCCCGCGCGCTGGCCCAGAGGAGGACTGAACAGAAAAGAAAAAGCTTGTAGAGTGTCAACGTGCAATTTGGAGCCAATTGTGTAATGCGCCATTTACGAGACAAAAAAAAACACAAAATTCAAATCCAAAATTAAGGCCCCGAAAAATAATCATGCGAGCGTGATATGATCAGAATAATAACACATGGGTTCACAGCCCAACGGTGAGTTAAAGAGTGAGGAATAAACAACAAGTGGTTTCAATGACCACCAATAACCTCCGTACACTCAATTAACTTCTTATTAGAAGATGAGGAGAATATAATATAATTTAAAGCTACAGGACAAGTTAGTTAAATTTATTTCTTTACTAAAGGTACTTTTTTTAAGATAAATATTTAACCAAAGTTTTTATGTCTATTGAAATGAGAGAAGAGCATTTATTCATCACCGCTCCATTGTAACTACACACAGAAGAGCAAGGAGGCAGCTTCCATACTCAAGAAATTTAGGATTCACTTCTGTACAGTCGGAGGAAGGAGGGAATGCATAGTCCAGCAAGTCCCAATATCATACAATATTTCCAAATAATAAAAAGCTTAGAGGAAAAAAGACACTCTGCTCTCTCATCAAATTATAACAAATAAATCTATGATCACAACCTCTGAGATCGATCTTGTGACCTTCAGGTGGGGCTGGACATTTAACTGTAATGTTTCTGCAGGGTACACACATCTTTCTTCATACTAAGAACATTATTATGATTAATACTTTGGTACTTTCACTGGGGATTTGAAAGCAGGGCTTTCTTTTTTTTAATTGATGCATTGGTAGTTTTACTTAAGCAAAGGATGGGAATGCTTCTCTCACCACCACACAGAGGGAGAAATCTATAGATACACACAGGCTGGGCTGAGGAATCAGAAACCTATTAGTAAAGTACACACTCTTTTCTCCCCTTGTAGATTTCACACCATGTTTTTGGATTGTAAGTGATCCCGAGCTAAACATCTATTTTTTCTGTTTTTCTAGGGCTGACTTGAACTAAGCCGTGTCAAGAATCATATTTGCACTCTCTCCTCTCAAGAATAAGCAAAGCAATTCTTCAAAAGCCATGTTGGAAAAAAAAAACCTGAATTTTCAGGCATTGAACTACCGGATGCTATTTGACCATTTGTGAGTGAAGATTTGAAGAAAATGTTATATTTGGCTGCCAGTCTTCCCGCTTGTTTGGGTTGGTTTTACAAATTCAGACTCTGATTTCTCAGAACAGTTTTACTGGCATGTGGAGCGACCACACAGGAAGGCTCTGGCCAACCAACAAATCCATACGGTCCTGATCAGTCTCATCGGAGCAGAGTGTAAAACAAGCAGCCAAAAAGCGAGATGGATGCATTCAGGTTCCAAGACAAGAGTCCATATCAAAAAGACATCGCAGGAGGTTCGGTGCCCGATTAATGATATCACCGGCCTCGTTACCTTATCAGTAGAGACGGGAAGAAAAGACACACACGTCAGGGTAGGGTAAAACCTCCAATGAGTGACAGCGTTGTTTTGACTGCAACGGTCAATTTAACATTGATGTGGATCTATTGAAGTGATCTAGTTGGAGATCTGTACCGTGAGTGATCAATGGCCCACCAGCCATGCCGACCCCGACCACTGGTGATAAACCGGTGGGTCACTGCAAACGGTTCATTCTGACAACGGACGGCTGTTCCTGAAGATACAACATAAATCCCTTCTTGTGCACGAGAGACGTTTTCCACAGGCATTTAGAATATAAAAAGTAAAAAAAAGCTCTTATGAATTGTGTAGGGTGAATCCGTATTTTGAATCGCAGATAGCGAGCAGCAGAATTCATATCTAATTAAATTAAAATGTTGCCGATCATTACTTCAATTATTATCTTTCATGCATGAATAACATCCCCTGGTTAAATCGACAAATTAAAATATAATTCATATTCCTGGTTATAATTTTCTCTGCTCATCTTGCAGCACAAATATCTAAAGTGGATCATTTGTATACCTTCAACAGCGTAGAATACCACAGGCGGGATCAGATCTGTAATCTGGCATCGGGACTTGACTCAATATTTATTTGAGACAAATAATCCTCGATCTTTGCAAACACACTCTTCGGTATGAAGGATGAAGGATTGAGTCACATTAGTCGCTCACATGTGGGTTTTTATGTGATATTTTCATGGGATTTGATGGCAATAATGAAAACATTATCAGCAGCTCTTTAGATTGTTTATGTTGTGTGAATGACCAGACACTCTTCCAATCTATGTCGCCTGAGATTAAAAAAACGTTTGTAATTTTGACAGTTTTCAGTTTCTTCGTACAAAGTTGTTTGTTAATATTTTCATAACCAATAGCCAAGTATCTGTGTTGAGCAACAACTACTTACCGTCTTTAGTGGGAAACTACCGTACTGCCCATTCCTAAGCACACGTCGTCTACTGGCATAGAAATATGGAAAAAACATTGACCTCCTCGTCACCCTGGATCATCACAACATCTCAGATCTACCAGCTTGGGAGGAGGCCCTGAAGGCACCACGTCACTCAGCAGGGCTCTGTCGGGAATGCGGCCCCGCAGGTTGCGGCGGAGACGCGCTTTGTGTGCGAAATGAAACGGGTTTTTCCTTTTCTCTTCACAGCGTGCTCCGAATACCAGATCGTCCCCTCCCTGGACTCCCTTCCCCACCCCGCTTTTTTTTGGGAGCTTGTTTGAACCATTTGAACGGTACGAGCGTGATTTGTGCGTGAGAGTGATTTAAAAGATGTTTTACCTGCCAGCGACAGACTGAGAAGCAGCAAAGGTTGTCTCATGTCTTCAGTCGGGCCGGTCTGTGGAGAGATCGGAGACTTTTATATGACATATAGCCCCTGTGTAATATGTTAAGCAGTTCTGCGGTCTGTGCGAGTGATCGCCGTGCTAATATTTGCGATTACATTTCGATAATAGCCGACAAAAAACAACGTCAACACGTTATCACCCGAGCAGCGATATGAGCTGTACGAAACATACCAAAGTGTTTCCCCCCGGTCTTAATGTCCATATTTGGGGCTGAAATAATAATAATAATCTGTGTTGGTTTGTGCTCCAGAATTTATGAGTGTACTTCCTGCTTCTCTTACATTACCTGCAAAAATACACCTGTTCTCTTAAAGGGCCCGCAGCCTGTGCTATGACCTGCATTCTTTCTAACAGCCAGCAGAGGGCGACTCCTCCAGTTATCAAAAATAAATCTGCTTGTATAGAAGTCGATGAGAAAATTATTACTTCTCACTTGTGTAATTACACTTATTCAACATTGTAAACATGAGTTTATGGTCTCAATATCTAGTTTATTCTTCATTGTGAAATTAAAATGCTTTAGGGCAGTCTGATTTTGTCTTACAAATTCAACCCTTTCACAGTCTGTTTTGAATTTGTGACAGTTTATTGTAAACATTTTTATTGGCTACACATGACTTATTTGGAGTTCTGTCGTATTAAGCTCCACCCTCCCATGTCACCTCTGGTTGAAAAGATACAAGATAGTAAAGTCCAAAGTGCAGGACTCAATACTTCAAAGAAACATATTGGCCAGATAATATATTGCTCCAGTGAAGTGCAGTTATTACCATCACCATTTCAGAAAATACAAACATTTCATTGTATTGGTTACGTTCTATAAAAAACTGATTTTCCGTTTGACTTACCTGAAGGTCATTTTTATTTGCCGAGGCTACGCTCTTTCAGGGCTGCTACGAAGCGGTAGATTAAATGGTATGGGGTAATATTACCATTATACGTTCAATTCATTGCTCCATTTACTCCCTTGTGCAGTGGTATGGGTTGATGATTAATAGTGACAATGTCTGCTGGAGAACAAGGGGCTAATGTTGAGGGCAAAGTGTTGATGTTTTGCAGCTGATGTATGAGTGCCACCCACTGGTTAATTCCAGCAAACAGCACTCTTGTGCAAAGAACTCAGTAGGGGAGCCACAGCTGTGATTCCCATGATTATTCATAAAACCCTCCGCAAATACAAATGGATTCATAATCGGATTTGAATCATTCGTTACATCTGTGCCCCGGGATGCGTTTCATGAAGCGAGCTCACCCCCGAATAACTGATGTCGTTACGTTCCACGTGCTCTATGGTTGAGTAAAAGAGGCAAAACGATCGCATCTCAAAGTCTGTTTAGGAGCTGTTACGCAGCTTTTCAATCCTATTACATTATCATGCTCGACAGATGTTTTTTTTGTTTCTTAGAGTTCACGCAAACAGCTGAGGTGTAAATGCAGATTCATAATAAGAACATTAGCACAGTTTGATTATGACTCCACTAAATTAGCATCTTTATTCTGAATAATCCCATGTGCAAGGAGCATCAAACCGTCGATATACGCTTTGCATGCTTGAGTGTTTTCTCAGTTTCATGTGAGTCGGATTATTTTTTTAAAAAGGGGAAGAAAAATAGAGTAATTCATACATGTCTTCCTCTTCCTGCAGTACAAAGGCCTTTTATGAAAAAATAGTTACAACATTGTTTCTGGTTTCCCTTGAAAAGAATACCTTTGCATGTTTCTGTGTGTGTGTGTGTGTGTGTGTGTGTGTGTGTGTGTGTGTGTGTGTGTGTGTGTGTGTGTGTGTGTGTGTGTGTGTGTGCGTGTACACACAGCTAAACAAAAGCAACAACAGCGGTGTGAAAAACCCGATCGTTTTGTTGTTTGGATTTGGTCGGGAAAGAGGCCGGGGCCGTTACAAAAGGAAAAGTTCCTTTATTCCAAGAAAATAGCTTTTACAAGGGGGCCGGGGCGGGGGGCGAGGGGCGAGGAGGGAGGGGGGGAGTACTTCATAAACAAGGAGACGCCTACGCGACTCAGAGACCGGACCTGCCGGGCTGAGAGGAGACGCTTCCCGCCACGCTGCGCTCCTGTCTGGGAAGCGTCATCTTGAACTAAATCGATATATATATATAAATATACATATACACATACATACATATTTATACATCTCGTGGTGCCATGGCCGCCGCTTTGTAAAGTCGTTTCGTTCCGTGCGGTAAGTCTACTCCCAGGGCGACTTGCGAGTGTGCACCTTGACCTCTGAGGAAGCCACGCTCGGCAGGCTCGAGACGCGTCGCGAGGTAGGTGAATCCCCCCCGCTCCGGGGCCTTCTGGTGGGGAGGGCTTCCAGGTAAACAGCGAAGGGAACGCCAGGTTATGTTTAATGTATAGGGGGGGGTCCTGCACTGCTCTGCCCCCCCCCTCCGTGTCTCGCTGCAGAAGCTGTGCTTCAGGGGCTTCATTTCACTTTTTGGCAGCAGTCCCGTCCACATTTTTGTTCCAAGTTCTGTGTGCGGCAGCAATACTGCTGTTCTCTGGGCCCCACATAAATAAATGAAGAGAAAAAGATTACCCTTAACATTTGAATTGCATATTCTAACGGGGCGGTGTGCCGCTTTAATTGCTTTTGCTCTCGTTTTACATTTACATTTCCTCTGGAGGTGAGGTTGTTATTCTTGCTGTGGTACAGAGGAAACGCTTTTCTCATGGACACATTCCTCGCTTTGTTCTCCGTCTACATCAGCAGGTGTCATGGATCTGCAGCGTTTCCTGTGTTGGAAAGCGGCCCTGCTGATTCTCTCGTGTAAGGATTTCTGTTTGAAACCACCGACCGAATGAGTAAAAAAAAAAAAAGGTGTTTCATGACACTGCATTATTGACATCTCCTCCATCCTTTGCCTATCAAGTTAAGGATTGTGATTAATACTCCCTGTGGGGAATGCACAGGGGCTTACCAGGGCCGCTGCAGCCCCGATACAGGTTTTCGCATGTTTATGTGGTTTGACGGATATCACATTAGGCATGGCTGTCACGCGCCATAAATCATCACTTGACATTCTTTGACAGAAAGCAGCTATATGCATATTCATAAAGTCTCTGCTGGGAACAGAGATGAAGTATCATATTATTGTTTGATTTATCAGCTTCATATTTTGCTCAAGCAGCGAGACAAAAAAGGTCACATCCGATGCGCAGGAACATAAACAGCATGTTTGACGCGTCACCAAACTGTCCCCCCCTCTGTCCTCAGTGCCCCGTGGGCTCCGGTGCATGTCGGTGCACATCCTCAACGAGGAGCCGGTGCACGTGATGCCGGACTCCAGTCTGGTGCTGAGGGCCCGGATCGAGCACGGGCCCCTGGAGGAGGTCTCCGCCGTGACCTGGGAACGGGAGCCCGAAAGCGGCGTCGGCCACGACAGAGTGACGCTGGCCCGCTGCCCCGCCGGAGGCCTCGAGTGCGCCGGCACCAGGCCCAGCGTGCGCGTCCGCGTGGACCCGCGGGAGACGACGCTCCAGATGGACGGGTACAGCGGGGCGGAGAGCGGCGTGTACGCCGTGACCGTGACGGATCACAAGGGGGCCGAGACCACGGCGCGCTGCGTCGTCCGCAGCTATGGTACGGCCCGGTGCTCGGCTTGTGAGTGCATTATTGATGCGAGAGCACTTTGGTAACTTTGCAGACATGGCTGAAACATCCCTGGAGATTTATCAATTATTCAATTGATCAAAATGGAAAAAAGTGTTTTATCGTTAAGCATTTTTAGAGAGCCACTTGAGTCTGGGAATGATGAACGGCATGAACCAACGTCACCATGAATGAGCTTTTTGTGAGAGGCGTTAGTTTAAAGTATAAAAGAGGAGGCGTGATGATTCTCTTTCCTTATCCATTACATGAAGACAACTCATTTAAAAACAAAGCCGTCTCACCTCGAGCTCCATTTAGTGGCATCCAGTCGTATTACATTTCCGAGGTTCAAAGTTTATTTATTTTTTTACAATATAAAACAACAATGCCCGTTAAATCCCTTCGGCTTTTTTGACAGTTTCTCAGACAAAAATGACTAATTGAAAGAAGACAACACGGGCTTTTCATTTGTCCTCTTTTTACACATTTAATTAACTGAGACATTGATTAATTGCAAAAAAATATGCTGGGATGAATGCATAATGGCAGTAATCATTAATTGCAGCCCTTATAATCCTCCACCAGGATAGAAGAAACATACCAAAGTAGAAATATTTTAATATTTTCCAGCTGACGCTGTCCCGGCCTTTCTTGTGTTGACTCAAACAATTACCAACTGATTAATGCGTTTTAATTTCACGCCAGCAGGCAGTGTTTCCTTCCGATTGTGGATGTCTCATTTAATAATGAAAACACTTATTAAATGTGCATACAGGCTTTGCTCGGGTCCTCCTTTTGTCTCCCTGCTTCCAGGCGTGTCCGGAGGCGCCGTGAAGCTTCCACGGCTTTCTGTCAAAGCTTCCGAGCTTTAACGTTGATCCGTCCGCTATAAACGGTATCAATACAAATCTGCCCTCTCAGCCTCCAGCCCCCCCCATCATCCAGTTCTCCGACATTATGCCGCACTCACGGGCTTTCCTGTCGTCTGTGAAACTGAGCCAGTTACCCCCCCCCCGTCCCCTCGTCTTCCCTCACAGAGGCGGTGCACCACGTGTCGGTCAGCATCAACGTGTCCCACGCCTCGCTGCTTTGCGGCGAGGCGTGGGGCACGGAGCCGCGCTTCAGCTGGTTCCACGAGAGGGTCGCCGTCACCGATGCCGTGGGGAGGGTCTCCGGAGACGGAACCACGTTGTTTGTGACCCGGACGCCCTTCTGCGGCCATTTCACCTGCGTGGTCAGCAACAAGCTGGGCCACAGCGCCGCCAGCTACACCGCGGGTACGAGTCCTCACTTTATCAGTCAGCAGTTCTTTAACAACAACAACAGGGAATACGGTGTTCTCAGAAGTGGAATCTCTAGACTAGTAAATTTGACCATTGTGTGGGTTTACGTACATTTGGGGGTCTGAAGGGTCCACAGACACACAAACTGAAATAAGACATGTTGATTCCTTTGTGGGTCGTCTGCATCAAAGAATATATAAATATAATTTGACAAGCTATTCAAATTTCACTGCCATTCTCATGTCGCATGCAGGTTTAGCAGTTGGTTGAGACCAAAACAGAGCAATAAAAAAAGAATGGCATTCACCAAGTAGCCAAAGACACAACTCAAAGTGAATGATAGTGCGGTGCAGCGTCTGCAGGACGGGAGAATAGGAGATAGGACGCCGTATCGGGGTTCCCCCCCCCCGTAGAGATAATATGTGCATGTTGTGTTTACACAAAATGATGTAATTTGCTTAAACCAGATGACTGGATAACAAGGCTGCTGTGCTAATTGGACTCCTCGTTTAAAGTCAGCTCGATGCAGACCATAGCCTCATTGTACTTTGTATCACTGGTGGTGTTTCAGTAATAAAAAGGATTTACCACAGTGCGATCAAGAAAACACCACTGATGCTAAACGGCGAGCCCACGGTTGGGGTTAGAGGCGTGATGTTTTAAGGATCCCTCCTGTCAGTCGGAGCCGTTCCATATGGTTTGCTGATTTAACAAAGTTGCCTCTGAGGAACTTTTGACCTTTTAGGGCGGCCATGTGCGATGATGTTTGGTTGTTTTTCTCCTGGCGGACAGCGCCTTGCAGGACAGAGGGCAGGGGGCCAACAGCAGCCGTCCTGTGTCCCGTCCTCCTCCTCCTGCTGCTGTTTGGAGGGGGGCTGGCGTTCCTGCTCTGGAGGTACAGTAATGCATCATTATTATTTTCAGGCTATGCGCTGATAATAAAGCCATATGCTGGGATAAAAAACACTTTACAATATGAAAACAGCGGAATGCTAGACGGCCAGCACAGTGACGCACAGGAAGCATGACATCACCGTTTCGTCTCGTTGGTTCGCGGCTGCTGTTTTGATCTCAGTTGGACGCTTTGTTTCTTTTCAGGCGACACAAGCACAGTTACAGAGGAGAGAGGCTGCAGGATCATTTGGATGACACCATCTAAAAACAAATAATAATCCCTCCAAAACCAGCCCGAGATACGACAGAGGAACGCAGCTGAGTGAAATGGGTTGTGAGGCTGGAACTTCCTGTCCTGTGAGCAGCATGACCTTACGCTGTACTGGAACAATGTGCTGAGTGAACTGCTCGCTCGCAAGTGGAGGAAATCTAAAAGTGGAAATGTAACTTGGAGGTGCCAGCAAGGTCTCTACACTGCCTCCTGACACTGTGTGTTTAATAAAGTAATCAGGTTTGTAAGCTTGAATCCACTTAACATTGTATTGAAATGTCAAATGATACCTTCGCAATAAAATCCATCTACAGAATGTGATAAATCTCTTCCTGCTATGTGAAAAATGGGAATTAAAAAAAGAATTGAGACAGTTACAAAATGTTTGAAATGGTGTTTCCGATCTGCCACTAGATGATTATATCAGTTAGATTTGCTTGAAGCGCTCATCTATGATGCTCCGGGTTGATTGGTGACTCTAAATTGCCCGTATGAGAGTGAACGGTGGTTTGTCTCTTGCGTCGGCCCTGCGATTGACTGGCGACCAGTAAAGGGTGTCCCCAGTCTGTCGCCCATGTTAGCTGGGACTGACTGCAGCCCCCCTCTGACCCTGTATGAAGATGACTGACTCGTCTATGAAAGCCTCTCAAAACGAGAGAAAGGTTGACATTGGCCATTATGGAACTGGGATAACAGTATTAAATAACAAAATCCAATGATGGAGTAAAGGTCTGAAAAACATGAGTGTAAGAGACCAAGAGTAAGCACACAAAAAATGACAATTTAAAACTGAAAAGTGATTATTTCTTGCTATTATGGCTCATATTTTTCAAGTACGTTTTTGTGGAATCTTGCACAATACATCAAACTTAAATCCTCTTCATTGATCAGCTGCCGCCTGTCAGCTTGGTTCAGCTCAAAATGATCCCAGTGATTCGTCCTCTGGGACCCCCGCCCCCTTCATTTATGTTGAAGTTAAACTCTTCTTGGTGCTCATCCAGGGACGGCAAAGTGCGTGTCAAAGATAACGCTCTGAACAAACCATCGCGCTACACAAGACGTGAACCCTGCGACCTCCAGCAGTGTCATGGCTGTGCTGCGTGGATCTACACACGACCACGGGGAGGAAACCGGAGCAGAGGAGCAGGAGGCGAAGGACATGTCACGTTGGGCGGGGGAGGATGGAGCCATTGAACATCTGCCATGAGTTTTAGGTGCGCCCAAGAGTTTTCAGCCAAATGCCGTTTCCGTCTTCTACGATGGTAATTTGACAAAGAGACGACACTCTTTTTGCAGCTGCAAAAAGTCGTATTTCTATTATTATTGCCAGAAAAGCAAGAATGGGAGATACAGCTTTAAGCTCCCGGAGGCTACATCCCAAGGTGAGAAAGACAATGATGAAATATTATGAAAATGGAATGAAACTTGTGTGTGGAATACAGATCAGTCATTACCTCAGCTGAAGTTTGTATGAAACTTGCCCTTATATATGAAACACAGCCTTGTGGGTCTTTAAAAGTCGCAAATGCAGATGGAATGTAAAAAGGAGTACGCCATTGTTAACTACTAGAGGCGCCTCACCGGCCAACGTCATTGTAGTTTATTACCGCAGCAAACATGCGCTCAATCCATGTCCATAAATGAGTCTTTTAGAAATAGTTTTCAATAAGGACAAATAGATGCATGGCTCAGAGAGATTGGACGTATTGAGAGAATGGGCTTTGCTGACAGACTGCCTCTCTCATAAAAAGGTTTAAAAAGGTTAATAAAAAGTTTTTTTTAGTATTACCCCCCAAAAGTGTCTGAATTATCTTTACATGCCAGATCGGAGTGCAGCAGCAAAGACCAGCTGTCTGCAGAGAAAAATAAAAAGGTCAAAAGTATCATGCTTTTACTGCACTAAGCTGACGTCCGAACACAAATCTACTGGCGGCTCGGCCGAGGCACAGTGGTGCTTTGAGCTAAATACTAACAGCACGCCAACGATTCCAACAGACCGAAGTGTATTTTTAATTGAACTAAGTACAACTGATGCTGATGGATATGTCATTAATATTTTGGTCAGACAAGATTATGGCCCATGGTGATGGCAGATCAAGTAATAGTTTAGTCTGGACCCAAGAGATGGGCTAAGTATAGTGTGATGTCTGGGTTGAGAAAAGACTGGGCACTTTGTTCATTTATCTCCATCAAAATGATCCGTTAATAATCTAAACTGCAGACACGTTTCCCGACTGATGAAAAATGTCCGCGAAGGACCAAATGTTTGAATTGTCCATAATTCACACAGTCCATTGAACAGAAAGGACGCGGATCCCTGACAGCTCAATAATATCTTATCACCATCTCTGGTCACACACACACAATAGCCGATTCATAGATTCAGATTGAGGGGTGCATTGTTCTCTGGGACTGTTAAGGAGCGCTGCACAGATTCACGGAGCATCCATGAGAAACATCAGTGGCCATTCTTCCCTCCTTTGACCCCCAATTATTCCATGTCTTTGTCCATTCCTGCCATGTAACCGTTATCGCAGCTGCATTTCCTCGCCAGAACTATACGTATTCATGTCCATAGAGATCGGTTGACAAAAAGAAGAATGGGAGGTCTGGTGTGGTTAGAGAAAAATGTGACCAGCTGTTAGAGAGACTCAGATGTTCATTTCACAACCAAGCATATTAATACGAGCATGGATCTCTGAGCAATAAGTCAGCATTTGGGCGGATTCTGAAGATAAATACGAGGTAAGCACAAGGCTACCACAAAGGATACAGTTAGCTTTGGATTAACAGCAACGCTGCACACAAACACATCTTTACGATAAAATGCTCTACAGTCTGTGTCTGGAAGTAAAACAAAACCAGTCGTCAGGCAAGCTGGGGGGTTTGTGGGCTTTGTGCTAAGCTAAATTGAGCTAAGCTAATCAGCTGCATATGTCGCCACATGGGGGGGGAGGAGGGGGGGGGGATTTTTATCATCCAACCAGCATTGGATAAGAGTTCAAATTTCACTCTAATTAAACATGACGTCTTTCCTTCACAGAGCTCTAATTGAATAATAAAGACTAAAATAATGATCAAGCCAAATCAGTCAGTGATAGTTAGGCCACATTACAGTAAAACTATACCCAACTCTCTGTATGTCAATAAAGCAGTGGATTGCTTTTCATACAGTCAAAATTATAAACCTGCTAAATTACAATGTGAGTGTAATTTAGTGAGTGTTTGTCATTTTGGCCGAATTGTTATTGGTGCAACGGTGGCAGGTTAAAGGTCAAATTAAAAAGTAAAAAGACGTCCACATGCTGTGATGTTGATGGGAATCAAGTCAAAAAAACTGAGCTTTTCCTCTACGGTCTCCCTCAGGCCTCACCCCTCCAAAACACGCCCTTCACATGCCTGCCCCCCCCCCAGCACCTCATCCCTTCCTGAGCAGACTGGACTTCCTCTTGGGGAAGTGCTCCCTCTGGTGGTGAGACCGTGGTGGTGTTGAACCAGGTTGTAAAACCAGGACAGGCCAATATTCAATCTGTTAGTGTCCTCATTGTAACGGGACGATGCAGAAAGTACACGGTCTCTGTGCACAATACTGGGACGAATTATATAATTAATGTAGGCTGGAGATTTGCTGATGTTTCATGTTCCATCTAATTTGTGCTTGCTAAAAAACATTTGTGCTCTTTCAAAAAACAGGTCTTTCATGCTTGTGGGAAAATATCTTGATCTCCACAAAACTTCCCTGGAGCCTCTCATGATGGAAACCTCTTCACTGAATCCAAAACCCAAGCTCTGATTCAACTGTGAAGCCACAGCCCGTCACTCACAGAAATCACAGAAATGTGGCTTCCTGCTGCATGATGATATGAAAAGGCACTGCGCTTGTTGGATGTGTTCTTTGTTGCAGCTACAAGCTTGTCAGCTGCTAAGTGACCTGTGAGCTCGTCATTTTAAATACAATATAACGTATTATATTTTGTGCAGGCAGCCACGACTCCCTTTTCCCCCAAATTCTTCCATTTCTTTTTTTTTTCTTTTTTTTTTCTTTTAGCTACTAGGTCCAGCTGTTTTATATGCAGCTGATCAACGACGCCCAATCAAGCGCAAGAGAAAAAGAACAAATGAAATGAACACTAAAAAACACCACATGTTGTATTCTTTGTATTTATTTATTTAGAATAAAAGTTCAAAGGCCAAAACATTGAACAGGAAATAAAAAAGTCAAAGTTTAAATATAGCTGCCGTTTAATCCACAGAATGAGAGTGAGAGACACCTGCGTGGCCGTCAGCCACGGCCTCGTTAACTCAGCTCTAAAAATGGTAATTCAGAGCCGTATTAAAGCTGACACATATTTGCAGTTGGTATTTATTTTAATTAGAACAGTTAAAGGAAACAGCTTTGGTAATTATGATAAAGTGTTGGCAGCCTGGATTGCTGGTGCATCAATATTTGACTTCCGCAGGATTATAAAATGTGGCGAGGGAGAAAAAACATGACAGGAGGACGACACCCCCCCCGTCAGAAGTGATTGAATTTACATCCACCACGATTCTTTCCAAAATGGCAGCAGGGCTTGGCTCTGATTTTTATTTTGCTCATCCCTTGATGGAGCCTTACGCTGTTTGACAAGACAGCATGTTTGAACGAGTTGAGCTGGAAAAACTCATATTTACTGGCATTTTACCTGAAAAAAAAGAACTCCTCGTGTTTGGCTTGGCACTGGTTTGATTTTTGTTGTGCATCAATAATTTCAATAATAACAAGCAGGAAAAATGTGTGTTTGTACAGACTCCTTTAGCACTTTAGCACCTTTTAAGCTCGTTGTTTCGGTTTTCCGTCCAACTGATCGAAGCGGCTTCGGTCTGCAAGGCCCAAAAAGTCCATTTGATTCTACAGTTTGAATGCGGAATCACAGAGGAAGGTAACGTGCTGACCAAGGTAAGAGGAGTTTGAACACTGACTTAAATTCATCTTTCAGTTGTAATGTTGCCCTGTGTCTGCATGAAGCCTAAACCAGCCCACAGTTTGCTTTTAACCGTCATATTAACAAAGTGCTGCATGAACTCTTTTTTTTGTTGTTCACGTGGGGCCGAAACTCAGTCAATACAATAAAACTAAATCAGCTCAGTTGGTGAATTCACTTTCAAACTCCTGACAAGAATATTATAAGTTGGACGTATTTTTTAAAAGTTGCAACCAAGCGTCAGAAGAAAACCAACACAGGCGCAATGATGCATGAGGGGAGAAAACACACTTATATTTGTGTGTTTCACCTACAGCCTACAGTCCTGCTGCTATATTATATCATATTATATATCGTATACTAACACTTTTTACTTGCTTTGCAGGAATGTAAGTAATGATGCAACCTTAACGCTTGTCTTTTAAAGTGGTTACATATCTTCAAATACAATATGCACTTTGTTGATGTTTTGGCTTCACTTTTGGAAAGCTTTGCTGTTTTACGTCTTCATAGACGGTCACAACTACACCAACGCGTCTTTATTATTATCCCTGTGTCCACCCGTTCGGCAGCTCAGCTTTTCAGATTTTTCCGCCCAATAAAAAATAAAGAATGATAAACCATAAAATGTTCCACATCTTGCACACATTGATTTCAAATTCCATAAAATATTGACTTTACTTATTTTTTTCCTGAGTACGTGAAGTTTGACCAATTAACCAATTACTTAGCAGTAACCATCACCGTGGCAACCCTTAATTGCCGCCAAATAGACACATCTGATTCAGATGAGTTAATTAGTACAGGTTGACAGAAGCACTCAGGACTTTTTTCTCCCCTTGTTTATACTAACAGAAATTAAAAATAAACCTCACATTTTCTTCAACCTTTAAATCCAGCAATAGAACGCTCTGGCAAGTAAAAAGTATTTTTAAATGATTCCGACTTTTAAAAAATGTGTGAAAATAATATAAATGTGTATTTAGATCCCTAATATCAACCGACCATTTCACTACCCAGTGATTTGGAAGCCTAAATCATTCATTACATCAATATCAATTATATTGTTATTAATGAGACAGGAAACGTGTCTATCGAATGTGTTCCTAAATATTTGCCTGTGTGTAGTCAGTAACTCAGACTCAGTAAAGCATAGCATTTTATTGCAAGTATTAGTCAAAGCAACAATAAAAAGAACAACAACCAATGAGAGAGAGTTAGAAAAGAAAGTGACATTTGGAGTGGAGCTGTTGGTACAACATACAGAGGGACTGAGACATGGATCATCTGGGGGTGAAGGGTCACCGGTATACATCTGCTTGCTGGTGCGTCGCTCAGAGAGGTCTCAGAGTCCAACATGATTAGTTTGAAACAAGACCGACACAAGAGTAATGCTACATGAAAAGGAGAAAACCAATAGGAATCTGAACAATCGGCAGACCCAAATCCTTGGCCCACCGTCAGATTACCGGTCCTCAGAACCCCGATGTGTCTACGACGGCACCAGGAGCCTAATCTCATGTGCAATATTTGGTTCAAAGGCATTATTGGAACGCTAATGGAATGAAAACAGGTCAACCATTTGATAGCCATGGCAGTAAACATGGTTCAATTGAAAGTGAGTGGGCTCACAGGAAAGAGTGGGTCGGATTGACAGGAATATTCAAGAGCTCCATGTCTCTGATCCTCCAATGGGGGCGACCAACAAAGAAATTGAAATAAGAACAGCGGCCATCATAATGCGGTTCATTCATTAGAGGCCTCTGTCTCTGGGGAAAACCTCCTTGCTCACGTCAAACTGCATCCGAAAATAGTGCTTTGGAATGCCAATTAGTGTCAAAAGGTCATTTAGTGTCAAAAGGTCGTTCAAGTAATTTAGATCTTTTTATCGTTTTATTGTTTTATTGCGCTGCTTATTCGGTTTGACCAAAAAACGCTCCAAGAATCGTTCTCCGCATGCAGTTTGACCAGAAGCGGGTTTCTGATCTGACACCAGTACGAACGGGGCCGAGAGTCCGGCTCCGTGTTAGTGGTTCACGTGAGAAGTGAGAAGAGGGCCAAGTACGTGGAGGCAAAAGTCACAGAAACCTGACCAGTGTGTAAGGCTGAGGCTTCTTTTCAGGGGGAATAAGATCTGCTCCTGCTGCCAGGAAAAAAGAGCCAATTCAACATCCTTATGATGTTCATCCACCCGCCCTCTCCACTGGCTCGCTGAATTTACACGGCTAACGTACCAATTAGCAGCTCGGGATCATAAAGACGTCAGCTAATGGTCACTCGGGTCAGTGTGGTTCAGAAACGCTGCCCTTCGTCAGAGATGAGCTGCAGCTAAGGGTGGGTGTGTGGGGGGGGCATTGGGCCTTCTCAGTGGAGGGTAAAGATGGCTGACCTGTAGGCATCAGCAGGTCAAGTCCACTTTTTCCCTTTCCTCCACCCACTCCATGTTGTTGTGCTTGCGTGTCTCAGACAATAAGGCGTCAACATGGAGGGGGAGGGGCTAAAGGCCTCGTCCTCCTGGCTCCGCCCCCACCATGCTGCAATATGATGCGGAGACTTCAGCTGCTTGAATGCACTCCCAATAAATACAACATAAAATATTCCGCATATATATATATTTTTATATATAAATTTAACGAACGACACGTTTAAATAAGACAACAAAATAAATCGGCTCAAGAACCATTTTTCAAAAATGAATAAGTGTTAAGACAAAAACAGAATATTATTTTTACAGCTATACTTATTTCGACTCTAAAATAGTTACCGTATAAGAATATCGCAATCAGGCATTACTCGAGCATTACATGTCATAATAAAAGCAATTCGCAGGGTTTTTTTCTTCTTCTCATGTAGAGCAGCATACCAAGGTAAGTGAGGTGCAGTGTTTCTTTTTTTTTTGTTTTCTCAGATCTCTTGTAATAGAAACATCTCCGCCCTCTGGACTGAAAAAGGTACCCACAGAACCACAGACCACCACCCTACCGGCTCAGGACAGCGAGGCTCCCTCCATCATGGGGGGACGGGACACATGGGCACTGAGATGAGAGAACTGGCGGGCCGCTGCAGCGCTGGCCGTCAGCCGCCAACGTTCAGTAACCGACACTGGTTCTGTTCACTTCCTCTCTTTATACACCTGCAGCCCAATGAACCTTCACCAGGCAACAAAGTGAGCTGAATCAAGTCATTCCGTAAAAAATGCCCTTCAAGAACAAAACCTTCCATCCAATCGTAAAAACCTCTGGACCGCTCGTCCTGTTCGGAGGAACGAGGTGCTGACATCCCGAGACAGAGGTCGATACCGCTCGGCTGTGTGTCCGAGTGAGAGCGGCACTCTCTAAAGTGCTGTGCTATGTATCATACGTGTGCTGAGCTGTGTGACCCCCCCCCCCCCCATCCCCACACTCCACCGTACCAACGAGACACCATTGATCGAAAGCTCAGCGACAAACATATACTTGGCATATATTCTATTTCTACATAGGCTTGGTGTCTAAATGCATGAAACACGAGTTTGCGTTGCCATTTCTTCAAAAAAACAACAACACCAACAACAACCGAATAATAGGGTCTAGAGTGAGAGTTTTTACTGCACTGTTACAACTTCTTGTAAAGGACATTCTCTTTCTTTGATTTGACATTTTGAATTTACAGCACCATTGAGAGGAAAGGCACTTTCAGTTGACTTCTTCTCCCTCCATTGCTACCTTCCACTGCTGAGAGAGCCACCAAGATCAGGGTCATCGATCGCTGACTCGGAACAGAATACGCCTTCATCTCAGACCGGACACAATTTAGCTATTTGGCTTCGTCGGACTGTGACTGGATACGATGTTTGATCTTTAGCTTCCATTAAAAAGACTTCCGTGTTTATTTGCACACCAAAGGCCGCAGCTGGCTGGAGCCTTTAATTTCAAACAGGTCCAACGAGTCGAGTTTTTATCAAAACGGAAAGGACAAAGTCTGTTCCCCCCGATGTGCAACACGGGAGGACAAATCGACCGAAGGAATAATGTCCTCACACGCCTCCCAGCGTCTCCTCCACAGGCCCCCAAGTGCTCTTTACTCATCTCACTGACGCTGATATTTGCAAAGCGCAGCTGATGACATTTCACTTGTAGGCGAAGGCAAACACATCTGCTATGTAAACATGTGTTCAACCGCCTTCAAACCCAACATCCATTACTGACAGCGGAGAGGGGGGGGGGGGGGGGGTACAAATGGATTCTAATCCTCGCAATTAACTTCAATTAACTGCTTCAACTTCCAACAAGTTATCCTTGATCACAAGGAGGGGGGGGGTGTTGTGTGGTGTGGTCCTCTGGCTCAAGGGGAGTAAATGTTCAGGAGCAAAAGGGGAGCTGACACTGAGGTCACAGGCTTTGTTACACCACAGATTTACCGGGGAGGGGGGGGAGGAGGGGGCTCGGGTACGGAGAGGAGTCAAAATCCAACGTAAACCCTCCGTAGTTTGATCACAGCCCGTCCTAAGACGGGATCAACGACACTCTTCTTCTATTCTACTGCTCCGAGAAGGCTTTGCATGCCACCGAGAACGGGCAAACTCAGGGGAAAAAGAGCAGATAAATGAGCACCCGATATCTTGCATCTTTTTCTTTCTTTTTTTTTTTTTGACCCAAACATCAAAGCAAGAGGCGGTTAAAGTCCACGTCAGTGTGGATAAAGGTATGACCAAACACACGTCACTAGTTTTAACAACCCCCACTGTTAACACAAACCGCACATCATACAGCGACACAGGAACAAGTCAACAGCCTATTGCAATAATAAACTCTAACCATTACTTATTATCGTACATCTATTACGAAAATTATTAGTAAGACCATTTTTTTTGTTAGCAAAAATAAGTGGTGCGCGTCACGGAATTGAAAATGTACAAATATACTTTCGATCTGGCTTTAAAAAAAGGCTTACAGTGAGAATCATGAGGGAGGGAACGTCTGCCTCCCCGCGCGGCATTAGCATCATTCCTTCTGCGCCCCGCGCGCACAAGTTCATGTTCTAGTTGAGACAACAAGCAGCGTGCACTCAGTCCCCCAAACGTGACCCCGGATTACCGTATAGATGCCGACAGCTTATTGAAATGATTCGTTAATGTCGTGGCCGACCTGATACAAACGCACTGTAGCAGCTGGATCCACGATCTGCTGAATGAACAAAAAGACGGAGGAAAGTTTCTCGCTTAAAAATCGTCTGGTGCTGTCCGTTTGTTGGAATATGCTTTTTGATTATTTTAACCCAGTGAAACAGCAACGAGGTCTGCAGCTTCTGACCCTTTAATACGGCGCTCCCACCAGGCACTTGAATACTACTTCTTTACGGCCTTTGCACCCAGAATGAAGAAATCAGCCTCACTAGCAAACTGAGGATCGGGAAATTGGAAACGATGCACACCGATGATGAAGTATTCTCAAACCATTGAGCCACGTAAAATCCTTCGATTCAAGTAAAAACACGAAAATCACAAAAACTGCGGTTGCACCATTTTCGCCCAACATCAAGGGCAAAGTCATAAAACATGGTCAATCAATCATATGGCAAACTGTCCTGTAGAGGACACTCACTGTCAAATAAAAAGTCCGACGGTTCTTCTAAATCATTCATAAGTCTCCTAAAACCCATCATCATCATTCAACTGATTATTGCACTAGAGGAAACCATCGCCGTGATTTCTACCTGCCATGTCGTGCTGTGAGGGAAAGAGCCAAACGTGTGATAAACTACTAAGCTTACATGGTGTGAATGGAAATAATAAAAAGAGTAAGAATTATAAAATGTTTCACATAATGTGGAAGAAAAATACAACCAGATACAAATAACAGTGTTATACTTTAAATAAAACCCATAGATGGCTGCAATTATTATTTTATATAGGCCAGTATAAGCTGCCCGTTCATGTGCGGCAGCTGACTCCTAAAGTTGAAGTAGCAAGACCACTATTTGTTGTTGTGACTTTAAAGGGGCGTTTATACCTCGTAGCCAACAGGTGGCAGTGTGCTCCGTAGAAGAGACCGGGCATCCGTAAAAAGCAACACAGAGGAAACAAGAGGGAAAAGGAAAATATAAAAGTGGCAACTGAGAGGACCACTGGTCCAAAGAAACAAATATATTCCAAAACAAATGAAACTCTGCAGCCCGACCACTCCTCCTCTCCTCCTGGTGGGGGGTCAAACCAAGTACCAAGTACTAGAAAGATGGCAAAGGAGTAAAATACTGAGGAGGGGGAAGTAAAACACAAATAAGAAGGCCACAAGTAAACAGGAGACAAACAGGGGAGAACAGAGAGGAGGGGCAATGAGAACGGGGGCCTGATGAGGGCGAAAATAAACTAGTTGGCTGGTTAAATATTGCATAATAGTGCTGAGTTTCTCTTCTTTCTTCTTTTTTAAAGCAGCGTTTGCATCCTCAGTCCGTTGTGGGGGTGACTCCTCCCCTCCCTCCTTTCCTCTGCACAGTGTCAGGTCCGGATCGACTAGGCGTGTAGGCTGTCGGGGGGCTTGCACAAATGAGGGCTCCTTGACTGGCGAGCCAGGTGTGCCTGGTGTGTGTGTGTGTGTGTGTTGTGTGTGTGTGTGTGTGTGTGTGTGTGTGTGTAAAAGGGTGGCGATGCTCGCGGTGGCTCAGGCGAAGTACATGGTCCTCAGGGTGTCGTGATGAATCTGAACAGCTTTGGCCAGCGCCTGGGGGTCCCGACCGTTGCTCTGACCAGACACATGGCTGCCCTCGGCGCTGCAGAGTGGGAGGGGTTGTGAGGGAGGGGGGGACAGTTACAACAGAAGACAAGTAACAATGGAAAAACATGAATAAAGGCCCATTATGTATGTAATACGGTAACTGTCCGGAGAATTACACTTCAGGGTTCAAGAACTTTTCAAACCACAGTCCGACAAAGAGGAACACCCCCCCCCCCCCCTCCCTCATTTTCCCGTTCCCACCTGTCATGTTCTTTGTCCACCAGATGGTAGCGGGCACGGAAGGCCACCAGGTGGGCGTAGTAGGCTGGCGCGGGAATGGAGACGGAGCGGGTGCAGCGCACGTAGGTGTGGCACAACTGGTAGGTGAGCAGCTGGAACTCGTCAGCGGTGAAACAATTGTCGTCCCACAGCACGTGGTAGTGGGAGGGCCTGCTGGTGCCCTGCGAGACGGGGGATTGATGCATTCCAGGGATTAGATTCAGATTCAAGGGGCCGTTTCTGCTTCGTCCTAAGACGTGGCACAAGATCGCAAATAACTACAGGGATTGTGTTTACAGAGTATTCTGTATTCTGTTTTTCCACGTGGCTAATACTTTCATTAACATGCAGCCGTGCATGCTCTGATTAATGTAGTAGGCGCACAAAGCACTGAGCTAGCATACATGTTGAATAATATAAACGAATCCCACAACTCTTAATTTGCCTTAATTATAATATCCGAACCCAATGTTCCATTTGCATCACCCGTATCAAATCTGAAGATTTTCATATTCTGAATAATTGTGGAATATGAGTGAATTGACCGAGGCAGAAAACTGTGGATGAGAGAATTCATGTTTAATAAATAATTGAACAAGCGTGTCCATTAAGTCACTAGAAGCAACACAAACCAACTAGGATGTGCTGTCATTATGCTAATATTGAGAAGAGAAGAAAAAGAGAACAAGTTAAAAACAAGCAGGTTAGCTAGAAGACTTATCTATCCGGGTTTGGCTCCGTGGCTTTTGGCTCATGGTTTTTGAATGTTGGCCCCAATTTGTCAGTTCCTGGGGATCCAACTTTAAAAAGGAGAGCTATTTTCTTTTTTCGGGCTTTTTTATTTCTGAATCCTGTGTAGAATCTCTGCATGAATGCATGGAACTGCAAATACGTGATGAAATCCTGCAGAAGAGGAGGCTGGACTGACCTGTATCCCAGCATGACTGCAGAGGTAAAAGTCAAACTCGTACGGATGCGTGATGTCCGTATCGACGGTGGTACCAGCGGGAATGTTTCCACTACGTCCAACCTGCAGGGAACGATGGGCAGTTAGTCTCTATGAGCCTTTTGACTGCTTCACCGTGAAAACAAAAACAACTGCAAGATTTCAGGAAAAGAGGAGCAGGAAACAAAGCTTTTAAAGTGCTAAATGATGACAGAATGTAAAAAGTATAATAACTCACAAAAAATGTTTTGTTCTGATGTTCCGAGCCAAGCGAAGGTCCCCCGAATGCATCCCAATCAAGCAATTAAAAGCCTAATGCACTAAAGAGCCTAATGCTCCAGAGAGCCCTATGCTCTCCTCTGATAATAAGGTTGTTGCTAGCAGAGTCTTACTCTGGGGGCCTCGAGTGCCACTCCAGAGCTCTCGGGTTGCATCGGGCCCTAATGCTTTAATCGAAGGTAATTACAGGGGTTAGGAGGGTGAACGGTCCAGTTGACAACAAAAGGTAATCAAGGACGCCCATTTTGAGTACTTAACGTGCTGGCACAGAGCATCAAAAATGATGGACTAACACGTCACCCACTGTGCCGACCTTAATGGGTACTATCGCTCTGTGTGTGTGTGTGTGTGTGTGTGTGTGCACTCACTCTCTCGTTGCGATCAGCACAGAAGAGACGCGTGTGGTGGCGTTTTTGCACAACTATGTATGTGATGCCTGGCTGGTACTCCTTCTCCAGGCTGATACAGGCCTCACGAATGGCCAGCAGCTCATAATAAAGCACCTGAGGAGGAATGAGGTGGGAAAAATGTGAATTAAAAAACATCTGTATTTCTTCTTTCACTGTACAGTTGCAGAATGTATTTCTGTTTCCCTTATCTGTGTGTGTCATTGGAGCTTCATTATGCCCTGTCATACATGGGCGACACCTAATAGTATAGATCATCTTATCTGATCATCTGAGCAAAATCTCAATCATGACCGATGTGACGGATCAGGATCAGGAAACATTTATTTACCAAAATATGCCAAACATACAAGGAATTTGTCTTGGCGGTTAGTGCGCGACAGTAGACAGACGGATATTCAATCCACCCGATTGTTTAGTGAAATGGATTAGCAGCGGACCTGTCTGAACTGGCCTTCTGAAACTCCATCCCTGTAGAAAATGATCCTGGTGGGCTTGTAGCGGGTCGACTTGTAGAACTGGATGAGCAATTCCCGCACCATGGAGGCCAGGTCCTGGATGACCTCCTGCCTGGGCCTCTGGACCCGCACAGTGGCACAGTACCTGCTGGGGTGGGCGTCCATGCTGCCTACCACCTGGAAGAGAGATGGTGGACGGGGCGGGGGGTGAAGGTCAAGTACAGATTCCTCCAATCAGTCAGGTGTGGGATGAAGATGGAACTTACTGCAGCAATTGAGGGCTTCTTCCCGTCTCCAGCCGGTGGATGTGTAACATCCGCTCCCAAGAAAATAACTGGCTGCTGAAACACTGATGGTCTGTTGATTAAGACACACAAACACAGTGATTAGACTGATTCACATGACAACAGCAAACAAACACCAAGTGGAGCCCTTCTGTCAAACAACAGAAATCAGACTAGTCCAATCTAGGAGCAGCATCCCAGTAGAGGAGCACGACTGACCGCTGGTGCGGCACCAGGATGTTGTTGATGCCCCCTAGTTTCACGTTGATCTTGAGGCAGAGGTTGGAGAGGGTCTGAGGGGACGTCTTCACCACGTTCTTCACCTGGACGCACTGCGTGGCCATGCCCAGCAGGGTGTCTCCCACGCGCTTCACCTCGGCTGGGCGGGTACAAAGAAAGGGTTCTTTCACTGACAAAGCACATTGCACAAGCACGCACCCAAATTTGTGTTTGGTCCTAACCACCAGGCGTTCCTCCGGGGTTCCCCTACCATAGACGGGGGTCTTCCCCGGCAGGATGACGATGATGAGCTGCAGTCCGGCGTAGATGTTCTTCAGGTGTCTGAACATGGGCTCCACGCTGTCCGCTCCTTGCGCGTACTTACAGAAGCACGGCTGGCCTTGAATCGGCATCCCGGCGTCCTTGGAGATCTTACGCAGCTGGTCTGTGAAAGCCCTGAACGGAGGAAGAAGCAGCAGGTCAACGGAACGGGAAAGTCCACTTCGAATCAAAGCTGCAAGCTTTTGCAAAAAAAACATTTAAATGAAAAAAGGATGTTAACATTTGGGAAGGCACTGCACCGTTGTACTGTATCATTTTGAGGCTTTATTGTTAATTGTACCATCATTCGAAACCAATTACTTCTTCATGCCGGATTACAAATGACAAAAACAAAAATACAGAAATAAATGAATCCCCAACATTATTACAGATCAATGAGAATGAATATACTTCATCATCGCAGCACACACAGTAACGACAGAAGTGCAAATGATCCTACTTGAGTATTTCTTCCCGACACTGCCTCTGTGTGGCGAAGCAGGCGATGGCCCACATCTTGATCTCTACCCCGGTGTGGAACTGCTTCCCCCTCATGTCCCACACCCCGTGGCTGGGCGTGGCTACCGTGCGGTTCTGAAACAACATCGCAGCCTCACCACATGTACTCGGGATTATGTGGGCAAAGACTCACATTCATTCTGCAGGGGGACGAGTGTGCAGCCACTCGCATATGCGCACACACCTACACTCACACACACACACACACACACACACACACACACACACACACACACACACACACACACACACACACACTCACTCACTTTTAGAACATCCACACAACACACACGCACTCTTCAGCCATACCAAAAATGAACACTTTTTAACCAATTCACAATTTGAAATAATAAAGAAAGAAACACGCGAGTCAAAGAAACATGCATCAGCGTATTTGGTCTTTCAAGAAGCATTTGAATTTTAAATAAATTAATAAATATCAAGTTGAATTTCACCACTTGAAGGAGTCTGTGGAACCTAAGAGGCTGTGCTGTGTGTTGACATGCACAACACAGTGTGCACAGTGGTGTCCTAGTTCTCACTAATGCGCAAATCCAAATGTATTATTATTAAGTACTATTACTAAAGTACTGTAAAGGTGTTAATCCACACCGTGGTTCAGCCTCAGTAAGTTGCTCCTTTATGCAATTCTTGATTATTTACAAGAAACATTGGCTGAAAGCCATGTACTTTAGAAGCTATCTAATCAAAATGTGGTTGCTTTTCTTTTTTTTATAAAAAAAATCATCCTCGACAGATGAAAAGAAAGAGAAAATAAAATCCTCTTTCAATTCATGAAAGATAGAATTGAAAGTTTGCAGTACTGAGACTCAACCACGAAGAACATCCGGCCTGAAGCACAGAGGGAAGCCAGTGGGTTAGTTCCCCCGCGGAGGCAGTGGGACGAGGGCTGAGGGAGGAGGGGAGAGCGTGATTTAAAGGAAGAGTACCATAAAGTGCTCTGTGCTCACCCTGCCGCCGTACTGCAGCATGGGGGCGGGGAGCACTCGCCCCGTCACGTGGGCCATCTCGTCGCGCACCTTGAACTGGAATTCCTGCACAAAAGGGTCCGCCTCGTAGTTGGCGCTGCGAACCTGCAACGAGTCGGGGAGTGAGAAAGGCTCGTGAGTAAAAGGGACTCGCGTCGTACTGATGTTTCCTGTACCTGCTCACTCGCTGGGAAAAATGAAATAGAGGAGAAGACAAAGTGTCACAACGGCTTCGCTGTTTGTAGAAAAGTGATTGTTTGCAAAGAGGAAAAAAGTACTGGTAGCATGTGGCGCTGTGCAGTGCGTCTGCCATCATTTCCTGTGAGCCAGTCCACTCGTTTTGTTCCCCGGTGAAAAGATTTAATAAGGTAACAGCTGATACTAAAACACGCACTGTTAATCTGATGGTGGCCGGAGGCGCCGCCTGCACATCTTTCCATAAACACAATGCCACAGACACATTAAAGCCATTACTACTGTGGGGTAAAGTTAACCCCAGGTAAACTTCCCTTATAATTACCAAATGAGAAAGAAAAGCATGCGGTCGGGCCTCCGCTAACAATATAAAACGAGAATCTGGGCAGAGGCAATTACTAAACAGGAGATTTTCTCTCAAGATGAGCTGCATGGCAACCAAATGTTGACCTGCTTAGCAACGTGGCAGCATCCTGAACCGGCTCCTTTGAAGTTACAGCCCCGGTAATGGCTTGCAATGTCAAACATGTAGTGCATAATCCAGAAAACCCAGGTCACCGTGCCAACTGACAAAATGTTAAATCGGCAGGTAAATCATGATTTTGTGTTCTGTAACATAACTAGTAAGAAAATGCGTATATATGGGTACCATTGCTGTTTTGAAATCTAGTCTATTAACCAACAGATCCATCTGATCTGAAGTGACCCACCAGCCGGCTGATCTCCTCCTGTCTGTCGGGTGCAGAGCGAGCGGTGGCTTTGATCATGGTGGAGGTCTGGTTATCCGTCAGCTTCTTGATGCACCGCTGACCCGCTACGATGTTGCACACCTGCGGGAGAATGAAATCAGTTTAGTTAAACGTCGTGCCGCTGCCGTGCTTCTGACAGCTGACACACAGGCACACGTCCCAATCACAGAGAGGAAGAGCCATTGGTTTTCTCTCACCTCCAGGGGCAGGTAGGTGTGCTTTTGCTCCTGGCCCACTTGTAGACAGGGCAAATGTGGGTATTTAAGCTGCAGGTTGTACTTCTCCCTGAAGTACTGGGCGACGGTGCGCTCTACAGTCTGACCGTTTTCCAACTGGAGAGGAAACCTGCAGAGAAAAAGCACATCTGGCGTCAGAAAGTAGGCTATTATCAAGCTCAGTCTGATTTCAAAATATAAAACCATTCAACCACCAGCTTTAATTTAAGCAATAAGGTACGGGAGGCTGTACTTTATCGTCCAATAATCTAACAGTTTGGTGGTGTTGTTAGGCCCGACGCGCAGCAACTGTTACATTATTGAAGATAAAGTACTGCCTCAATCACCTTATTGCTTTTATGATACGGTTACCGGAGGAACTATAAAAAAGTAAGCTGCCTTTCAGCACAAAATAGTACCGGTATTTGCCACCAAACGTTGTGTATCCAGAGCGGCCAACTCGTGTGACACACGCTTTCATGCAGTTTCATGCGAACATGCAGTTCTCACACCCACAGGATATCTCACATCTCATTCATTCACATTGCTTGTGACGTCCACTTTAATTGTCCGGTTGCGAAAGCTCGCATTGCACGAAACCGATCATTTGTGGTGCCTTTTTCGGCGCTCGCCACCGAGCTAAAAACTTTAATGACCACAACTGATCGTGGAAAATCTGACTTGTTACTTTGAGTGAACGCTCGGGTCAATGTCAACAGCAACTGTACATAACCACGCACACCCCACGCACAATAATGCAAACCCCGTGACTCTCATCCAATCAGAACGCTGGATTTCATCTACCCGTATTAAGTGTTTTTAAGTGTTCATTACGTTGAAACTGACTCCCACGACAATGGAGTAAGAAGTTTCTTTGTTCAGAATATCGAGGTATTCGACTCGCTGTGTGATATCCTTGACCACCAGCATTGGAGCTGGTGACACCAACAGACTTCAGCAGCTGGTGAAGAAGGCCAGCTCCATTATTTGCTGCCAACAAGAGCATCCTGAGCAGGTGGTGGAGAGCAGGACACGGAAAAAACTGTTGTCCATGTCGGACAACCCGGACCACTCTCTTCACCACCTCCTGCAGGGACAGCGGAGCACCTTCTCCAACAGGCTGATCCAGCTCCACTGTCACAAGGACGGATACAGGAAAACATGCCAACTGCAGTAAGACTGTACAACAAGGCACTTCTGGCCATCTATCTATCTATCTATACTGTTGTTGTTTGTTCTTCCTTAATGGAGGACTAATGTTGACCGCATGGTTAGAAGCTTTTATCTGGTTTGTTCGACGGTGGACTGGTAATCACATTATCACTCCCTCCTCCCCCGTCTCACCCCGCCTGACTCACGTTTGGTGGCTGGCTGGCCGACGGGTCACGTTGCACACGCGGTACTTCCTCCGCATGGTTCCACAGTGCGTCACCTCCACCTTCAGACCTGGTGAATCATGGAAGGTGGTGGCGTAGCCTTAAGAATGACAGCATTTTGATTCATGTGATCCAACTGTTTACTCCCACTGTGCGCGCACACACACACACACACACACACCTTTGATTTCTTTGGTGAACTTGACCCGGTGGGAGTCTGTGAGAGGGCGGGGCTGCTCGTCTATGTTGTGGATGTCCAGCACTTCACACATGAACTGGATGACCGGCTGAGCCTTGTAGAAGGCGGTGGCGGACACTGCAGGACGAAGGAAGCACAAAAGTAAATCTGACAACACGGAAGACTTTTAATTGTTGAGAATTTGACTGAGCAGAAATGTGTAAATGCATTTATTTGTCAGATGGTCACTGTTGATAGGCTCTTTGTAAGGCTTTTTTTTGGCATTGTGTAAGACTGAAGGTTGTCCTCACAAGTGCTGCAACACTTCGCACCAGTTTAGAACAAAACAGCACGAACGGAAACACAGCTTCAGTCAACAAAAGCGACGCATGAATACCGGCCCAATTGTAACACAGGGATGGAATATGTCTTTTTAATGTGCCAGACACTCTTATTGAGGCACGATGTTTATGAAAGAGAAAACCTTGCATCCAACACAGGAAGTGCACCAAGTAGGGGATTCTCCTGTATTCAAACATAAACAGGTTCCGTTTATGCCGGCTGTACTTCCCCTCATTAACTGGAAAGACTGAGGCACTGAGCAATTCAAATATATCTATGACTGCAAATCAAGGCACAAAATGCCAGGGAGATATTCACGTCTCTGGGGGGAAAAGGGATATCAAAACACGATCAAAGGAAATCCAAAAATGGATGGAGAGAGCTGAAGTGAGTGTGCTGGTGAGGCCGAGGAAGCTGCTGACGAATCATCTGGCTCACTGGTTGTGATGTAAGAAATCTCTGTCTGAGAGTGTGTTTGATGAAAGCTGCTGGTCTGCGTCCTTGAGCCTTTCACCAAAGACAGGAAGTGACATCACTCCTAACCGTCCTCTCCGTTCAGTGCTGTTGTTTGTGCAATGTGTATAGAGATATATATATATATATATATCTATACAAAGCGTAAGAAAACAGATGCTTTGCAAACACTTCAAGTTCAGGTTTGTAGTTGGCCAACAAACAAGTGACTTGAGCTGACCAATTGAAGGATTTTGAAGGATGAGAGGGCGGGAAAATGGGACAAAGGGAGAATCGGAGTGCAGAGAGGGAAAAGATTCAAATGGAGACAGAGGCTTCAAAGACGTGAAGCGAAACAAAAGCCGTCTCAAGGAAACCATCCACACAGCTACCCTCCTGACCCAGGCAACACCCACCAGTCACACACAGACACACACACACACACACACATACACACACGCAAGCCGCCCCCTGTCTCCACAGCAACCGCCTCGTCAGTTCCCAGCCAACCAAAAACCTGCCGCCCTCCAAGTTTCTGTTGGTCTCCACCAACCTCCCGCAGTGTGCATACGGCTAAACACACTCTCCATCCTTCCTGACACTTACTGTCCATAAACAATAACAGATTCAAGTCACTATTCTGTGATCACAAAACAAAGGGTGTCCTCTGACAACAGGACAATGCTAAAGCCAATTATTCAAAACTGTACCATGCACTTTTTGTACCATGCAAGATTCAAGACAGCTGAACTGGCTTATTAATTTGGAGAAAAGAGTCAATAACTAAATAACGTGTGATGTCAGAGACGGAGCAATCATCAGGGAATCAAGTAATGCAGGCAGAAAATAAGTCTTAGGTTTGATCAAAAAACAAAGAAATTAAAAAGCTAAATAAATCTTGCAATTCCACTCTCAAGCATGTAGAGGGCGTGACCTTCAGTAAACCACCAGGTGACCCATTCTGCCCATCCATTGTATGAGCGTAACAGAAATACACTTAAGGATTCATAAAGGAGATTATTCTGTCACTCTTCACATCCAGACCCACGCAAGTCACCCACATTGACTTCAGAAAGCTACATCTGCCAAGAAAGACCTTTTTTTTTGCATCCCTGAAAAATGATCGGTTCAGTCTCCCTATTGAGGAAAAAGCCCCGGGAGGATCCTGCAGACTTTGTTCAGCCTTCTAATGAGCAGGATTTTGTCACGTTTGATTTATGTTAAATACATCTATTACACTTTGTCAAACATAACATCACTAAAAGTATTTCAGCCATGCACAAATCCCTTAATAAAGCCTTTATCATGGCGGCTCCATGGCCCTCTCATCTATCCGCTTAATTATTAAAATCTCATTTCCCCTGCTGTGAAGGGGGAGGAGAGAAAACTATTTCAGGGGGACTGCTCACGAGTCAAACCAAGATTAAATTGCAAAAAAAGTAGTGTGAATATTGAACATTTTGTCAATCATTTTGCAATGAGAACAGCCCCAAACACAGTTGTTACTCTGTCTACCTGAGTATGTGTGTGTGTGTGTGTGTGTGTGTGTGCGTGCTGGCGTGCATCACGCCGGAATTTGGGTCTCACCATCAATGTTGAGCATCATCTTCCACATGGCGGGGCGCACAGACTGATGAAAACCGAACCAAACCTCCCTCCCGCCTCCCAGGGGGTGGTCATAGCCCTCGGGGGCCGAGAAGAAGGACCGACCCACCGGAGTGTACCTGCAGCGAGGAAAGTAGCGATGACGAGAGTAAGAAGAAAGGCATTGAAGGAATGAAAGGATCATCGGGAGGTTGTGTTATTTTAAAAGGACCCGATGAGGAGAACACGGGTCAAGCAGGGAAAGGGCGGAGGTAAGGAGACAGGAAATGTAAGATTCGCTCAAACATCCTGAAGGGGGAATGTACGTCAATGTGTCGCATTCAGCTGCTCTTTAGTGGCCCATCCTCCTCTTATTACTCTCCTGCTTGGGCTTAGCAAAGTGATACGGAGCGGAAGTCGGCATGAGGTCAAGAGCGGTGCTTCCTGAGAGCACATATACGCCGGGCTGGATTTCCATTCAGACCGCTACTGACGGACAAAACTCATTTAGAAAGTAATGATTATGAATATGAGGAGGGGGTGAGGAAAGGTCAAAGGAGAGGCTCTGCTGTCCTTAAAACTGTGAAACTTTGAAAGATCACCTTTTAACCAACAAATAGAATAAATAGTCTAATTAGAAAGGTGTGAAACCAGGAAATCCGAACCCGATTTAAAACCCGGCTCACTTCATGGAGGGCAGGTGCCGCAGCACCACGTCCACCGCGTGCACCGGGTTGGTGCTGATGGGCTTGTCCAGCTCCAGCGGCTCGGCCATGCTGCGGCCGGTCAGCACCTCGTGGAGCATGTGCCAGCTGACCAGGGACACGAACTTGATGGAGACTTTGAAGGGGCGATCTTTCCCTCCCTCGCCCGGTAGAGTGACGTCTAGGTCCACCTGAAGGGGGGGTTAGGTGGGGCGGGACAAAGAAGCTCAGATGGGGTGAGACCTTGTGTGCACACAAGGTGTCACAAACGCTATACTACATTCGGCACGATTGGGTGTGGTTTTTTTTCCCCAGCTCACCCCTGCGGGGGCCACGGGCAGCGGGTTCGCCGTGTACAGGCTCCTCTTCCCATCGTAGACTGGCCTGCGATCCCCAAAGATCGTCACCTTGAAGTGCTGTACCATTGAGTCGACGACCTCCCTGCACAGCACACAAAGCGAGTTTCAGTTATAAAAAGGGCCACAGACTCAACACAAACAGTCCGACGTGGCGGCGTATTCACAGAAGTCGGCGTGGCCTACCTGTTGACTCGACGGGGGCACTTGTCAGGCTTGATGTCCACCTCGTAGAGGTAGACGTCCATCTTGGGGATCTCCACCTGGAAGCAGTTGGCCAGCAGCTTGATGGGCTTCCCCATGGTGCCAAAGCCGGGCCGCCGAGGCATGGAGAACAGGGACTGGGCCCCAACGGCTCCTGAGAGCAGACCATGGAGGGGAGGAAGGGGTGGGGGGGGCAGGGTTTTCGGCAAGTAAGTACAAAGACTCGGCTGATACAATATGTCGACATTGAAAGACAGATAACGATCGGCCACTTTGTGTATTGATTACAACTTACTTTTCAAAATCCAGTTGTAGAAATAATAAAATCTCAAATCAAAATTTTACAGTATTTGCTCAACAATTTAGTAGCAAAATTAGGTATTTTTTTCAAAGTTGCATATTTTACACGTGCATGAGTGTACGTGCATGAGCGGTTCATGGCATCACGCAGCTTACTCATTTACTGAAAACACACAACTGCCCCCACCCCCCTCAGGAAGTACATTTAATTAGATTAGCAGTTCTGATGGCGATAAAATAAATGTATGATGCGATGATGTGTCAGTTATGCCTTTCAAGTAATACGACAGACATAATCTCAGTTTCTGCCTGAGAGGGCAGAATAATGTGACTTGAGACCTCAGAGAGGCAGTAAACACCTCCGGCCTCTGAGATGACGGATGTGGAAATGACTCACATTTCAGATGACTACAGCCTTAAACATTGTGGACACAATTTTCCTAATAGATTTTTTCCTGATGCTGTTGTACTATTTTGGGACCGGAAGAAAAGAAAACAACAACAACAGAAAAGGAATCTATGCACGATGACTTAATTACTACACATTTGCTCCGGGAATAGAGCCGTCCTCACGCAAAAACTCAGACGAGACTCATCCATGACACATACCCCCCCCCGGTATTTTTTCCTCCACTTATTCAGCCGTCTCGTTTCCCTGAATGTGTCATTGATAAAAGAGAGTCATGGTCGAGCGTGATTCACCGGCGATACAACAGGCCCACATGTGTGGCTGATCTTGGGGTTGAGGGCCCCGGTGAGAGGAAAGTTCAAAAAACAGAATCCTTCTGGAAGGCCACAGAAGACCGCGCGAGCGACCCTGTTTGTTTACAGCCTGCCTCCAGAAGCGTGTACGTTGAGTTCTCCTCTTCCTCCTGTGGGCTGCTGACTGGAGGGGGGTTTTGGGGGGGGGGGGGCTGGTGGGATAAAATGATGAAAAAAAGTCTGGGATTTCTGCCACGGCAGTCCCTCTAAACTAAGTGCATGCAAACTTTTGTGAAGGTAATCCCGGGGGGGCCCCCGGGGGGGCTTGGGAGCCCCCCCAAAGAGGGAAAAAAAATGCTCTTTCTCAAGGGTACAGGAACCCCGGATTGGGATTTTCAGTCCCCCCCCCCCCCCCCCCCCCCAAGGCCCTGGGGGAGTCGGCATGTTGGAGGGGGATTTCAGGCAGGGTTGGTGTTTTTCCAGCTTCTCTTCTCCTTTTAGAAAAAGGTTCAGCGTGAGTCACATGGCCCCCGGGGGAGTCCAGGGTTCAGCGGCGCATGAACTACGGCACCAACGGAAGGATCGCGCAGCGAGGAAAGAGATGCAACAACCCGCTCTGCCAGTTGGTTCAATTTCAGAATGACACCTACACACACAGAGGCGTACACAATGCTTTTGCTGCACTTTAGGCAAAGACGCACTGATTAATTTTCCACACCCATAGTTTGTATGAAATATGGACATGGTGTCCCTGGCGGTTTCTGAAGAGCCGTTTCCAAGCTAAAAAGGGGGGACGTTGAGGACCGAGTCCATCAGGTGGATCCTGATAGCAGATGGGATCCTGGCCACTTTCATCTGGTCTTCTTGGAAACTAACCTTCAGTCTCACTTTTCTGAAGCTTACACTTAAAAGGTACGTCGAACTGTCGTCTACAGCCACAGGCAATGAAACGAAATCTGTGTGTTTTAAACACCGGACAATGACATTGATTACGTGTCTCAAACATTCTTTTTCTTTTGTCTTTTTTCTGTTTCTGTGGATTTAAAGAGGATTGCACGGGTTTTACAGGAACATCCGATCTAGTTGGGTGACGGTAGTACGAGTGCTGAGAACTCACAAATCGACACGGACTCATCAGGGGCTCGCTGGCTCCTTGCACAGTGTCAAATGTTCATGGAAACCTCTTGTTGACACACCGACTTTGTGCGCCTGTGTGTGTGTGTTTGTGCCCTCAGATGATTACAGGAAGGACGTGCTTTAACAAACAGAAGCGGGTAGATTGAATCGCTCTCTGTCCATCAGTATGTCTCTTGTTTTTCCTGAACAGGAGGTCAAGCTATTCTTCACCACGAATAAAATGGAGATCCATTAGTGGATTTCAGGAAAAACTGCAATTTAATGTATTTCACATACAGTTGCTGGCGCCTCTCACACCTTGAATCAGTCTCTATTCAAACATATTAATCAAGAATGGAAATGTTCCTTTGTGCTTGCAAACTCATGAGTTGGTTTGAATTGATTCTCAGCCATTTCAATTCAGATGAAATAAGTTGTGTTACTGGATTCTTTACATTAATGAATGAACGCATGTGTGCAATTCAGTTGAGTGTAAACAAAGCTGAGCAATACTTTTTTAGTAAGTCGAGGCACCGCAGTGCTGAACATGGATCAATAAATAGGATATAAAACACACCAATGGGCTTTGTAGGAAGATCTAAGCGAGACAGTACACACACTGCACACAGTACACACACTGCACACACAGTCCACACTGCACACAATACACATACTGAACACAATACACACTGCACACAGTACACACAATACACACTGCACACACAGTCCGCACTGCACACAATACACATACTGAACACAATACACACTGCACACAGTACACACTGTACACACACTGCACACAGCACACACACTGCACACACTGCACACACAGTCCACACTGCACACAATACACACTGCACACAGTACACACTGTGCACACACTGCACACAGTACAGTGACACACACACACACTGCACACACACTGCGCAAAACACACTGCACACAGCCACACACACTGCCCATAGGACACACACTGCACACAGAGCACACAGGACACACACTCACAGTATACACACACAGCACACAGCCACAGAGTGCACACACAGTGCACACAGTACCGTCACACACACTGCACACAGTCACTCTTTGCCACAAGTCACACTGCACATACAGTCCCACAGTGGGCCGAGAGCCAGAAGAACTGTATAGTGAGAAGCTGGAATCCAGTGGCCACCCGGCGCCCAAACGTCCACGCTGCTAACGAGTGTACGGGCGCGCACCCCCCCTCCCCAACACACACACAATACAGCTGTTGTGTTTCTAATCCTGAGAGGCCCTGAGCCGCAGCGACAGGGCGAGTGCTCAGTTGCGAGGCACAATGGCGTCTAGTCACAGCGGGGCAGGGCCCGAAAACGCACACAGAAAGGCCGACAGCTGGCGAGCAAAGATGGAGGCACGTCTCACCCACGCCGTCCGTCTCCTCCCTCCTGTTCCCCCCATCTTCATCTGGCACCCACGGGAGTCAGTGCCCCACTCTGCCACAGGGAAACTACCAGCAGGGGGCCACATACCGACGAGGGCCTGGTCGCTCACAGCGACACGGGTCAAAGTCGACATCCGCTAGAGACCAACCTGAGGCCGGGTGATGGCGAGTGTGTGTGTGTGTGTGTGTGTGTGTGTGTGTGTGTGTGTGTGTGTGTGTGTGTGTGTGTGTGTGTGTGTGTGTGAGAGAGGAGAGACGGTACCAGTCAAACGTTTGAACACATTTCTCATTCAATTCAGTGAGAAAGTTTGTCCAAACCTGACTGGTGCTCTATGGGAGGGAGGGAGGGGGGGGGGGGGGGGGGGGGGGGGGATTTGGAGGGGGTTAAGATCTGACTGTAGTAAGAAGCCTGTCTGACTCATTATAGAACGCCCAGCAGTCTTATGGGTAGGATACAAACACACACACACACAGAGCCCTGTGTCCTCCCGGTCTTACTAGTCCAGTTTGTGGAAAAGAGGGACGGGGGGCCGGGGTTTGTTGACTTTCTATGTTGACTTGGGCAGGATGACTGCTCCGTCACTGAATGGTTGCATGCAGTGTAATAAATGAATTACAACCAAAACAAAAGTAATACTCCGATTTGTGCAGCTGTCGTTTCAACATCATATCTTCCTTGCATTAGTTTTCCCAAATCAGAAAAAGTGAAAATCACCAAATGATGTATTTCAAGGCGTTTTGAGGTCTCTGCGGCTGACAATTTAGTCCCCACCCTGAGTTATGATGGAGGCCACTTTTTTTATTCGTTACGCTCATAACGTTGAGAATGAGCATCAGCAAATCTTTCTACACGCAATCCTTTTGCTTCCTTTGGAGTATTTCCTACGTAGGAAATTATCACCAATGGAGGTTCATTTGTATCGTTCAGCTGAGAAACATTTAAGTCAAAAGTGTTTGGAGTAATGACGTATTTTAAACGCCTCTCTCTGCCACTGAAAAACAGGCCGACTTCGTTCTGTCCGTCGAGGGAAGCCTCCAAGACTACACACCGACTTCCAAGTCCAAGTCCCTCTCCCTGTCCGTGATCTCCCCCTCAAATGAGCCTCTTTCTCCCCAAAAGGAAGGGGGAAAGGCACGAGGAGGAAAAGAAGTGTGGTCCAGCTGCTCTGGCTTCTAATCTCAGTGACACATCACAACTTCCTCCCCCGTCTCCCCCTTCTCCCACACACACTGCATGCCTTAACTTTCCCATCTGGGTTTGCCGCGAGTCCCCAAACTCCCCTCGTTTTTTAGTCCACCACACAAACAAATGATTAAGAGTTTTGGAGAGCCTGAGAAATTCCACAGAACTTTTCCACAGCCTGCGGCACTCGTAATATATTAATAAAAAAATGTCTTTAGAAAGCAAATTTGAAGCAAGTACTTAGTGTGTTCCAATTGATTAAAATGACTCAAAAATGTGCTGATGTTTTCTTCCTGTTTGAGGAGCACATGTGCCAGGAATCCACTCCTCTTACAAATTAGGAAATATATGCAAATAAATACTCGAAAGAACTCTTCCTTTTGAATATCATTAACATAAATTACCTGTGTTAGAACAATAATAGTTAGAATAGTTATTTCGCCTGTATTTACAATTTCATTTTGGTTATTGTAGATTCTAATGTGTTATTACTGCCTTTTTATAATACTAGTTTTGGACCACGTCTCTTGTTTGCACCTGTAAATGTCCCCACTACCGGACTAATAAAATAAAATAATGATTTTACATTTAAAAGAAGAAATCGTAATACATTAAAGAATCTTTACGATAATTTAGCTGGGAAGGTATTTTTATTTCCTCCAGTAAAATAAAGCCAGGGGTAAATGTCTCTTAAATACATTGAGCCTAAAGAATAACTGAAATACTCTCAACAAGTATCACAATGGTTGGCCTTATGGATGAGGAAGGTGGGGGGGGGGGGGGGGTCCTTATGGTCGGTGGGTCGCTTGAATGAAGCGAGTATCGCGGCGATAGACTGCAAATCAAGTGCGCCAGCCCCCCCTCAAAGAGGACCCCACCGGCTGCACAAAGTGCACAGAGGACACGGCTGCGGGGAGAGTGACAGGGAGCACGGCGTTTCCCACTGGGGCACAGAGAGGGAAAGAAAGGCATGTGTACAAGGATGGGCGGGTGCAGGGGGGGGTGGTGGGGGCGGAGTGGAGGGTTGGTAACTGTGAATCCAAAAAAAGAGCGGGAATACTGGGTGAGTGTGATGAGGGAGGGGGCGGGGGGGGGGGGGGGGGGGGGGGGGGGTGGACTCATTTCTGCACTGCACCTTGTATCCTCATAGCGCTGAGTACACTCATGGGCGGTTCTATGATAAGAACACCCCCCCCCCGGCTCTGGTACGGTCGGGGGTCTCAGGTTACCCAGCATGCATACTGCTGGGCTGGAAGAGGATACCTTGATATGGGCAACGATGTGCTTTAAAATTGTTTGCCATTGTTCGGGGTAATATAGGCCGTAATAACAAAAAGCAGAAAGTCTAAGGGGGTGTTTAACCTCCAGGCCGCCGCTAACGCTAACGTGGAGGGAGAAGCCCATCATTTCCCATTTCTGACCAGTTCTTCACTGTCCAGTGGCGAGCAGTTTGCATGGCACATGAAAATAGATTGGATTTGCCGGAGGCTCGAAGGCCTCGCTGTCATTATACCCCTCGTGCTAAGCTCTGCAGAGCCGCGGCTTCGAGGCCCCGCGTGCTGCCGCCGAGGAGAAGAGTGACTCAGTCTGTGAGCAGGCTGTGCAACCGATGAGCGCTTTCTCACGCTCGCTTCCAGGCCGCTGACTGATGGAGGGCCCCGTTTTAATCATTCACAGCCCGGCGTTGGGCTCACCGGTGGGCCCCTGGTGGTTTGTGATATGCGATTGACAAACAACACATACATGAAATGATCAAACATGAACAAGTTAAACACGCCTCTTTCTGACTCTATTAATGCGCTAGTGTCTTCAGCGGAATCCTTAATCACTGTCCTTAATACATTTAATGCTAGACCGGATAATAGTATACTCCAACATGACTATGCATTCAATGTGCTGTTGTTGACTACTGTGCAGGAAACACATTAACAAATACATTACATGATCTTGAGAGTTTGGGGCTATATTAGAAGTTTTATCCGATCATATTGCACGTCTTTTGATCGGATACGCACCAGCGAGAAGTACGCGGAGCTTATAGCAAACTGCCCCTGATGACCCCGCAGCGACCTCAGCGAGCTCCTTTGTGAAGTATCTACAAGATTCAACCCACAGCGGCTGACGCGGGACAACAAATCTATCGTTTTCAAGAAAAAGCTCGTCACTGGGAGAAGAGGTGATAACGCCCAGTTATAATGAGTTATACATGTGTTACAATGCTTTAGGTCTGGTCTCTACAGCCACGGTGGTCTTAAGCGATGGATTGCTTGATGTAGGACTGCACTGAAGGCCCTGGGTGTGAAATGACCGATGAACAACACACCTTGAGTTGCCTCTATGCTACAGAGTCAACTGTGAGGAGCAGAGACGCTAATGAGACAGTAGGCTGAGGGGGGGGGATCTCCTACGATGGTGGTGGGGGGGGGGGGGGGGGGGGTTGTGTCATCCGCTGTATCATGTATCACCGGCTGCTCACGAACACCCGGCATTCATCCGAGTGGAAAGCTTCCGTTACAGCAGCCTGTTAAACTGCCCACGGGATCCCGATGGGAGCGCTTTACCGGCCCACGATTTCAGTCACCGGGACTAGACAGGAATTTGCGAGGTTCCTGCTGTGGATCAACGTGTTCAAGTACAAAAAAAAAAGGTTTTGTACTGTTTTTATGAACTCAAGCTGGTGGGTTTGTTGGAACGAGAAATATGTCAAATAAACCCAGGGAGAAGGATGCTGCTGTACATGCTGAGGGGTCAGTGGGGGCAGATGAGGGAGCATCTCACGGTCACGACTGTAACTGTGAGATGACGTCACGGCGTGGGAGCTTTCCTAAAGCATGCAGGGGATCCCCGAGCCCGATCTCAGCACCTGGGCAAGACTTTTGCGTTTAAACGAGTTGAATTCCGACTAGCACCACCGGCGGTGTCCCGTCGGTTGTGAGGATAACGACCTCCAACATGTGTCGAGGAAAGCCGACACATGTTCTGCCATACGGGGGTCAGCAACATAACTTCAGTCGGGAGACGCTGTGGGGGGGATGTACCTGTAGTTCCGATTTCCATTCATGAGGTCTCTGTCCGGGATCGTTCCCCGGATCCCCGCAGTCAGCCGGTCGGGACTCTTCCTCCGTTCTACCCGGTGTCTCCTTCGGCAGCGCCGCGCCGAACGGCGGAGCGGGGTCCTGTTCTCTGCTGGCTCCTCTTGCCCCCCACCCGCGGATTGTCACAAAAAAGGGGGGGGTCCGAATTCTCGTCTTGCCGTCTTCGGTCCAAAAAAGGAACTTTTCCTCCCCCCTTATAAGGAAATATTTGGTCAACTAGACGTGTGGGATCAGAACTTCCGGTCCCCGGCCGGGGAGTAACGGGACGAGAGGAGCCGTCAGGAGATCATCACCGCGGGGTCACCGAGTCCGAGTCCTGCCGAACGATGAACGGGAACGGACTGCCGCACAGCGAGCTGCTTCGGATTATTATTATTATTATTATTGTTTTAATAGTAATACACCGAGTGGCTAGCTCGGCGGTTTGATGACGTTAGTTAGAAATTATGGCAGACGACGGTTACTTAAATAGCGTTAAAAACAGCCGGTGACACGGCACCGTTTCCCGAGCAACCATATTGCAGCGGCGTCGTCTTCTTCTTCTGGAGTTTTATGGTGTTCTTTTTATTATTTGTCCCGATGCCGGTGGAACAAAGCGGTCAACACCGGGCAGCAGCCGCCGATAAGTGTCAAGGTCTTTTTCCTCTGTGCGGTTGACAGATCAACTCTGCGGGGCTTCGGCGAGCCAGCTAAATATGGAGAAGTTGCCTTTCTGACAGGAAGAGGTTGGCTCTGACGTCAGAGGGATCGACTCCGCCTCCATCCAGAGGAACACTACGATGACACACATCGCACATCTGGGGATAAACTATGAATTATTCTAGTTCAGGGCTGCGTCTCTTTTGTAATGTGTTTCCTTTTTTATTTTCTAATCTGACTGGATAGTTGGAGATTTCCTTCACTAAGGAAGAAATTAAAAAGATGCAGGTGCCTTTTAGTAATGTTTATGGCATATTGCTGGTGCTCCAAAGATGCTTGAGCGCAAGTCACATGTTTGTGATTATTAATGTTCCCACCTTTCAAACGGTGTTGAGGAATTGTATTCAAAATTCAATTCAATGGATTAAATGATTCACAAAATGTAATCCTAAAGGCCTTAACTACTCCAACACAGATTTACACACGTGTGCTCTTCTTGTATTTACATTATATAGACTCATGTCTCAATATCAAGTTAAATATCTATATTAAAAAAGATGATTACAGGAGTAATAAAAAACAATTTTATTTTATTTAAAAAATAAACCGCAACAGAGAACAACAAGAGTTCCCATACTATCACATACAGAGCCAGAATAATAAGCTTCCATGTCCTCTCATTCCAATCGGTTGGAAGTGCTATGACAAGGACTGTTCTTGATCAGCGGCTTCGGTATTGCTTAGTCAGACATTGAGGCTTCGTGGAGGGGGGCCCCCTCCGCGGTACCCACAGGATGCATTACCAGGGGGACGGCCATTTCGCCTTCCCCCCTTTGCAAGGTGCTTTGTGGCTTCAGTGAGAGAAGAACTGCATCTGTTTCAGTGATACTGGGAAATTCATTTTCTTTTCTTTTCTTTTTTTTTAAAGCACAGAATGAGGGGGGTAAAACACTGGCCCCCAACTGTAAAGAGGCCTGGCAACTGGTGAGCCAAAATACATAACGGGTTAATATTATATATTTATATATACAAATCACCTTGGACACAATAACAGATCAGTAAAACGGTGTACAAAGGCATTTTCATTATGCAAGTTAATAGACATGATTTAGAAATCAAACTCATCCAATCTTTTATCCTTTGATCCCTCTCAGCTCAAAGGGGCTCTGATCCGTCAGATGAGATTTGAGGCGCTTAAAGGGCAACGGAGATGGAATTTTGAGACCGTCCCCACAGTGCCCTGTCAAGATACACCCTGACACTAGTTACAATATTCATCATAATAATAATAATGACTAAGGAAGCAGTCTTCATAACCATTACACAATTGAGGCAAAATGTCTGACAGGCAGCGGTGAGCGCAAGGCTCCTACCTCTAAAGAAACCATAATAAGGTGGCTCAGAATATCCAGTCATAAAAAATAATTACATGCAATTCTTTTTTTGATAAATCCAGAAAGTGACTAGATGTAAAGGCAGGGCATATTAAATAGTACTAACAGGGGCCCAGCCTGTCCAATGTAGCAATCCCCTACCTGTGCCGCCCATGCACACAGAGCACCAACGGGTATTGGCTAACACACGCTAGGGGATCGGGGCAGGGGATGCTGCAGGTGGGTGATGTCAAAAGTGAGGATAGATGGCAAGGATGAGAAAGGAGTGAGGAGTCAACGTTTGGCTTGGAGGGACATAAGTGCGTTGGAAGAGGCTGGTCTCTGCATGCTAAGAAAGAGACAGAGGGGGCAGCAGCGTGTGTGTGTGTGCTTCTGCTAATTCAGGCGATGACTTGTAAATGCCCGCAGAGGGAAGAGCCGGAAGCAAAAAACGGGGCCAGGTGTGAAAGTTTGGAGTGCACGGTGTGGCGACCTCTCCACTGGTGGAATGTTGAAATGCGCGGAATGACCGGAGCGAGGGGTCAATGGCTGAATGAGAGTTCAGCTTTGCAGCACTTAAGTGGTCACAGACAGACTGTATTTGCCTGCATTCAAATCTACAGAGGAGTGTTGACTTTACCTATCGTCATAGTTACCTATTTGTTTGGAAAGCTGTGCAGGTGTGGGTGTCCGGCCTCGGGACAGACAAGTCTTTTTGAAGTAAAACAAGTCAATAAGTACATTTTGAAAAAGTGCCTCGCAAACACTAAAAAGGCAACGGGTACAGAAACGAAAGATTACCTTCCTGTTTAAGTGCCCCTTTCACATTGGTTGGCATCACTTTTGGCTGGTTTAGGTGCACGGGGTGTACGTGTATTTGATGAACTCTACACAAATGGTCCCTCTATTGCTATGGTAAGCTGGCCTCTAAAGGCTAAATCTCTAGCGGACTGGCCAACCAGCATCTAGAGTGCTGCAGGACTTCTGTCCCGCGTCTACGATATGCTACACCTGCTCCTTCTGTCTCTGCTAATATCAAGGCCAGAGGGCTAGCCCCACATGTTCTAACAAACTGGTATGTGCAGGACCGCTGGTACCTACGTGCTAACGCTAAGTGCTAATGTACCATACCTTCGACTCCTCAGGTAGTTTAAAAAAAAAAAACATTATTCAGAAATATCAAAAACACAAATGATGTTCATAACAACGATAAAATGATACACGCAGGTGTGCATGCCCAGTACCCCCCCCACCAGGAGAATCCCCACGCTAAAGGGGCTTGGAACACTGGAATCCGGATGGGTAAAGAGGCAGCATCGTTGTGGAAGTTAAAAAAAGTTTCTTTGTGATTTTCTTTTTGTTTTTTTGCCCGTTTTCCTCCCATTGCATACTTCCACACACAGGAGTCTGAAGGTAGCGTAAATTACAATTACATAATGAAACTAACGTTTTTAAAAATGTCAACACAAAAAGAGCTACAGTCCTGGTGAAGTAAAAACAACAAAATGACCACAATAATAATAATAACAACCGTTTTGAGTGCGTGAGGCTGTGGAGCCTGTGTGTTACAGGCGAAAGGGCCTCGTGTTGGGCGGATGTGGGCGAAGGACCGGCGGGTCTGTGGAGTTCGACTGCCGGGCAGTCGCTTGGAACAAGGGACGGGGATGAGGTGGCGGGCCGGGGGTCCACGAGGTGGCCGCTGTGGCTCAGGCGAAGTACATGGTCCTCAGGGTGTCGTGGTGGATCTGAACCGCCTTGGCCAGCGCCTGGGGGTCCCGGCCGTTGCTCTGACCGGACACATGGCTGCCCTCTCCACTGAGGGGAGACGACAGCGGGGGAAGGGGCGTCACTTCATGTGTGATCATCAGGAGTTCAACATTCTGGTTTAATTACGGTATTCTACGGTATTTCTTCACAGCAGACCGCTGCTATGGTTGCCATGGACGCAGCTCTGATCCATGCACAAAGAGAGAGCACTATTTTATTTTATTTAGCGGAAGGAAATTAAATTGAAACATTTTGTGTCAAACTTCTGTTCCCTTTAGTAAGTAGCTGTGTAGTAAGTGTAATGTACACAATCCCTCATGTAGCAGCGGAAGTTTATTAGGACTGGTGTACTTTATGATTCCTACGTGGTCCATAATCTCAGTTCATTTGTTTTAGAATATTAATAAAGACTTTACACAACAACATTAAGACTTTCCGGTCGCTGTGGGGTCGTAAAGGTTTCGCGAATCACTCACCTGTCGTGTTCTTTGTCCACCAGGTGGTAGCGAGCACGGAAGGCCACCAGACGGGCGTAGTAGGCCGGCGCGGGGATGGAGACGGAGCGGGTGCAGCGCACGTAGGTGTGGCACAGCTGGTACGTTAGGATCTGCAACTCGTCGGCTGTGAAACGATTGTCGTCCCACAAGACGTAGTAATGCGATGGCCGGCTGGTGCCCTGCAGACAGAGGGGAGGCAATGCCGAGAATTAAGATGGAAGACAACGATAAACGGAATAGCTCTGAAGGTTAGAGGGATTTTCCTTCTGTGGATGTTACCTGTATGCCCGCGTGGCTGCACAGGTAAAAGTCAAACTCGAAGGGATGAGTGATGCTGGTGTCCACTGTGGTCCCCGCGGGAATATTCCCACTCTTCCCAATCTGAAACCAAACAAATGATCGCTATTAAAAACACGTCCAAACCAGTGTTGGGAGTAACGCGTTCGCTGTGATTCCACTACTTTTAGCGGTAACGAGCATGTAACAAAGTATTTTTTTAAATAAATTAACGCAGTTACAATTACTGAAATTGAAATGAGTTCGTTACTCGCGTTACTCTCTTGTGTGACGCGAAGCGGAGGGCCGGCAAATAGTAAGTAAATAGCTGCCTGTCAGCACAAAATAGTTGTGGCCACCAAACGTTGTGTGTCACAGAATAGTCGCCGTACGTGCACGTAAACAGCATCGCGGTGCTCATGACGCAGGAGCGCAGCCCCGCGGATGCTGCAGGCGCCGCTCCACGCAAACAACCAGGGCTCCACTTTACACGCACTGCAGTGCAGCCGATAAACCGGACAGAGCTGAATAGATTGATTGCTCGCTATGTTGAAGATGAGATGCATCCTGTCAACTGTCGAGTCAGTTGCCTTCAGGCAAATGCCTCAAACAGTTATTTTGTATTAAGTTAAGTATTAAAAAGGACTTTTGTACCATTGCTTGATTTGAAGGCTGTTGCCCTGTTGATTACAATAAATAGGTCTAAAAAATATGTTTATTGTGTTTGACTGTTCAGTACTATTTATATTCATTACATTTAAAAAGAAGATATAAAAGTAACTTAAAAGTTACTTTCCAGAGTAACTAATTACTTTTGATACACAGTAACTGGTACTGCTACTGGTATTGAAGTAATTCAATTACCTTTAAAAGAAGTAACTAGTAACTGTAACTAAAGACTAATTTTCAGTAACTTGCCCAACACTGGTCCAAACAAGCAACTATGAGAAGAGAACAGCGGCGTGAAAGAGAAACCCCACCCTCTCCGACTTGTCGGCACAGAAGAGGCGTGTGTGGTGGCGTTTCTGCACCACGATGTAGGTGATGCCCGGTTGATAATCTTTCTCCAGCTTGATGCACGCATCTCTGATGGCCAGCAGCTCGTAGTGGAGAATCTGCACGCCAGAAACATCGGCAATTAGCACAAACCATCATCAATTTAATTAAAATGTGCCAATAACTAAAATCGAGTTTGGAGTAAGAAGCTGTTTTTACGATTGGGAGCGGAGCATAATCGTTGCTTTCATATTACCTGTGGCAACTGTCCCTCGGGAACTCCGTCCCTGTAGAAAATGATCCTAGTGGGCTTGAACCGGGTCGACTTGTAGAACTGAATCAACAGTTCACGCACCATGTACGACAAATCTTCAATGATCTCCTGCCGGGGCCTCTGGACTCGCACTGTGGCACAGTACCTGCTGGGATGAGCATCCATACTGCCTACCACCTGGAAGAGACGGGACGGGACGAGACGGGTTGAACAGGGCACCGCCGAGTCCAGTCAATTGATTCCCACTGGTGACACTCATGAATAAAGATACACTGGACATCACAAAAACAATCCTTCAAATGTATGGCAGAGAAACAAAGCACTATCAATCCGCTGCTGCCACTCATTTGTCCCAATGTGTACATTAGCACGTTAGCACCCCCTAGAGGCTGAAACCGGAAAGTGTGGCAGGCTTTTTCTTTTTTTTTTTTCCTTCCCTCAAATTCTTCTACTGCACCACACTCATCGTTTTTAAACCCAGTTTTCTCCACAATGAGGAGGTACGCCACAGACCCCCCTCTCCTCTCCCTTCCCCTCTGTGTGGGACTCCAGCGTCATCGCTAGGCAACAACACAGCCAACCACAGCCGAGCTGAGGTCAAGGGCGGACAGGGGCTGACGTCATTTCCTCCTGAATGTGAGTCAGAGATGAGCCATGTTTCCTTTTATCCCTCCCTGACCCCTCTTTAACTACTCTCCATCTTTTCTTTTGTCCAGCTTTGAGCATTTTGTACCCGAGCCACCAGAAGGAGTCGGATTGACCGCAGTTTCTCAGGAAATAAGACTTTTAAAGCTCACATCATGCATTAAAATAGGAAACAACACAAAGCACTTAAGACTGTTTTTCCGGTTTAACTGCTTGTTGAGTGCAACAAACCGACTGAGAGGGACTTAATAAAGCTAAAAGTTAGGGATTTAAACAAAGATGCGTAAATTAATTACAAATACCTGTCCAAAATGACAAAGGCGTAAGGGGATGACTTCATCTGTTCAGACATCCATCGATCACACGGTCAACAAACATCAGAGCATTTCTTTAATTCTACTGTGCATTCGTGTCACCATAACATGAACGTAACAAACACTGAGATGGGCGCTGAGTGTAATCACACCTGCTCCGCAGTGATTTCATTGATTTTATTCGGTCTCCGACATACGCATACATTTGGCTGTAGCATTCTTGTTTTAGCAGCATCGCTGTGCGCCACACTGTCACTTAGCAACCCCGAGCATGTGTATGCTTTGTTTGTGACATCTTGAGCCGATTTGCATTATTATCTATGATTTGTTTCCTTTGCCTTTAAACAAGACAGTGCCCCTTCTAGCTTCTCTTTATATAACTAAACACTTACAAATGACAAAATCACGCTTTGGCTTGGAATAAATCCCTGAAGGCAACGTTTTTAGCAACTTTTCCCCCCGATGTATTTTGGTCGTATGAATGTTGGCGCGGACACAGAGAACTGGTGTTGTTCACTGAAGGTGTTGTGTGTGAGACTTACAGCAGTGATGGAGGGCTTCTTGCCATCTCCAGCAGGGGGGTGAGTGACGTCCGCTCCCAGGAAGATAACCGGCTGCTGAAACACTGCCGACCTTAGCACGCCAAACGGAGGAGAAGCAAATTACACTTGCTCATAAATGCATCTTGGGTGGTAATGTGGCCGATATCGTATACTGTGACAACATGTGTGGTCCTCCTCCCTAAACAAAAAGCTCACCGCTGGTGCGGCACCAGGATGTTGTTGATGCCCCCCAGCTTCACGTTGATCTTGAGGCAGAGGTTGGAGAGGGTCTGAGGGGACGTCTTCACCACGTTCTTCACCTGGACGCACTGCGTGGCCATGCCCAGCAGGGTGTCTCCCACGCGCTTCACCTCCGCTAAAAAAACGGGACAGTTTTGAAAATGTGTCAACACGCCGTCTCGGTGCCTCTGGAATGATTTAGCAGAGTGTGTGTGTGTGTGTGTGTGTGTATTCAAGAAGGAGAAAACAAATACAGCGACCCACCATAGACGGGGGTCTTCCCCGGCAGGATGACGATGATGAGCTGCAGCCCCGAGTAGGTGTTCTTCAGGTGTCGGAACATGGGCTCCACGCTGTCCGCTCCCTGCGCGTACTTACAGAAGCACGGCTGGCCTTGAATCGGCATCCCGGCGTCCTTGGAGATCTTACGCAGCTGGTCTGTGAAGTTCCTGCAAGTGGCGAAGATTGAATTCAAAAGGAGATATGAATATCAATCATATCATAAAGAAATTAATCATAGTGTTGGAGATACCAAATGTAGGCGAAATCATCACTAAATGAATGTTCTTTCCTTACTGTTACCACTCATTAGTACTCACTTCAGCACCTCCTCTCTGCACTGCTTCTGGGGGGCAAAGCAGGCAATTGCCCACACTTTGATCTCGATGCCGTTATAAAACTGCTTTCCCCTCATGTCCCACACACCCTGGTTGGGGGTTGCTATGGCGCGGTTCTGTGGAAGAGACGACCGGAGGAGTTTTTAAAGTTCCTGCTTCCACACACTCCCATCATACCTCAGTAAAAGACTTCATTTTGGATAATAAATGAACGGTACCCGTCCTCCGTACTGCAGGATCGGGGCTGGAAGCACCCTGCCCGTCACCTCAGCCATGTCATCTTTCACCTTGATCCCAAACTCCTGGATGTACGGGTCCAGGTTGAAGTTGGCGTTCTTCATCTGTGGAAAGCGAGAAGAAAAAAAGAAAAAGCATCGGCCCGTCAAGCATCCTCATGTTGTTGCACCCGCTGCGTGGCCTCCGTCCAACATGTGCCTTTCAACCCACCAGCCGGCTGATCTCCTCCTGTCTGTCGGGTGCAGAGCGAGCGGTGGCTTTGATCATGGTGGAGGTCTGGTTATCCGTTAGCTTCTTGATGCACCGCTGACCCGCTACGATGTTGCACACCTGGATCGAATGAATCCAGAGTCATTGGTTACTCACGTGCATCGCATTGATCCCGGATGTTTTTAAGTGGGTATACCAGTTGTGTTGCTACATTAGAACTGATTAGGTGCATCAGAGCTAAATTCCTTTCTCACCTCCAGGGGCAGGTATGTGTGCTTCTGCTCCTGCCCCACCTGAAGACAGGGCAGGTGGGGGTATTTCAGCTGCAGGTTATACTTCTGCTTGAAGTACTGGGCCACTGTACATTCTACTGTCTGCCCACTTTCCAGCTGGAGGGGGAACCTGGTCGACAAGAGACGAGAAATGATGAGGAAGTTGCATTTGCTGTGAGGAGACACAGAAGACTTTGGGTGGAAACCAATGATCGCCAGCTGACTCATCCAGTTTGATGTTAAAATGTTAAAAGGAATGACAGTCACCACTCAAGACTCCAAAGGAACAAATACAAGTTGCTCACTAAGTTTGCAGCAAAAAATCCTTTCTTACTTTTTTTTTTTTTCAACTAAATGTGTGTGTTGAACATCATTTCAGAAATAAAAAGAATAATTTGGAATGAAATACTGATAAATCCTTTGTTTATGAACAACCTCTCCAAAGACCTCCCAGGGGATTGAGAATCCTCCTTTAGGAATTCAAGACTAAAGAGTAATATAGTTCCTCTAGGACAGTTGAAGGTGCAACGTAAGAGCCAAAGAATGAGTCCGACACAAAGAGACAGAAGGAGAGGCGGTTGTGAGGGGCAGTGAGAACAATGGAGACACCACTCATGCAAAAAAAGAAATAAGCCAGTGCTCAATATTCTCTTCTACATTCCTCCTTCAGCTGAGACTACAGAGGACACCAGATCCGTGCCGGTTCTAATCTGCCTTATCCTCATGGCTCCCCAGAGGCTGCAGATGTCCTGGCGTGAGCCTGCAGACTCACGTTTGGTGGCTGGCGGGTCGTCGGGTGACGTTGCATACGCGATACTTTCTCTTCATCTGACCACAGTGAGTCACCTCCACCTTCAGGCCTGGTGATGTCGACAAGGAGGGGTGTAAATCAGGCAAAAAAAAAGACAGACATGATTAATAAGGGCCAGGTAATTAAACAAGCTTAAGGGTAAAATGCATATAACTTATGAAGTCTAGGAAAGGTTTGAAAATGTTAAGACAAGAGGCGTGAAGACGCATTTGCGTTGCGGCGGCACCTTTAATCTCCTTAGTGAAGCGGACCCTCTGCGAGTCCGTGAGGGTCTTGGGCTGCTCGTCGATATTGCGGATGTCCAGGACTTCACACATGAACTCGATTACAGGCTGAGCCTTGTAGAAGGCCGTGGCCGACACTAGAGGGAGACAGAGAGCAAACATTAGTCCACAAAGGTCAAAGGAGGGCGACTTACCAAAAAAAAAAAAAAGAAAAAAGGGGGATGGATGCAACTTTTATCCGCATTCACATCCCTATTGAAGGAGTTTATCTGAACTGAACCAATATTACGGATGTGTGGCGGTGATTCAAAATCCCATTTTTGCTTTCACAATTTCTGACTGTTTTCTGCTTAGTCATGCAATCCACCCGGTGACTCACCGTCAATGTTAAGCATCATCTTCCACATGGCCGGGCGCACGGACTGATGGAAGCCGAACCACACTTCCCTCCCCCCACCCAGTGGGTGGTAGTATCCTTCAGGTGGGGAGAAAAATGAACGGCCCACTGGAGTGTACCTAAGTGGGAGGATGTGTGAGGGGGGGGGGTGACGAATGTGGAAAAGAAATACTTGCGTGAGCTCAGAGTGACTTCATATCCAGAGATGAACTATGAGTAAGAAGGACTGGTTGCCCCCCAAAAAGTGCTGGTGTAACCATGGGGCACCTCATAGAGGCCAGGTGGCGCATGGCCACGTCCAGGGCCTGGACCGATTCGAGGGGGACCTGCAGCCGACCGCTGACCAGAGTCTCCTGCAGCAGGCGCCATGACACCTTGGCCAGCCAACGGATGGACACCTTGAAGATTCGGTCTTTGCCCTCACCTGGGATGGTGACCTCAAAATCCACCTGGAGAAATAGAGGACAGGAAAGACAGGAACAGAGGGGGAGGTAAAGAACAAGGCCGTAGGCGAGCAACATGAACGATTAGCAGGAAGAGGCCATTATCAACACGAGTACAGTGAATATGAAGCCACAGCTAGCTGCTTAGCTTAGCATGAAGACTGCAGACTGCGTTTCTGCTGTGACGCCTGAGCAGCAGAAGTCTTTTTCGTTCCCTTTGTCTCCTCTCTCCACCAAAACCGCTGAGTCGTCACATACACCCGTCAACTCATTACACTTCTGACTTTATAGATTCCTCCCTTCCATTGTTATAATTTTCTCATTTATTGACAAATTGTATCTTGTTTGTTATCTGTAAAAAGTATTTTGTAGATTATTCTTTGGCTGGGAGCAGTGATTACCCGCTGTCTTTCCATCTTTGTGAGGTTGCCAGGCAACCAGCGGAGACCCCTTTGGATAGAGCCATGGTTGCTTTTTCATCTCCGTTGCCAATATTTATGCTGAGCTAAGCTTATTGGCTGTGGCCATAAAACATCTATAACAGACAAGGTCTTTTTTTGTTTGTATTTTTTACCCCTGGCTTACCATCAACTGCTCTGATCCCAGAGGACGGGTCAGCTGGTGGTGATGTAGTGGCACTTTGTAAAGCTAAACAACTTCAAACATCTACCTTCTCACTGCCAATCGGCAGCGCTAGCACCGTGTAGATGTTCTTCTTGCCGTCGTACACCGGCTTCCTGTCGCCGAAGAGCTGAGGCTTGAAGTGCTGCACCATGTACTCCACCACCTCCCTGTAGGACGCAACACACACACACACACACACACAGTGTGGGATTAAAGCACAGCAACAAACGGCACTTAAACCCATCGCCGATCAGGTGGGGGGGGGGCAGTTGTGAAAATGGTTGAATATTGATCAAGCGGCATGCAGCTGTTGGGAGCAATATCTCATGTTCACAGGGAGGAGGGGGGGGGCCGAGGACACAAAGAATGAGGGCGTGAGCGGGGGGCCCACTGCTCAATGCCCGGTGCCTCGCCCCCCCCCCCCACAGAAATGTGGGGGACGACCCAAGAGGTCTGAAAAGAAAAGTTCAAAAGGGCCTGACCTCAGCGAGCCTTCTCACAACCTTTGTTCTCAGTACGACCAATAGAGAGGCTCTGTGGACGCTGCAGCAGGTGTATCAGCGTCTTTCACTCTCTGCGGCTGTTCTGGACCAACGAGTGTAATTGAGCCGTTGATTTGTTCCCATTTCTGTTCACATCCTCACTAAATGGCGATGACGGCAAAGACCAGAGACTCCCAACAGAGTGCTCTCATCTCTCGGCTTTTAATACCACACGGATGGCAGATAAGAACAGAGGTATTAAGTCGGGGCAGGATGAGTACAGATAACCACGAAGCGTCGGGTTGTGGGCAAATCATTAATTACACTAGAGGAAATATGCAAAAATAAATAATACGGTTACTTTAATGACAAAGCCCCACAAGACCTGCGTCTGCTCCAGCTGAGAAAAAAGTCTGCTATTAGAGTTGCTCTTTCTGCAATAAACCAACCGTGAACTGATCTCTCATCAAAAGGCTGATCTAACTCGGCTAACTCTATCGGGTTACATTCCCACGGATCGCCTCACATCAGCGCCACGTTCACTTTGCTTCGCTGCGTGATGCAGGTTAAAGCAATCACCCCGGCCGAGGGGGGTCTGTCAGCGAAGTTAAGACGCCCCCGTCTGTCCGGTCAGCTGATCCGGACGCCGCAGGCCGGAGAAGCCGTCCTGTGCAACCTGCGCATAGTGTTTCTATGTTGGCCCGATTCTACACGGCTTTTCCACACGTCATTGCCTGAAAGAGTTCAAAGCGGGTCACAGGGTTCAGATTTAAGTTGAGAAATACCCCGTTCTGATACAGTGCCGATCTTTCGGATTAACGCGGGACATCGGAGCCCAGAAAGAGCGTGCGACCCCCCCCCCCCCCCTCTACCCTCGCCTGTCCCGTTACCTGTTGACTCTGCGCGGGCACTTGTCGGGCTTGATGTCGACCTCGTAGTGAAAGACGTCGATCTTTGGGATCTCCACCTCGAAGTAGTTGGCGAGCAGCTTGATGGGCTTGCCCACGGTGCCCATGCCTGGCCGGCGGGGGGCATGGAACACCTGCTGCAGGGGTGGGGGAAGGCCCCCATGGCGCTGCACAGGCAGGAAGTAGGGCGTCATGGATAAAAGGGAAGGTGACGGAGCGGAGCAAAAAATCAACATGGAGAAATGGAGTCAAAAAGAGAGGAAGGGCAAATGGGCATGGTGGGGAGCAGGGAGGGTAGGGGGGGGTGTGGGGGGGGCATGTGGAATGTTGAAAGAGTCGGGAAGGAAGAGCAGGCACAGGGGCCAAGAGGACGGGATGTGAGGGGCAGGAACGGGAAGACGGGAAAGGTCACATGTGCATTTAAAAGAAAAGCAAGATAAGGGTGATGGTTTATCGAAGGAGGGGGTCAAATGAGGACGGATAAGGGCGAGAGGAAGGGAAAGGATGGAAAGAAATTATGGCAGGGGGGGGGAGGAAAACAATATTGTTATTTCTGGAGCAAATTGTGCTTTTAAAGGAAATTTATCACATGCGCTTGAGTTTTTTGTGCTTCTAGGTCATCAAATCTATTACTGAAAAACCCAGCAGTGTTTCATTAGCAGAAGAGGAGATAAGTAACCCCCCAGCCAGGAGGCCTCCTGGACTAGGTGCTCGATGTGAGGCTATATAGCTGTGACTCCTGCCTGTGAGGGGCCCAGGGCCTTAACCTCCGGGCCCCCAGAGAGCAGCCCCGCCCGCCTACAACAAAGACCCCAGCTGCCCTTCTCCACTGTCACAGACACACACACACGGGTATACAAAAAAGAAGGGAGTGCCCATGCCACGGTGAACCCTCACACACACACACACACTCACACACAGGGGGCCCCCTCTACATTCCCAGCCTCACCATGGAGACACCACGGCAACACTGCATTGTCATGGATATCAGGGGACCTGTGTGTGTGTGTGCGTGTGTGTGTGTCGGAGCAGATGACGGGGTGCTGCTGTGGTCATATTGAGGAGACCGTGTGGCCTTTTGGGGCACCACAAAGTAGCTGCTGTGTGGAAATCCTCGGCTCGCGCGTACCAAACAATCGCCTGCTCACTGGGCCAAAGTGACGAGACGAGCGCCATCGGCCGTGAAACCTCAGAAAGGAGCTCATTGCGCGTCTGCGACTGGAACAAGCGGTGTAAAGGTCCGTGACGCGCGCTGACCTCACGTCTCCCTGCGCGTGCGCGTGCCGGGTAGCGAGTTGTGATGTCCGCGCACTCACACAATGACACACACACACACACACTCACACACACACACTTCGCCCTCGTGCCAGTGAAGGCAGATGGTGGGAAGCGGCGCTTTCACACATCCCAAGACAATAGCTGAGGTTTTTTGTTTTTTTTCCTTTCTTGTTTTATTCGGGCGGCAGATTTTTGGTGCTGCATCACAACACAAAGACACAACACAACTTTCGGCCCACGATGACGTAATAAGCAGTAGGATCATGTTGCACCGCTATCAAGGGAATCATGGACAAATTTAAGACTTTATTTTGGTTCTCTTCACGACCTTTACAGCGAACCAGACAGTGACATTTTTACATTCTGGGCTCAGTTCGTAGCTTTTAAAAAAGCATTTTGACTCGATAGAAGCAGTTCTCAAGTACAGCTCGTGATAAAAGAAACAGAAACAACTGAAAAATAGTAAAAGAAACTAGGTAAATATCTCAAAATAAGAGCGGCGACCCCGTCCCTCATCGGGGGATCACAACAAAGTGCCTGAATGAGAAGGAAAAGCCGATTATGCTTGTTTTGGGAAAACAGTTTGGCTCTCTGAACGATTGGCTGTTGACCACGAAGATAAATACGGAAATCAGCTCTATCTGGGAAAGTAGCACATTGAATAATCACACTTCGAAAACACAAAAGCAGACTTTGAGATGAGGGGCCCTGGGGAACCCCCCCCCATCCTAAGAAATAAAAACAAGCCCATTCAATTGAATTCCACGTCCAGTGTCTGGAGTGACAAAGTAATTTTGTTCTTGGGGTTTCTTGTACAAATAGAAGATGCCGTCCAAAAATCAAAACAAAAGGAGACAGCGTTCAATTGATAAGCCCCGCCTTCCAAAAAGAACCAGAGTTATGCCTGGATTACAAACGTATGGGTCAACTTTTCCCTGCACTATCTGGACTTTAGACCCAGGCGACAAAGGCAAACTCTACCCATTTTGTGCTTTAACCTGGTGAGCACGTGCTGAACCTCTGAAGCGTGGTGCAACAGCACCGCACATGCTCCTCAGAGGAGCTTCTGCAAACTCTTTGACACCACGGATTCCACAGTTGAAGATTATTTTCGGTTCAACACATATGAATAATTCATGCGTCTCTGCAGATGAGGTCGGTGTCCCCTGTTGTGTGCGTGTCGTCGTATATACAGATGTTGTAATCAGGAAACAACAGAACCGCGTGAGCATCCACGACCCGTCAGAGAGAAAAGGGAGGCCGGTCTGCTCGGCGGGGGGGGCGGTGATGGTGATGAGGATGGTGGTGGTGATGGTGATGGTGATGATGGTGGTGGTGGTGATGAGGATGGTGGTGGTGATGGTGATTAGGATGGTGGTGGTGATGTAATGGTGATGAGGATGGTGGTGGTGATGATGATGGTGGTGATGGTGATGAGGATGGTGGTGGTGATGGTGATGATGGTGGTGGTGGTGGTGGTGATGATGGTGGTGGTGGTGATGGTGCTTAACGGCGGGCTTCACCTCAACCCTTCTCCCCCAGATTCCCACGACCTGCCTGTGGCCCCCTCGGTATATTGAGGCTCGTCTACTGCCTCAAAAATCCGGATAAATAAAAAAAAGCATCTCTTCAAAAGTGGTGTGCAAGCGGACCACAACCGACCCCCCCCCCCCCCCCCCCCCCCGCCCTATCCCATCCTCTCCACCCCCGCCCCCTGCTGTGTCTTACCGGTAACCGTGGCGATGCAACAGACCCCCCCCCCACACACCCCGACACCCCCCAAGACCCCAAGTGCCGCGATTGCAGTGTGTGTATTTATATTGCAGGTATGCGGTCATCACATTTAGCAGAAGAAGAAGAACAAGAGGAAAAACAAAGGTAACAACAAAAGTAAGAAGAATGAACGTACCGGCGCCAGACGGTCCCGGCTCCATCCCATTCACTTAGCTGCGCGGGTACAAGCTAGCTTGTCCGGGTACTACGGCCAAAAACCGCCGGCCCCTTCAGGCTGGAAGCGTCTCAGACCTCCAACCCCCCCCATCCACCCCACCTCCTCCTCCTCTTCGCGTGTAGCTAGTCTTCTCCTTCCGCGGTGTAACCCCCCCCCCCCACCACCCCGACCCCTCTAACAGAGAACAGCCCCCCTCTCTCCCTCCCCTCACACCAGCACCACCACGACCCTCGGACCCGCAGAGGAGTCGGGGTTAACGGCGATAGCTGCCGGTGGCTGGTCCGCCCCGGTGGACCCTGCAGGCGGCAGATGCTCTTCTTCTTTCGGACCTCCGCTGGGGGGGCTGGGAGCGAGAGAGAGCGGGGGGAGGGGGGGCGGTGCAGTCGCCTCCCTGAGCCGTGATTCGGCCGAGCGGTTCCGCGGCGTTGTGGTTCTTTAGCGGGACCGTCGTGCTCCTGCTCGGCCGTTCAGTCGGGATTCGCCAACGGAACAAAACATGTCTTTTTAAAAAGAGGAAAAAAAGGGGCAGCCCCTCGAGCTCCCTCCCCAAAAAAAGGAGTGAAACTTCTTCTTTGCCATTAGAAAGTGCAAAGGAACTGTTGATGAACTTGCTGTCACACCCCAGAGGCGGAAGGTGGAACTACACTGCGGATATGAGAGACAAGCCCACAGCGTCTTTAACGTTTAATAAAGTATTTTGATAAAAGTCTTTATCAACCGCTTATTTAAAATATCACGGGAAAAATCTGCTTTTGAGGCTTTAATGTATTTTTTTATTTTTGCGTTTGGTTACCTGTAACTGTACAATAGAGAGGCAAAACGTTTTTTCTCATTTCTCCACATTTATCGTGGATAGCAGACCAACTCAGAGAATATCAGAATATAAGCCTTTAAAATGTCATTCATGAGCCAACCTGCTTCTATTTTGGGATGTTTTTAGAGGGTTAAGGAAGCAGGTTTTCCAAATGAAAACCCTCCAACATCTCCCTTGTCAGCTAACTTTAAATCACATATATTTACCAATTTTTCTTATCGGCTCAGCAGCATTCTCTGCAGTCCAATATCTGGTTTCGACTCAATTTATGTTCTCTTCTACTGGACCGGTATAGTTTCTATTCCCTATTGGTTCATTAGCACCCCCACGTGGAAAACTCTAAGAAAGAAAAGAAAAGTCTAAATATATTAAGTGAAAATATGTCGTGAAAACAAAGTCAAAACATGTTTGGTCAAAAAACGTCATGGAAAAGGAATAAAAAAAAGTAGAAATATATTAGGTAGAAATGGTGATGGAGAAAACAAGTAAAAATATATTGGAAAAAATCTCAAAACATGTAATAATAAAAAAAGCTCAATTGTGGTCAGAAATATCATGGGTAATATGTCAAAAAATGACATGACATTTTTTTCTAAATACTACTATAATTGTCGTGGAAATAAAGTCTTAATGTTTTCGGTCAAAAATGTGATGGAAAAAATGTAAAAAATTATGATAATTATAATAATCCTCATTAAAAAATATCAAGATACATTTGGTCAAAAATATGATCTAAAAAAGGTCAAAACATAGGTAAAAAAATGTAAAGTAATGAATATGTCGGGGCTCTGGCCCTATAGTACACAAATCAAACATTAATCAAGGTGAAAACAGACTTCCTCCAGTTGCTGTTGTTTTCATTTTATTTATGTTTGCATGGAACTGAAGACAGATGAATTTGCTTGAGGCGTGAAAGACTTGTTTAAAATAAAAGAGCAAACAGACATCATTGCAGAAAAACGTTTGTCATTAAGTAAACATCCCAAAACCCTGATGTGAATTATTGTGTCAATCATATTGCATATTTAAAAAAAATATCTTCACATCGATCATTACGATTACCAGGTATAAGACGGACACATTTCCTTCACAACACACTTCGACAAAAGATTAGGTAACACATATCTACATAAAGAAATTAAATAAAATATATACCCCCCTCCTCCCCCACCCCGCGCCCCCCTCCCTCCATGAGGCTTTCAAAGAAAGAAACTGGTTATTGATTTTGAGCATACAGGCAGTTTAAGAAGTCTGGGCAGCATTTTCATCATTAAGTCAACAGCACATTGTCATGGTGATGCTATATGTGAGTCATAACAGCTTTGTTTACATGGAGAAAAAAAGTTTCTGCTGATTTAAGTGTTCAAATGACATTCAGAACCTCAGGTACTGAGCGCTCTGCATCACATGCTCAGCTTTGTCTGCACTAGAGATGCTCCATTTTAATACTCAGAACATAACAAGACAAAGTCAATCCCTCCAAACATTTTATGTCAATATTTTTAAGAATGGGAAACTTTTGCCTGTTACAAAAGTAACTGTTATGTGACAACAAAAAGAAAGAGCGATGCTTCCCATGACACAGCATTGTGGGTTTATAATGTTACATATTTGTTTGGCAGAGCTATTTATTTGGGTTCATATGAGCAGATTAAATTGAAATACTCCTATTTTCATTATTGGCTATGAACCGTCTAGCAGTTTACGGGCTTCCCACAGTGCTGTCTGCTGTGTTTTGTACTCGAGCTGATTGTAAAAATCGAATTGGAAACGGCTCACAGAGACGCGCTGCTGCTTCAATTAACTTAATCCATCATTTGAGCGTGAGAGTGCACACATGACATAGATTAATAAAACCAGTCGGAGCATGTGTATCAAATACTATATCAAATACTTCCAATGTCCAAGAAGAGCTCGTTGCACATCTCTTGTTAAAACTGACTTCCAACTCGAGCCTATAACCCATAAGCATACAGCATGACATCAACTCTGAAATCAGCGGACTAGTTGCAGACTGGATGTTCAACAAACTGCAGCAGGTGGAGAGTAACACTATAGCCATACTTACAGTATATTTTCACTGCAAATCACTAAAAATACCAATCAATCATTACCTGTTGTCTTATTCAAAACGCCGGACCGTGTTAGTCAGCTACGGGTGCAGAGGTTCGGTTGGTTAATTTTCAGCAGGGAAACAGTTACGTTTGAAGGGACCTTTGAAGAAGTGATGCAAAGTGGGTGGAAGAATCACGTTGGAGGCTTGAGACTTTACTCACTCCACTGACTCACTGGCATAAAGGTCGGGTGTTTGTAAAATATATAATGCCACACTGGATGAGCTTTGTATAGTCTGAATAAATACAGGTTTGTAAACTAAGTGCATGGAGTTTGAAATACAGCATGTATCGGAATAACAAAAAGGGTGGCATTGGTTGCATTGTGGGTAATGTAGCATTCAGTTCCTTTGAGACTTGAGCCATACTATGCAGGTCGAGTCAAGTATCTTTAGTGTCCCTACAGAGTCACGTAATTCAATGGACGGGCATTATTGAGGGTTTCCTAGAAAAAGGAGCTGACAAACTTCCGATCAACCGCAATTCCAGTAAATAAGAAGTTCTCTGTCTTTGTGTAAATGCAACTAGTTAGAGGTTGTTACCATTCACTAAACTCATTAAGAGTCAAAACCCTTTGTTTGATGTGACAAGCTTACACTATTATCCATAATTTAATATACATATGTGTGCCGGCTGGTACAAGTCATGCAGGGTATTTACTGTACATACTGGCATTCATTCTATATCAATATACAATTTATTAATATATATTATTGACACCATCATTATCAAGTTAGACCTTTAGTACGCGCCGTTGTTGATCCATGAGGATCAGTGATCAGTGTCGCTTCTTGAACACAAACACACGCACTTATACACACACACACACATTGTCAAAAAGAGATATACTTTGTGCTTTCAGGTCTGTGTTTCTTTTTAAGGAGAAATGGTGGAAGATGACTGAAGATGGACATTTTGCATTTGCAACAGTACAGGAAAATTCCCCCCAAAATCGCAATAAATTCCTTAGACAACGGGATAAGTATTTTGAAAAGGCCGTGGCATTTTTGCACCATATCTACTTAAAAGTTATGGTGACACTTTTTCATTTATCATGAGCCGCCTTAAAAAAAAAAGAGAAAAGTTTATGTGGCGACAGGATGCTTGGATGAGTTTCCATCTGGGATGCAATTAACCAAAAGCAGAGCGATAAGCGAGATTTTCTCTCTGCTGATACACACGAATATAAGAAAACAAAAGGCGCAGGTCCTCCTTGCCCTGATGCTTCGACCGGCAGCAGACACAGTGACAGTTGTACGAGACGGATTGGAGAGCAATTAGCGAGACAGATGTGCGCGCCCACTTTTCTGTTGTTTGATCACTTGGCAGAACATGTGGAAAGCAACAGAAAGCACGCTCGCTGGTTAGCGCTGCATGTTTTAGAGCCCATATACTGCAATAGAGGCCAGACATTTTAGTTCTTTGAAGTCGTCCCATGGGTCACTCCCTGACCCCCCCCCCCCCCCCAAAAAAAAAGTACCAGTTTTCCAGAAAATGATGGCGTGTGAGGGGGCGCCAAAGGAGGAGGCGCGCAGCAGGTAAGGGGAGTAGTGGCATCAGAGTGGTACATTATATGTGACCAATCTGATGGGATGAATCCAGTGGAGGTTGGGGGGGGGTTTACAGTGTGTGTGAGGGGGTGGGGGGGGTAAAGGAGGCAAAACATCTGCTGGGGCTGCCACTGTATCTCGCGTAGCCGAGGGATCAGGGAAGGATTGCTATTCATTTGGCTTTGATTTCCGAGTAGTTGCCGCCGTCGTCCCCCCTCCCCGAGGCCCCGTCCCTGGGCCGAGCCCCGATGAACTCCAGAGCAGCGTAGTTCAGCTCTTGCCTCTCCAGTCCTGCCATAGAGCCCACAGGTTGATAATCCCCGTCTTCTCCCTGCGGGGAAGAAGCACCGATCAGCGACACACATCACTGGCAAGCCGCGCGGACGACGTAGAGAAAAGAGGTTATTGGTTACTGGTCAACAACGGAAAGGGAGACTGAGATGTTTCTTGTTAGCCGGGGCGATTTAGGTTAGCGATGAGGCGGCCATGCGGGAGGCAGATCGTGGGGGGAAACAAACAGCAGTGTACAGAACACAGAAGCTGATATGCGAGGGCATGCATCTGTCGCTGAGGCTTGTGTCTTTTAATGGGGGTTTGTTTAGGAACCTTACCGTAGTCTCCTCTAGAATGGAGTTAAACTTTGAGCCCAACAGCTCTGTCTTAAGCTGTGCAAGAGTTAGGGGAGAGAAAAAGACAGAAAACGCAGAGAAGCGATGAAAGCAAGAGAAAACAGTGTCTGGAAGGGTCATGGCGGGAGCTACTGGAGTGCTAGTGGGAAAGACTCCTTCCATCGCCTCATTTTCAGAGGTCAAAACGGGGTCTCAGAGTTTACAAGCTGTTGCATTACACAGAATCTGAGGATGGTCACCAACCCACCCTCCATCATAAATCACGATCATTGACATCAGCATGTCTCACCACTTTCTTCCTCAGATTTTGTTTGTCCTTCTTGACTGCGCTGTAGTACAAAGCTGGGTTCTCCAGGACCACGTCCTGCCTAGGGTTGCCATTCTCTCTGGGGGGGACGGAGTCACACGATCAGACTCGGCCTCGACTGCCACTAATGCAGGGCGACACGCCAAGCCTGGGCATCCATTGTAAAACTACAAGCTCTCTGAGGTGATGCTGGAGGCCAAATGTGGTTGTGAGTGACGTGGTTATTTTATGGGTTTAGTCGCTGAGCTCGCACCCAGTTCCAGGGCGATTTGTTTAGAGAAAGCGTGCGAATTTCCGGGTCCAAATATGCCTCAAGGCAAAAATGAAAAACAACTTGGTTAAGAGGGCCACCTGGGTTTTATTTAGCTTAGCGGGTCAAGGATACAGAAGCAGTGTCAGAGCAGGGAATCTGGCCTGCAAAATATAAGGTTAGTCCAGCCTGCTAACCCACTTCACAGGGCAGCCAATGTGGATCGTCAAGGATTCCAATAGGAAACTCGTCTGGGCAAAGAAACTGCTAAATGGCTCCGGAGAAATGTTTCTCACGTCCACATGAATCCGACATTCACTCGTATTCAATGTGCGTCCATGGGTTTTAGAATGGATGACTAGGCTTAAGTGTTTCCTTGGATTTCCGAAAATATTTAGTGAGGTAAATGACTACTTCGACATTAGTTGGTCGTTCATACTCACTTTTTGTTGTTGTGGCCGACGTATCTCACCGCTGCGATGATGAAGGCTATGACCGCCACCCCTCCGATGGTGCCGACTATAACCGCCATCATGTACTTTTCTGAAAACAAAAAGTTTAAAAATGGGGGAAACTGCACAATATTTTTTCTTATTTTAAAAATCCACATTTTCAGCAGGTTTCAGACTAACCCCCCAGCAGCAACATTAAACGATTGAACATTGAAAATGGATCACAATGAATTAACATTTATCAGCTTTTAGCTAAAAGGACAATACTTGTTAAAACGATTAATTTACTATTGGTTTAGATATTCTGAATGCTATTAGTGAAGAAGAGGTGCAGGAAAGAAAGGAAAAATCTATGATTAGGTTCGTCCCGGACTCACTCTCCTGCTGCAGCTCCAGGAGCACGCTCTCCCTCCCGTACGTGTTGAAGATGCTGCAGTGGACGTTGACGGCGGGGCCCCCGTTGTCCACGCGCTCGCCTTTCTCCCGCAGCTTGATCATGCCCGTGGAGGTGTGGCCGTCCGTGTGCGTGTAGAAGTTGTACCGGCCGTCCGTTTCGTTAATGGTGACGTTCAGGTCGGGCAGGTAGAACTCGATGGTGGGCTCTGGGTTTCCCATGGCCATGCACACGCACTGGACGCCCTCCCTGACCACGGTGCACTTTGACTCCTCCAGAAGCACCGGGGCGTCTGTCAAACCAGGCGGCAGGGATAAGAGCTACGATAACATCAATGAAGATGAAAACATACGAGTACGAGTGTTCTTCATGAAGAACACAGCTGTGGTGGGCCTGATAGTTGACTTGGGGAAGAAGCAGTAAAGGAACGACCCACCACAATGCTGAGGAATTTCTACTCCAGCTCCCCTGAGTGTTTCCTGACCAATTCCTGGGACGGACCGCGATCCCATGCAACACGTTGTTAGCTCTGCCTCTCCTACCTCAGAGATGTTTATACCAGGCCCTGAGAGAATATGACTATATACCATTGACGATCCCTGTGATCGATGACTGCCTTTTTTATCTCTGTGGAGACGAGGAAAAAAATACCAGCTCCACCAGGCTGAGGAAGCGCTTCCACCCTGAGGCCCTATGCCATCCGAAATGAGGTCACCTGCTACGGATCGTTACCCCCTCTGCTTAGTTCTTAACACTCACACTCAACGGTGATGTTGAAGGAGCTGCTGGCTCTCCCGTGCTCGTTCTCGGCCAGGCAGCGGTACTGCCCGTCCCCCTGCGGCGTGATCTCCACCACCTGCAGCACCGACAGCTCGTCGGCGGTGATGGTGCCGACCAGCTCGCCGTCCTTGAGCCAGGTGAGCGTTGGGGCAGGGCTCCCCTGGGTGCTGCAGTGCAGAGTCAGCGAGGATCCCTCCTGCACCGTCATGGAGTCGTTCACCACGGGCTCGCGGGGAGGGTCTGTAAAAAAAATAGATAGATAGAGCTCCTGTCCTTTGCCCAGATGCAAGCTGTAAACTGACATATGCCGACATATGGTACGTTTTTGCTACTCAAAACGTTTTCACTTGACAATTCCTTCCTGTTATATATAAATACAAGATTAAAGCCAGTGGCACCATCCAACTCATAATATATCATTTCCTCCTTCCCCACTACACACTAATATCATGGAAGTAAGACGCAGAGACTCACACTTGACAGCCAGGTACAGGGAAGTGTTCATGACCCCGTAGCCGTTGTCCCCGATGCAGGTGTAGATTCCCTCCTGCGCGGGCGTCACGTCGTCCAGGGAGAGGGAGACGTTGGGCGCCGTGTCCCACAGCAGCTCCTGCTCCGCGAACATCCAGGAGATCCTGGACGGAGGGTTACTGTCCACCTCGCAGTGCAGCGTCACAGAGCTGCCCTCCATCACCTCCGAGGACACGTTGACCCACACCGAGCGTGGAGCGTCTGGGACGGACGATGAGTAAGTTAGTGCAACACTGGGGGGGGGGCATTCCTGCTAAGACACGCCATACGCTTGCATAATGTAAAAACACTAAAAAGGAGAGCTTTGAGTTTGACAAACTTCAAAGTCTCTCAACAATGGAATGAACCTACACTTGATGTCGAGAGAGATGAGCCTCTCGTAGACCAACGTGGTGTTGGGGTAGAAGACCCTGCAGCCCAGGAGCTGCCCGTTGTGCATGGGTCTGGGCGTGAAGGAGAGGGTGTTGGAGAGGACCGCCGTGTTGCTCTCCTCCAGGTAGTCGGAGCTGAACTCCGGGTCGGGCAGGTAGTCGGTGTACATCCACTGGATCTCTGGGGTCATGTCGGGGCAGTTGTCTGGAGCGTAGCACGTCAGCTCCAGACTCTCGTCGCTGACGATCTCCTCCGGGACGTCGATGTTGGGTTGGTCTGGGGGTCAGAAAATAACTGTGTAAGGAATCCTCAAAAATTACAACGTTATCATTCTGGGCTTTTTGCATATTCCACTCCGGTCAGTTCCTCACCCAGGACTTTGAGCTCAGAGAAGTCCGGGTACGTGTACATGTTGGCTCCACCGAGGTCGGCGCGGAAGTAGTATCTCCCCGAGTGCTCCGCGCCGATGTTGTTGATGAGCAGAGTGCAGTTCCTCTGCAGCAGGTCGCCCAGCAGCTTGGTGCGGCCCTTGTAGCTCTCGTGCACCACGTCCGTGCGCGTCTTGAAGACGACGGGGGGGAAGAGCTGAGGGTACGGCTGGCCGAAGTACCAGATGCCGTGGGTGCCGCGGTACGGCCTGATGCCGGACGGGTACATGAAGGTGCACGGGATGACCACGCAGGAGTTCGTCATGGCCGAGATGTCCCGAGGAACCCAGACGTTCCACTGGCAGCTCCCATCTGCGAGGGGACCGCAGAACATGTGTGAGGTCGCTGCGTGCACCGAGGCAGGTGGGAGTTAGAGATGTGGATTTCTTTTCTTTTTTTTTACCGTTGATGATTAACAGCAGTGGAAAGAGAAGCTCTAAACACCACATGGTCTCTGCTCAGCGTTGGACCATAGACTTCTGGAACACAAAAAGTCCTGTCAGTCACAGCGCATCATCATAATCATCGAGAGAGAGAAAAGAAGAAGAAGAGGAAAAACTGAAATGTGTTGTTTACAGCATTGGTGCTGCTGCGTGACTCATATATACAAAATGTTCCATGCTACCAGATATACACCAAGAAGCTTTCAGAATAAACATTTTTTAAAGGACTTTTGAAAACGTGAAGAAAAACATTTGAGTGTCGATTTGAAGAGTTTTGCTGAGCTGTTTTGTTTGTGAACCCCACCAAAATTAGAGTGAGTCAGTTTTTGCAATTTGATCCACCTACTTAATTAAAATCAACAAAACAATAGTATATAGATTTTCTTTTCTATCCTGTATTGTGTTAAAAACCGAACGGCATGTGGACCACCTGCCCAAATACCTGGATTATCTGACACAAATATCGAATATTTCAATACAAAATTACCAAAAGAACACAAGAGACACCCGTTCCATTATAAAACATGTGAATTTTTTTTTAGATATATTGCAGTATCCGCAGCTGCTTATGTTTAGTTGGTTTGTGAATTAAAATGTCTGTGGTAATTTTTGTCAATTTGCTCTTTCAGTAGGAGTTTATGTAACTTAACTATTCAAATGTTTACAAAGAGCTCTAACTCCAGCTATTCACATTTTATTTCAGCTATAGAAAAACTTGAATGTGAAAGAAAATTCTGGTTTGGTCCACCGGGTTAAGGAGACTGCGTGAAGACTTTAAAGAAAACAGCTTTTCTTTTAAATAAAAGGAACGTAGGTGGAAGAAATGTTTTTTGATTGGAGAAAAAAGGTGATTTTAAATTTTTTTTTTTCCCTTGAAATGCTGATGAGAAAACCAGACGGCAGTTTTGCAGGACTCCAGTAGAGGGCGTTCACTCACACCCAGACAGCTCCACAGGCTTTTTTTTTGCAAGACCCAGGAAAGAAACAAGAAAGAAAAGTGACTTGGGGGTCTTCATCCTTTTAGGACATCCCCCCCAGCCCCCCCCCCCCCCCCACGGAGCTGTGGTAAGTGACACCTGCCTCGCCCCCCCTCGATGGAGTCACTCCTCCCGGCCGGCACACGTCAGCCCGATGAATGACACACACTGTGCCAACCCAGCTGTCATGGATCACCAGGACTGACTACGGGGGTGTCGAGGGGGTGACATTTTTTTTTGCACTGTATTTATCTAAAATTTTCCCCGGCAGAAGCACATAAATCATTTAGGGAAAATTATGATAATAATAATAATGAACTTTATTTATAGAGCACTTTTTAAGATTTGTAAGTGCTTCACAAAAGGCAGCAAAATAACACATTCATAAATCATCAGCTTAGCAAACAGACAATCAATGAATATTTTTTCCATATTACATGAGGAGAAACATGAGATAGAAGAGAAGATATTGGAACTTAAAGGCACAGCGTAGTACATAAGCACGAATGGAAAATAATATTTAAGAGAGACTGTCCACCCGAACTCCAGAGCTCCACGGCCCTGTAGTTGCTCTCGGGCCTCTGGACCCGACAAAAGATCTCCTCTAGCGGATTTCAAAGTATGTGCAGCATGCAGAGGTTTTTTAATGGCTTGGGGAGAAATTTAAAATGTATGTTAATCTATTCTGAAACATGCCGGGTATCAGTGGCAGCGGAGTTCTGTACTGCCTGGATTCCAGCAACAGATAGTTGGTTCAGGCCAGTAAAGAGGACGTTCTTTACTTCTAGACTTTTTATATTCATTTGTTTATGCACTTTACCACTTGTATGCACATAATAGTTCTGGGTTCAGCTTTTTTGCCCTTGTTTCTTTTTGGTTTCTTTTTACTTCTGTGTCTAATTTCTATCTTGATTGGCTAATTTAAGAACATGAAGACCACAAACACTAACAACATGTACTTTATTACAGTACAATGACTTTGATCACATAGCGAACGGTGGGATTCAAGGACGAATTATTGAACCCAATGAGCCCTAAAACATATCAATGCTTATTGAGTTCCAATCAAATGGAAAACCAACATGATGCCACGTTTAAACTACCTATTATAAAATAAACAATGTGGTCCCTCTGACTCATGAGTATTCTCACTTGATGAAAATACTCTATTCACGTCATCACTCTCTCCAACAGAAATGATTCTTTAAATGCTCTGTCAATAAATGTATTTACCAGGAGGACTGTTGAGTGTGGAACAACTAGATGCAGAAGTAGAAGCCGATAATTCCGCCTCTTGCTGCGGCAGCCGGGGTGTGCAGATGGCGGGTCGAAGTGGATTGTGTACGAGAGCTTCTCGATTAACACACCCCAACTTCCCCCGGAGAATCCAGAGCCAATATTAGCCTCGTCGGTTGGAGGGGAGTGAAAAACGCTGTTATTTTATGTTGGATTTGTCCTGCTGCTCACCGTCCACCATCCAGTCACAAATGCACAGAATGTTTTCACTGGAATTTTCCTTGGAAAATTGCCACTCTTCTTTTAGTTTTTAAGAAGAATATTTAGCATTAATTTCTAAGTTGATGCAGTGAAATCGTTAGCAGAATTTCCAAAGTAACATAATCCATTTGTAAGCTTTTTGACCCCTTATTTTAGCTCTGTTTTGGTCTCCACCATCTACTGATGGCTTTATTAAGCAGATGACTGACTCTCTACGTTCAAATCTTACCACGTGAAATAAATAATTGATCATCACCACTTTGAGACGTCTCACTAGAGTGACGCAACTGTTCCGCCGTAACTCCAATGTGGCTCCACCACCCGCACGGCAACAAAAGGCCAAGAGACAGGCGAGTGTCACCGGAAGCGGAGTGGCCGAGCCGCCAGGCCGCCGCTCCCCCCCAACCACAACAACAACGGCCTCATTGATGGGATGGGCAAACGGCTGGCACTGAGCACACAGCATACGTGCGCACACAAACCACTCGCCTCAGCACAAGGCTCCTGCTCAACTTCTTGCCCCCCCCCATCCGCCCCGCTGTGTCTGTTCTCCTGAGTCGCTCGTCTTTGCTCCGAATCCTCCACGTCAGATGGGGAAAGAGGGGGTGGGGGGGGGGGGGGTTGTCGTGGGCGGCTATGAATATGCGTTCGGGCATTTCTGGAGCCGAACTTTGGCCCACTCTGCATTCCTCGCCTTGGTTCCACCGTCTCCCTCATCCGTCCCTCTGAGATCAACGCTTTGATGTCTAATGTCAATGTTGTTGAAATGCTGCAACGTGGTTATGTGGATTACAGATCTACACTACTTTGATTAGGGTTTGTCAGACATCAGCGTCTTAAAGAGCCTCAATCACACACATCCAACGCAAGACCATTTGAATTCTAGAGAAAGCTTCAGGGCATCATTGATCTTTCAAGCCGTATTAATATTTCCCCTGCGGAGGAATTTCTGTGGGCAGGGACGCACAAGCGTGGATTCACTCCGATGTCCACCTAGTTTACATGACAAAAGTGACAAAGGCAACTTTTCTTTGCCACTCTCATGTTAGGGTGAGTCACTGCGGCCCAAAGCCCTCCAGGCCTGCGGCCAGATGACGGCATGGCCCGAGCGGCCGATGACCTCGAGGGAATCCCGCCGTCAACAAGAGCTGACGGGGAGAGCGCTGCCGCGACGCTCGGGAGCCTCGATCAAACGAATACGCAGCGTGCCACACCGCCCACGCACACACACACAGACACACACACACACGCAGCGCGAGGCGAGCAAACACACTACGCAGCGTGGGGTGTGCAGATATGTGACCTTCCTCCGCTGAGTGGAAGCTCAGCCTGCTCTATTGTCCTTCTGGGACCGTAGGCATTGTGTGCACATGAAGCGTGCGGCCGAGTGAGGGTCCAGACGAACACACTTATGTCACGTTTGTCTCCGTCAATGAGAAAGAAGCCATGTGGTCAACATTTTCTGCCTTTTTCCAATGTCTAAAGAGCAACGCGATGCGGGGAGAAAAATCGGCTCCGCTCAATCAGGCCACGACACCTTTTATGAGTCATCTTCCATTATTGAGATGTCTCACGCCAACCAAAGGGCTCGCACAAACAATCGCCTGTGCCAAGAAGAACATTTTCATTGTGAATGTCGTCCGTGGCCCGTGTACAGGAGTTTTGCTCGGGCTCTTGGACACGGGGCGGGTGTGGTGGGGGAGAATGGGAACCTTGTATGCAGAACACTGCCCATTGTGTGAAAGTGGAGGAATTTTTTTCTCCGGAACAGGCCCGCTCACAGCTTGCGTTCTGCTGTTTGCCCGTGACGCGCGTTGGTCCAACGCAAGCTAAGGCCCCCCCCCCACACACACACACTAAAATACTCAGAGGAGCAGATGGTCTTAAAACATGACCGCTCCCCCTCCCACACACACCGCCCTGAGAACAGCGCACACTCGCTTCAAACACAACCACGGAGACGTGCCAACGTTCAGTCACACGGTCTGTTGCCGAAGGCACCGCGCAGGGCGCCGGCAGGAGGAAAAGATCCACACTTCAGCTCATCAGATGCAATAAAACCGTTGCCTCTTACAGTAGATGCTTTGAAGTGCTCGATGCGTTAAGTATTTATATTTTCTATGCCCACAAAGTAGGTGGTTGTTAACTTATTGAAACGAGGGAGCAGGTGTCATAAACCACCTGGAAGATTACCTTTCTTGGTATTTATTGGCCCGTGCATGTGGCTCTGAGTCTACATTTATTTGTTTGCTTTCCCTTTAATTCTCTGTTGGTTTGGCCGCTCGTATCAGAATGCCTTTTTTCACCTGGCATTCCCGGCCCCGGCGGGCAGATGGTGAGCCACAGGCCTCCTCTCTCGTGAGAGCGCCCTCCCTTCCGCTCTCAACAAACAGAACCGTCACCTGTTCAGCCTCCCATCTCCACTCTCAGAGTGGGACAACGAGAAAAAATTTCCCAAATCTGACAGAAACTGAATGTTGTTTTATATGAAATATTGGCTTAAAGTCAAAGCTGTAGTTAAAAGGACAACATTGTCGCAAGTGACATGATGATTCAGTCTGACTGAAGGGGTTGGGACAGTTGGGCAGTTAAAATTGAACAATTAGGCCATAATCGAGAATTAAAATGACTCCACCATCACTGTGATTTTCATAAAAACACTTTCCCTTTCTGAATCTGCATCATTTGTTTTCTCTGTGAACCTTCTATCTGCAAATGGGGTGAAAGATACCTTGAACCATATTTCATAATAATGCTTGTTGGTTGGATGCGTCATCAGTGGCTCCAGCGTCACATGTGTGGTTGTGCTAAGATCACAGCAACGACTCATCGCTAATGACACCGGCAACCGAAACGGACCAATTAGGATTGGCCGGGCTTTTTAGGCACGCACACCAAACATATTTTGTTATGCACACATTCACAAAAACACGCAAACACACACACACACACACACACACACACACGTCGTCACTCATCCAACTCTGGATCTTTTCCCTCATTCATCAGCACGTCTATGAAGAGTCACACAAACAAGGCAACACTCCCCCTGATTGCCGGCGTTTGACCCTCAACAACAAAAATAAACAAATAGTACACAGATAGACGATGATGGATGGAAGTTATCACTCATTAATTCCCAGCGCTCGTTAACCCCCACCCACCCCCCCCATTATTTTTGCTTCACGTTCCAAAAGCTCCGGAAAGCATCATGCAGAGTAACGAATCAGAGCTGCTCACCTGTGTAGGTGAGCGTGGGCGACCTACGACCTCCAGTAGCTCCAGCAGCCTTCCCTCTGAGTCTCACGCGCAAAGCCCCCTCGCCAGCCAGACCTCTCGCCACTCTCTGTACCAAGCCCCAACGGTGGGGAGTCAACCCGCCACCAACACCTCCTCCTCCATCATCATCATCATCACCATCACCATCATCACCACCCCCCCGTAGGAAAACCAGTCCTTCAGTGTAGCGGCATTGTTCTGAGGCTTCGCCCTAAGGCTCGGCCATTCATAAATACACGGGGGGGCCACAAAGGGCCACACTGTTACGCCCGCCCCAGCAGATAAGGGAGAGGCTTTGAGCTCTGAGGCCTTTCTATCCCACACGGACAGTCGCTGGACGCTGGATGGAACTGAGCATATTTGGTCATTTCAGACATATGGACACTTTTTTGTTTCGAGGTTTTTGTAACAAAAGACAGGAAGTGAGTTTTAGAGAGGCTGATGACGGGCGCCATTATGAGGGGAAGCATTGAGGACGCCTTTGAGTCTAATCTGTTACTCCTAAAGAAACTTAAGAGTCGAGAGAATCTGAAGAACCATCACATTGAGCGCGACGTAACGGTTCAAGATAAATCGAGTGCCTTCCCACCTTCTGGGCAGCAAAAGGTTTCCAACGATTTCACTCAAAGGAAAAAATCAACTCACAGAAAGTTAATTTGTTTTGATTTTTAAAACCTCAAACTGCAATTACTACTGTAGCTTGATTTAAAAATCCAAAACGCATTACATAGCATTAATAAGTTTGACAAGAAAAATAACTAACATGATGTAAAAAACGATAGTCGACCAATGGCTGCTAGCCATTCTGCTAGCTAAAAGCTGCCGAGGGACGGGATGCCGTGAAGAATCTATAACCATGTTTCAATAAGCTCCTAATCAGAGGAAACAGGCAATAAAACGTGAGGCATCAGCAGGAAAAAGAGGAGAGCCGGCACTCACTATTACATTGTTATAATACATCATAACGTTGTTAGCTCGCGCAGCTAGCATTTTGTCAAAATGTCTGTTTTCTGATCACTAAAATAATTCTTTGATGTACGCCTACTGATATCTCACAATATAGGCCAGTTGCAGGCACCTTTATAGCATTTCAGCTCTCTACCCCGAAATGCTTCATAAAAGTTACATGACGAACTGAATGGTTGAAAACACATAATTACAATAACTGCGCTGCATTACTGTTCACGTCCCGGTCTCGACTAATACTAACTAATAACTACATTTGCTGGGCTCCAGGATAAAGCCCAGCGAATTATTTGAACTTGATGAGTTCCACCTGGAGACTAATTTAAAGGCCGATTTACGCCTTCACCCCATTGTTGTTTAGTCGTTTTCAGGTGATTGAACATCAACTTCGGGGTAACCGTCCCACTACTAAGCCCATACGTGGCATTAACAGTATTCACACAGTTGCATGGTGCTGTGACCGAGTCATGAAACAACCCCCCCACCCTGTGGACACAGTGGCCATTGTCTCCCGAGGCCTTCTGGGACGGAGCAGCTCAGCTGGAGCCTGACACCGCACAACACTGGGAAGTCCATGCGCACAGATAATTGTCTTTTAATCAAAACAATCCCCTTTTCTCCGGCCTCTTATTGGACCTTTCTGTTGCGGTTTGGAGCTCTTGTGGCTTCATGGAGGGACGATGGGTCCCATACGGGTCCTGATCTGGGAAAGGGTTGCACGATAATACCTTCTTCACATGGTCCTCCTGCTTGTTTCACTGTGGATTTTATGAGATATCCTTTATTTGTTTTAGACCTTTTTCTTTATGGATCCAAGGTAATGTGAGATCTTCTCACAGGCAGTGGTCTTCTGTCTCTCCCCGAGTCCTCTGCCAGAGGAAACAAGGCCAGACAAGTTCTTAGCTTGTTTTAGACCTTTTTCTTTATGGATCCAAGGTAATGTGAGATCTTCTCACAGGCAGTGGTCTTCTGTCTCTCCCCGAGTCCTCTGCCAGAGGAAACAAGGCCAGACAAGTTCTTAGCTCTTTTCGAAAAACAAGTTTATATCAGAAAGTCTTATTCCATGTCCTGTTTGTTTTTTTTGTTCACTCAACGTTTCATATTTTTAATTTGAGTTATTTGAAACACTTTGTATTGATAAGTGCTTTATCTATTTATCTAACGCTTTTTAACTAGTAAACTAATAAATCCTTTAAAAACAATATGCGTCGATATCTCAAACATTAATGAACTCAGTGATCAAGCCTGATTAAATATGTTGATAATACTAATTGTATTATCAACATATTTAATCGTTTAATTGTTGTAATTATATAATCAAACTTCTATCTGGTGCAACTTGATTGGATCCTGAAAAGTAAGGTCACGACAGTTGGGTTTGAAAGTTAAAGGGGAGATGCAAACCTCTTTTAGTTTTGACAAGTTGAGTCATCCGATAGGTGACGCCAGGTCATGTGACTCAGAAGCAGATCTCTGCATAAAGCAGGTGGTGTTCATTCAAAGGGGCACCGCAATCGGCCCTGGTGCCGAAGCATCTCAAACACCGGTCCAGCTGGATTCCAATTAAAACATTATTCTAGGAGGTTAGCATTCGAAGCTTCTTACTTTTACATTCAAACATGCAAAAAAGAAAAAAAACTTTAGATTGAAATGTATATATTTTGAATACCGTCAAGACGATCACAGAACATCATTAGGAAGAGAGAACGTGTTTAGCCATTGCTAGCTGTTGCTAACGTTTCCTCGCACGAGGCGACACCAAATGGATCCGGTTTAGAAGATAGTCACTATCACTAGTAACAGCAATAGTGATGTGGGAGACAACCAGTAAACGCTCCAAAGCTTGTGGCTAACCGGGCAGCAGAGTGGGTGTGCTCTCCTTTTAAAACCCTAAATAAATACCTCCAAAATGCATTGTTGAGAAATGCATTGTTTTTTTCCAGATGACATTGATGGTGTGTGTGTGTGTGTGTGTGTGTGTGTGTGTGTGTGTGTGTGTGTGTGTGTGTGTGTGTGTGTGTGTGTGTGTGTGTGTGTGTGTGTAGCGTAAAACACACGGTAGGATCTGCATGGTGTAAACATACACATGCTTTCACGGTACTATGTAGACATGGAGGCAAGTGGAAGGGGGGTTGCTGCTGGGATTGTGCTGGACAGAGACTGGTGACAGAACAACGCACTGATAATGGGTCCATTGTCCCCCTGTCCACTCCACTGGGCAGCACTGGAGACCTGCCTTTGGAAATGATGCATTCTGTACTTCTACGGCTCCACTGGACGAGCATTTCTGCACCAAGCAAACACTCGAGTTGAGGTTTCCATGGAGAAATAGATGGACAACAAATGACGAGCAGCAGGCTTGAACATTGCTCTGGTTTGGAAGACAATTTGGGTTTTCAATAGAACATAAAGGTCCAAAATTTAAATTCCACACTCAATATTAACATTTAACTGTGGGCATTTCAACGGACAACATTAAACTTGACATGTCTTTACTTACCAGAATTAAATTAATTGTATTGGCTTTTTAGATTAGTGGCTACTGTGTACAACAACAACGAGGGATTATTGACCACAGATTTGATATCGTCACCACGCTGCTGTTTTACTCCCAAAGGTGCAACTAATCCCAAACGTGTCCTACTTGTTCCCATTTTGCGCGCCAACTGCCATTTGGGAGTCGCGGGGTGGTTGATACTCAAACCCGATTCCTTTTACTTCATTATATTATAGAGATTGTTCTGAGTCATTTTTGCAGCACTCGTCTCCAAATGTGTCACCGTGAGTCTTAAAGTTCTCCGTTTTAACTACAATGACACACAAACATCTGAAGCCAGCAGATTGACATTGGTTACACTATTACACAAGCTGTGGAGACATACGATATGAAACAGGATAATCAGGTGATCATTTGTCATGTTATTCATTTAGTTCATAGTATGAAGTAGCGTCAGATGAACGTCTTATTTCCTCTGTATACTTTTGAGCTGAACGATGTAGATATTGTACAAAAATAAAATGATGTGAAGGAGCTAGGAATTTAACCCCACATGTGCACCACACAGCTGTGACATATCTGCCCCTTTAGTGAATTAATATAACGCAGAAGAGAAAAGACAGATAAAAGACTTTTGGCTTAGAGTTCAAACAAAATGCAACATGTTGAAGATTTATGCATTTAAAATAATATAATGAACGATTTAATGATGAGAGAGCAGCAGAGCTCTTACCTTATCAGCTGATCTGAAGCCAGTGAGGCGCTCAGAGAGGAGTCTGTTTCTCTCTTTCTCTCTCTCTCTCTCGCGCTCTCTGCAGATTGGGTCTTTGGCATACAGAACCTGTGATTAAACACGGGGGGGCCTTAAAGCTTTTACATTCACCCATTATTACGATCTGGAAAGACGAGGACATCAACAACATCTGGGATCACATATAACCTGAAAATGGACACGTGAGGTGAGCTGGAAAACAGTCACAGGTAATTCCCACTTCCGGGTGATAAGAGAAGAAACTTAAGTTTGTAAATATGTTAATTGACCTTTTATCAGATTCTAAATGTATTTTTGTAATATGTGGTTACTGTAGCAGATACTTTCCTGCTTTGCTAATCAGATTACCGAATATAAAAATGATGGTGTTAAAAGCAATATAATTCACATAACCGTAGGGGGTAACAAACTGAATCAGCTCTAAATTCTGCACTCTTAATATCGTTTTTGTAACATCTGGGTGCATAATGGTTCCCAATGGGGCGCTTTTTTTTAATTACATTTGGTGCCTGATGATTCATAATAGTTTCACACATTTATGCAAGTGGTGTTGGTTAAATATACCATTTCAACAATGATATATTGTAAATGAGGCAGTTCGTATGTCAAATCTTTTTTTAACTCGTCTGATTACTGCAGGAATTACAGTTTGATGTTTGGTTTTGAAAGCTCCCCCTCACATTAGCCTCGGAGAGGACACATTTCGGGTGAAAAAGTGTGTGAAAAAAAGAGAGCGTGAAGTCAGCGGCAGGCTGGAAAGTGTAGGATTCAGCTTTTTCGTAACCTTTAAGTGACCATAAAAGTAAGATCTCATCCTCTGCTGCATTTTGATTGATCCTTTGGCTTTTGTAATCTATCCGACGATAGAAGTGTGAAACAACCCCCCCCCCCATTGTCTCCCCAAGATGAGATGGAATCAGGGTTTCTCATCAGGTGACTATAAAAAGGAGCAGGCACTCAGGTAAATGGGTTTTATTGGGGATTTTCACCGATGATATGAAACTTTGAATAAAACCCTAAAGCAGCCTTTGGCTCCTAAATCACAATTACCGTGAACTGAAATGATATTTTTTGACACCAGTGGTACTGTGTCTCCTCTGCTTCCTCCAGCCTACACAAGAAATATATTCAGTATAACAATCGCACAAAAGGTCTGCAGACAAAAAGGAGGAACCGACTAAGGCTAGTAGTGAACATACAGTAATAAACAATGAGAGCAATCAGTGTCTAAGTCATCAATTACCAAACAAATGGGAGTTTCTATCCAGAGAAACACATCTTAGTGACAGATGCTGCCCTCTAGTGGTGAAACACTGGCAGTCAAAGAAGTGGGCTGACGAGGGACCTTTATTGTGGAATTAGGTTTCATCAGTTCACAATAGACATTTGTGCCGTCAGAGTGTGTTAGTAGTCGGCTGTACAACCTACTGCAACTCAAAACGCAGATATTGTGCATTAAAAAGAAATCAAAATGAATCACATTAACATTTAATCCAAATTAAATGTGAATACATGTTCTAACCAAAGCTTTGGTTCACCAGGTTTTCAAAAGACATTCAGAAGAACTGCAATGGAAAGTTAAAAGCAGAAGATAAAATCAATCCCTTTGACTGTATATAGATTTTCTTATAAAAACAATACATTTTTCACAAGTAAAAAGCCTGAAGAATCGATAGACCCCTACAAATCTACATCAGCACCAGTATGAGGCAACTGAAAGTAGAGTGTAAAACATCGGTTTGCTCGTGAGGATGTAAAACACCTTCAGAGAGAATCATTCATCCACACATAGAACTCTAAAATACTCCAAAAAGGCACTTGTGGCAGCCAAAGAAATGCACAAAATCTGTTTAAAAAAAACTATACATACATATTTAGGATCAACTCTTAAACAAATTACTGTAAATGATGCAATAAAAAAAGGAAAGGAAACAGAATCAGCACAGCGCATTAGCACTGTGAGTAGTATTTACAGTCTTTGATCCAAGCTGCTCATTATGATGGTTCACACCACCAGGCTCTCCCGGCTCACCGCTCCATTCTGTAAGACACACGTATTTCTTGTGACTAGAATCGATTTAAAAAATAAACTGCCGCATAAGAGACCTTCATGAAACTTTATGCACGTACAGTCTGCCGCGACTCACCTTGCGGAGGTTGCTTCTTTTCGAAGAAGACATGCTTTCGTCATCGCTGTACACCGGCGGTGGAGGAGGCGGGTAGTCGCCGCGGCGAGCAGGGTGCCCTGAGGGCGGCGTGTGGGGGAGCGGCGGGGGCCCGCGCGGCGCCCTCGCCCGATCCGAGCGGTCGCTCTCGCTGTCCAGCCGCTCCCGGCTGCGCGCCCTCTGCTGTTCGCCCAGCTTCTTCCTCTCCATGGCCTCCCGCAGGAGCCCGTCGTCGTAGTCGTCCCGCCGGCCGCGGGCGTCGCCGCCGCGCTCGCGTTCCCTCGCCAGCTCCATCAGGTCGTCGCGACTGCGGCTGCGTCTGCCCTCCATGCCCCTGTAGCGCCCGTCATCTCCTCTGCGGCTGCGGTCGGGGGAGGGCTCGCGGCGCCGGCGGTCGTCAAAGTCGCGGCTGTTGCCGCTGCGGGCGCTGCTGCTCCACCCGTCATCGGAGCTGGAGGAGGAGGCGGAGGGGACGAGGGGGGGGGTCAGGGAGGACAACATCGGGATGCTGTTCACAAAACTTTAACGTGGAGCTTAAAGCTTTGTTGTGTACTCCGTTCCAGTTCAAAACACGGCTGAGGTTTAGCTTTAAACCAGTGCAACCACACACACATACGCACACTACACTAAATACACAATGCTTTCAGCGCATTTTAATATGTGTTAGACTCACCGTAGGTCTTATTTCTATATCTAAAAAAATAAGGAAAAAATAAACCTGGGGTATCACATGCATGAGTAGATCAGAGCGTAGCAGTCCAAGCTAAGCTAAGCCTGGAGAATAACAACCAGCTGATGGTCATAAGCAATGCGGCTCACCCTCTCCTGCCTCTGAACTCCTCCGGCCGCCTGTTGGGCGGCGGGTCGTCTCGGCCGTAGCGCCGCCCGATGTCGTCGAGGTTGTCCATGGAGCGAGCGCGCATGCGGTCACCCGGGTAACCGCCCCCGCCGCCGTGGCGCTGGCCTTGCTGGGACACGCTGCTGATGGTGCTCATGGCTTCGTCCCGGTCGTAGACGGTGGCCAGGGGCGGGCGGGCCTGGAGAGGCTCTTCCGGGTCTTGAGAGCTCGGCGGCTGTCGTGCAAAGAGCCTAAACTTCGGTCCATGGTATCCCACTGCGGCAGGGGGGGGGGGGGGGTGGGCAGAGAAGGGAAAGGGTGAGTAAACCACACCATTTGGACCTGAATTAAGTATCAATCATGTATTACCAAACCCATCGTCTGCCTTATTTTGAGATATTTACTGCTTCACATCAGCAGTAAAATCCACAATAAAACAATTGGTACCTTCATGCTTTGATACACCACTCTTCTTTAAATCATGCCGCTTTATGTAATAACTTAAAAAGGATTGAACTGTATCCCTGTAGACGCAGGAAGTGATTAAGTGGCCGCCTCTTAAGTCTCGACAGCTTCTTTAGGAGGAAGTTGTGGGTTTTCTTCCACAGTCACGGTGAGCGGGCGAGCAGGAAGCGATCGCTCACTCACGCCGGTTGTAGTTGCCGGGTCTGGACGGGTCCATGTTGGCCAGCTCCCGCTCCATGTAGTAAATGGCCCGCGTGGCGTTCCCATCGGGGTCCACCTGGATACGGTAGCCACTGCGAGCTGGAGAGAAGAGGACAGGACGTCAGATTTCAGCTTCATGCAAATACACAGAATCTACTTATTAAATAACGGGTTTAACTTACTAAATCTGAGACAGCTTATTTCTCACAAGCTACGTGATCCAAATACTGAAGATCCTGGCTAAAAACACTTTAAAACATTCATGGAAATGATAGAATATTAAGTTTAAATGGAGGAAGAGAATCCTGAATCCTCGAGAGAAAGGATTCTCATTCTAGATCAGATCTTATGTGAGGAAGCATGAGTAACAACTGCCATTTTTGCCAGTTATTGAGTTACTAACAGATATAAAATGAAATAGTGGCAGCTGATATGAGAGAGTACACTGATCCTCGCTAATGAGGAAAGACCCAAGTTTAGAGAAGCAGGCGACCAACGAATCAGGACTCAAGACGTGCAACAATTTTTTTTTGGGACATTTGGAGACGTTTCATTTTCACTCTCAGGCCGAAGAAGAGAACAAAGTAGAGTGCAGTGAGTAATGAACTGCTTTTAGCTGATAGAAGTACCCAATGAGGAGTACATTGGTGGCTGAGTGGCTATTGACCATTGGTGGTCAACAGAGGTCATCAGAAGGCATTCATGAAGTCACATTTTCAACTATTAAAAAAAAAGCTGCTGTTTAAATGCATATATATTAAGTATTTTCAGGAAAAACAAAGCAGAGTGATCCAACTCACAAGAACATTTCTCAATGGGCAGGTTTTTGCCATTGAAAGAAATCATTTAAAAAGCACTTTTTTGTCGTCTTCTCATTTTACTCACTGGGGTCCACGCCACTGTCTTGGTCCCGCAGCAGAGGCACCTGGGAGCCTTGTCCAACTACACACACATATAAAACACACCAATGAGCTTTGTAGGAAGATCTAAGCGAGACAGTACACACACTGCACACACACACACACACACACAGTCCACACTGCACACAATACACATACTGAACACAGTCCGCACTGCACACAATACACATACTGAACACAACACACACACACACACACACACACACACACACACACACACACACACACACACACACACACACACACACACACACACACACACACAAAATGGAATTTCAACAAGGACTCAACAAAGCTCTGCAAACCACGAACACCCTACGATTGTTTCTTTGTCGGGGTGAAACTAGTGCGCGATGTTCAATCAGAACAGCGAAACGAGACTCACCCGAGCTGGCGCCATCATAGTCCCGGCCGTAACCGTTGTGGGGGGGCGGGGGTCCGGATCCGTTGGGCACGGGCAGCATGGGCATGCCAGGGTGGTGAGACGGCGGCCCGCCGTACGTTGTGCCGGCGTACGCCGGCTGAGCGTACATGCTGGGAGCGTAGAGGGTGGCCGCGTATTGGCTCATCGGCACGCCGCCCTTCTTCACCGCTTTGCCGGCCTCGTACACTGCAAAGCAACAACGAAAAGGATTGTTTATAACGCTGAGGGGAGATTACTGATAGCGCTTCCACGTCTGTACGCTAACTATGTAGCTAACTAGCAGCCGTTAGCTTAGCTCACAGAGTCATCCCCAAAAATGTTTTTACTTTCTGCACGAAGTGGAGTCCAACAGTAAACAATGTGAATGAGTGGAATAACAATAAGGAACTCTAAATTAGTAAATACTAAATTAGATGTACAGTTTGACACATTTGAAAAAGTGTTTATATCGTTAGAAAAATGTTTCTGAAATACTTTCGGAGCCAAATTGTTGTTAATTGTTAAAAAAAATAGTTGGTTGATTAGCATTTTACGAGGTAAGAAGATGTCTTTTCATTTGGCTTTTTTCAAAAGAAGCTAAACGTCCTAAATATTTGATGCGGTCCCATTCTAAGCAGCCTCACGAGAACCTTGCACACCTCTAGTTGGTGCAATATTAGACTTTTTGTTACTCGTCATTGTGCACGCCTCGGTACCACGGCGGTCACGTCTGGTACTCACGTGCACGGGGGCAGCAGCAGCGCTCAGGGCAGCAGGGGCAGCTGACGTAGCAGCAGCAGGTGTGTGGACAACACTGACACCAGCAGATCCCGATCAGCAGCAGCAGCAACAGGAACCCCAAAACCACCAAAACGACGAGGAGCCAGTCTGTGTGGGACGGGGACAGTTAAGAGTTAAGTTAAGGCAGAAAGTGGCATACGGTAAAAGTAGTTGCTAGGCAGCTAAAGATGTTCAATTATTCTATAAATAATATTAAATTATCGCTATTTATGCAGTACATTCTAAGATGCATTTTAATAAGATACAATTAGTCACACAGCTGGAAGAAAATCAGTTAAACAGCAACAAAAAGGACAAGAGGTAAAACAAGACAAGTTTATTCAATACGATAAAGTTGTTCTGCCCCCCCCCCTCCACCCTGGCTTGACTGCCACACACCTTCCTCCAGCCACTGAACACTTGCACTGTTATTGTATATCCATTTCTTACTGTTCATATTGCATAACTATTTCTTACTGTACACATCTATTTATTCACTTATTACGCTTTACATATGCACATACTCTGCACTTTTTGCTATTTTGCACTCCTGGTTGGATGTTAAACTGCATTTCGTTGCCTCAGTACTTGTACCCTGTGCAATGACAATAAAGTTGAATCTAATCTAATCACCGTAAATTCATCCTAGATTGAACACTTCATAACAGAAATACAACAGAAAAACAAAGCACGTTAGCTACAATACTCTGGTAAATATGCCTCTCTTTTTTCATGCTTTGTTCAAACCAGTAAAACCAGTTCCTCATTGACTTGCAGAGTACAATCGTGCCTTTAGCACAGCTAGAGCAACACGTGTCACAGAGACAAAAACAAGTGGACGGAGCGCGGGAGGAAATAGTTAAATGAGTCAACTAAAATGGACACATTTGGCGGGGACGCGTGTCCTGGACGCTCCTTAAGGGCCATATTTAAGAAGGAGAAACAGAGGGAGGCAAGCACCGAGAGCGAGGGAGCGAAAGGTGAGGCGGGACGTTAAGGACAACACGAGGAAAACGGTTAAGTTTGGGTAAAACAAATCTTTACACGTAGTTGCATCAGGGTGCAGAGGCCTGTGCTATTAGATGAGTCATAGCGGTATTGTCGCAGTCAGTAGGTGCTCATCATTGCCTGGAATCAAGAAGCATTGCAGCAGAGGTTGCTTTTTTTTTTCTACTTTTTTTTTTTTTTTTAAACCTAATCCTCTCTTCCTCCTCCTGTGTGACACTCAAACATGACTGAGCTAAATCAAAGGACTTGTACTACCTTCCATAACCAGTAAGTCAATGCCAGGCAGGAGATCAGTAGTATTTGACTTTCTCTCTGTGAAAGAAAGATAAAGCCACAATTACTTTAGAGTGGTCTAATTATTCTGCCTTATATGAATTCCCTTTGAAGGCGTATGCTTAGTCTTCTCTTTGTCACTTGTCAAAATCAGGCCAAGTTTATTTGAAAATGTATTGGATGACCTTTGTTTAACCACACTTATGCGACTGGGGGAGGAGAACACTAAAGAAAAAGGAGAAGAAGAAGAAAAAGAAGAAGAGACAGTGGCTCACGCGCACGCACACGTCTGACTTGATGAGCCTACGAATGCAACTCACCCAGGACGATAAGCTCCGTGAAGTCTTCTCCGTTCCCTGAAAGGTCCTGGGAGGAGATCACGGAGCAGACGTAGACCCCGCTGTCGCCCCACGCCGTCTGTGCCAGATTGAGGTCTGCATCTGTGGGAAACAACACAGCCATTGGTTCGACTACAGGATTTATCTTCCCAAGGAGGTCTCAGTCAGGAAACCTGCATATTGATACATTCAGCAATGATGAACTACGCTCAAATCAGAATGTCTGTTCCGTAAAGAAAGAACTAATTGAATAAAAGTCGGTCGGCGGAACCCGGCGGTTATTAAAAGATGGTTAAATGCGTGTTTGTCGGACAAATTGCACAGACTAAACAAAGACTCTCAGGATAACTTGGCCTGTGCTGCAAGGTTCAAGTACAGTGTTTCATTGTGTGGCTAATAATAATACATTATTTTAGAGGCTAAGAGGTTAAGAGGCCAGGCTCCATTAGAGAATAACAACCCGGCAGCGTCTGTAGATGAAGGGAACTTGAGCAGGACACTTGCTGGAGACAAAGACACGCCATGAATACACTAGTTTGGGGCTCTTTCCTTTTCTTTATGTTATGTTATGTCCCGCTTCAGTGCCGGTTCATGTGGCCTGTGCTTGTTGCAAATGGGGAAAAAATAAATGTCTGAATATTGAACATGACTAATCATGTCGGCCAAAACATGCAAGCTTTCTGTCCCATGTGGAAACATTAATGCTAATTCAGTTTCAGAAGCTCATTTACACAGAACAAGTCACACAAGGTTTTGACAGAGCGTGTTCTGTTACAGTATCTGACTTTACAAAAACAAACAAAAAAAAACAGATTTTTCCGTGTGCCACCGTGACTCACTATTTAGGATGCTGATCTTGCGCCCCTGGTAATCCGCCCCGAGGGTCACGGCGTTGCCCTGCTTGGAGGCCACGATGCGCACCGTCCTCTGGCTGTCGGCGCACTCGATGTTGGCGTCGAAGTTGGGGTTGTTCTGGGACAGGATGGAATCGGCGCTGCTGGGATTCAACGCGGCCTGGATGGGGTCGCGGCAGTACGACTTGTACTTCCAGGTGACGACGGGGGACTGAGTGGCCGTCGTCTGGTAGTTGCAGGTGAGGGTGACGGGCTGGAAGAGGATGACGACGTACCTCTTGGTGGGACACTGCACCGAGATGCCCACGGCGGACTCTGGGAGGAAATATCTGATTTTTTAATATCAAAAATACTGTGTTATTGTTTCCGGTTACTCCGCCATACCTCCAGGGCGTTGGAAGCGGCAGACGGTATCTCCACGCCGCCAGTTTCACCGAGTGGGTGTGATGAGTCACCGGACCAATAGAGTATGACTGCATTCATGCGGTTTCAATGGGGACGCAGGAATAACTTTGGATACGGTCGAGACTTTGCTATTTGGTTTGAAAATAAATATGATTTAAAGCCAGACAGCGTTTACTAGAGGGGCTCATTTGCTGTGGCAAAACTCAACTTTTCTCCTACTCATGTGACTTTTCCCACATTGCTGATCTTACAAAGTCAAGGCCCTAAATAAACAATGTAAAACAGAAACACAAAAGGAGCACCAATAAAAAAACTACAAAGAAACAGTTTTTACATATAAAAAAGTACTTCCACATGGCAACACGTGTGGTTAAATAAAACACAATATCCCTGTGTCTGTGTTTTATTTACTTCTGTAATTATTCAGAGAACCATGGAATTGGTTTTAAAACACGTTGTATACATTGTTCAAGCTTTGGTCAGCTTTGCTTATGTTCTGTTCGTAGATTTAACCGCGTGACACTCTCACTCTTTAATGAAACGTTGCTACACTAGAAGAGATCTGTTAATAAACAGGCATTTTAGTCATTTGTACATTGAGCGAATAGGTTGCCTTAATTCCTAAAGATAATAATGTTCAATATTATATACATTATATAACTACATTGATGTCTGTTTGAAAACAAATACCGTGACAACAAGATGCAAAACATAGAACCTGTTTTATTGTAAAGAGAGATTTAAGATAATAAGAGGAAAATAAGGAAAAAGCTGTCAGTGATGAAAGAAGAAATAATTTCCTAAAACTACTGAATTAGTTACAAGTCACAGCTGAGTGTTAAAACTGAAAAATGTACCTGCAGAACTTACATATTTAATGTTGTATCACTACAAAATATTAACGTTAGTATTGCGTGCCGTTGAAGCACAAGTACCTTCTCGAATAGTGAAGTACTTGATGGCGCCATGCTTTAGCAGCTCCCTCTGAAATGTGGCCGAGCACAAGTACAAAGCCAAATGGAAACACTCCAACAGGTTGTTATTTGTCTCAACGAGGTCGCCTGATAAACGATTGTTTGAACATTTGATAGGGAATTCCGTACAACCCGCGACCAAACTAAAGGAAAACGAGCAGGTATAGGAGCTGTTTTTATCGACGTAGTTTTCACGGAAGAGGGCCCACCCTGTTTGAAAAAAACAACACACCGACTTACCTGTTGCCATCAAGGCCGCGACAATTAACGTCCAAAACATGTTTAATCCTCTTTCTCCGAGCTTTCAGTCGACCTGTCTTACTATTACTTCCTCAAATACACCGACAACACCCCACCTTGAGCATAATATTAAGTAAGCGTAATTTTCCTCAGCCAGGAAGTTTCTGTTCCATTTTGTGTGTCTTTGGTGCGTTGTGAGCCGTGGGTGGAGGGGGGGGGGGTACCTGAACGCGTCACGTCAGCCGCGCCACCCACAGGTGCGCTTCCAGAGGCAGGTGGCAGACGGTTGCGAAACACGGAGATTTCGGGTTGTTTTTATGTTCAACGTTGGATTAAATTAACCCCAAAGACATGTTTATGAGAGCAGGGCGAGTTTATAAAATACGACGCTATTATTTTGACAGCATATTTTTGTTCAGTGTGGATGAAATTTGACCAAAAAAACCACGTTAAACCACCACCCCCCCCCCTCCCGCCGCTAGTTGGTACGACCCAGGCACTGATAACGACATGAAAGCACCACTGTTTGTTAATGTTCAATCCGTTTGTGGGAGAGAGTGTGGGTTTGAGTACAAGGAGAAACCGAGGGCCACTGACTTTTGACCAGAACTACTGAATACTGCAATAAACTTTAAAGATGACCAAGACTTGCTTGACAGGGTTTTGATGTGAATTAGATTAGAATGGGAGAGGAGCAGGGACACCTTTTCACATAGACCGTTATTTTATGCCATCATCTGCTCACCAAATGAGAATTAACACAAGGTTGAGTATCATTGACGTAGCGCCAAAACATCACTTATATGCAGCTCCAATTTTGTCTTTTTCAACTAAAGTTATTCCAGATTCAACCCAGACATTTGCGGCCTTACTTTGATACATGCAGACTGTAGGAATGACGTCAATTTGTTCGCCATCTTCCACGTCGATCCTCGGCCCGACGTCCTTGGAGCAGAGGATGACAATCCCGGATTGGTCTCCGCACACCGTGCAGCTCTTGGTCAGAGGTGGAGAGACCCCGGAGCATTCTGGGAATGTTTCATTGGGGCCTCTCTGGTAGAGGTGGCCGTCCTCATCGGTCTCAAATATCTTCGTCAGATTTGGGCATCTGTCTTTGTCCTTGCAGGTGAAACACTTTGCTGCAGTCAAAGCCCAGAAAAACATTGACAAGAGAAATCTTACAGTTGTATTTTGTGTTACATTAATAACCGAGTGTATTAAGTGTGTCTTAACTCACGCTCTTGGTCTGCTGCAGGATTAGCTCCTGCTGTATGGTGGATAACATGTTGGTAGATGTTCATCAAAGCAGAGTGAATTATTATGTTCTTAAACTTCTATAGGTAAATAAATACAGCAATGAACTGCACACACCTGGAAGGCCCTCAGAGAGCGGAAGAATCGTGATCGCCATCATACAGAGGAGGTGCACTGCAAAGAGTGATATTACACTGAGTGAGACATACGAATTATATGCTGAGTGGTCTTTATACACCTGTATGAATATATTGAGAGGTGTTTGTGATAATTATAGGAATTTATAGAAGAGATGTTGAATTAAATTGTACCAACTGAGTGTTACTTCAATAATACTGTATCATCACATAAGATTGAAAAAAGGAAAAAAAAAATTATATTCAAGTAATCCAAATACAATTCAAAATCAATTCATGTAATTACGTTTACGGTACTTTCTCTTCCGCCCCCATCCTCCAGGTGCCAGTGGGGGGCATTTTGAACCGGCGGCCATCTTGGAGCAGCTGTCTTCTCCTTCCCCCTCCACGTGCTCTTCTGCAATCGCCGTTGTTGTGGCTAAAGCTTTGAAAGTTTCCACTTCTGACGGCGTTTGTGGTGGAATGTAGTTTTTGTGGACCACAGCTCCAGCGGAGGGTTGCGTGAGGCCCCCCTCAGCAGCCACAGGGTGGGCCTTTGGACCAGCAGCGTGCCAGAGCTCTTCACAGATGTCCAGATTCTCCATCGGAATGGGGATCACAGAGCTGCCTCTTTCTGCCGCAGCCCAAGCATGTTTATTGCAATGATCATTGAATTGATGCTTCATGTAGGAGGAGAGGCCCCCCTCGCTGGAATGTGAAAACAAGAGAAATATCTGTGAAGTGAATTGGAGTATATAATCAAATGATATTAAAGCCACAGACGTCCGAATGACTCCAGCCGTTACTGAACAAGTGATGCATAAACATACAGATTCACCCAAACAAGATGAGAAAATAAACTTACCCGCTCTCCTGGGTGTGTAGGCCTGGAGAGTAAAATATGAAAGTATGTTAAACAACTAATGATAGTTGTTATTCACGAAACAGTGTCCAAGTGTTTTGTCTTAAGCACTGATCACGTTAAATTAAATAATCTACTGCTGTTAAGAGGTTTACACTCTATGTCGATCCTTAACTGGAAAGGAAACACTATAATAGTTTATTCATTCAATAACAATGATAACGATAACGAAACCGTTTCCAGTATGGATGACAACTGCGTCACATGCCTCTACTATTAGTTTCACACAATGTCAGCTTTTAAAACCATAACAGAAAGGAAATCCTGGGTCACCGCGGTAAACAGAAGCTGTGTGTGACCTCAAAACGTATTCAAATCAAAAAAGTAGTTTAGTCTAGTTTAGTTTATTCATTCAATAACAATGATAACGATAACGACACCGTTTCCAGTATGGATTGACAACTGCGTCACATGCCTCTACTATTAGTTTCACACAATGTCAGCTTTTAAAACCATAACAGAAAGGAAATCCTGGGTCACCGCGGTACACAGAAGCTGTGTGTGACCTCAAAACGTATTCAAATCAAAAAGTAGTTTAGTTTAGTTTAGTTTATTCATTCAATAACAATGATAACGATAACGAAACCGTTTCCAGTATGGATGACAACTGCGTCACATGCCTCTACTATTAGTTTCACACAATGTCAGCTTTTAAAACCATAACAGAAAGGAAATCCTGGGTCACCGCGGTAAACAGAAGCTGTGTGTGACCTCAAAACGTATTCAAATCAAAAAGTAATTTAGTTTAGTTTAGTTTAGTTTATTCATTCAATAACAATGATAACGATAACGAAACCGTTTCCAGTATGGATGACAACTGCGTCACATGCCTCTACTATTAGTTTCACACAATGTCAGCTTTTAAAACCATAACAGAAAGGAAATCCTGGGTCACCGCGGTAAACAGAAGCTGTGTGTGACCTCAAAACGTATTCAAATCAAAAAGTAATTTAGTTTAGTTGCCAGAGGACAAAGATTCAAACAGAGCCGGTAATCAGGTCAAGAATGAATGAAATGTAGCAGGCACCAAAGGAAAACGTTTTGTTTTCCTCAAAGATGATAAATGGTGGACTTTAAATAAACACTTACTTTGTGGTGGAGAATGTAAAAGGCTATTCCTCGGATCAGCCATTTTTATCAGACAAGAAGGTAACGTTAGAGAAACTGGAATCAACCTGTTGGAAAATTCAAACAAGGAAGTAGCGTTAGTCAAGACATCTAATCAAGATCCCCATCTGGTGGCAGTAAGCTTTAATCAAGAAGATTGACTTGACTTGATTTTTTTTAATGTAACTAAATCCTGAGTGGACAGCTGCGTGGTTTGTATTTTTTCCCTTTATATATAAGAAATACAGAGGTCATATACAAATTAATAAATTAATTAATAGAAATTCATAAATAATATAATGGAAAGAAAGGACTATCTGCACCTTGAGTCTGAAATAAAAGTTTGATTTATTGAAAGGGCTTGTAAAAAATACCGATTCAATGTCCAATTGTTAGATCCATGAAAGTGCTCATATCTGTCCTACAAAGGCAAAGAAAATGGCCAAGAGTTCACGCAGTTCTTTTTTCACAGTAAAAGACAAAAAAATCGTATTGTGAGCCTCTTATAAAGATGTCAGGACACACTAAAGAAGAGGCTGTAATGGAAGACAGAATCCCCTTCTGCACAGCTTCACCCTGTGGGCCCTTGTTCAGCTCCCAGTCTGCCGTTCCCTTAATACTTGATGCATACAAAAGGACATAATACGGCTAGAGAAAATGTCGGGGGGTTGACAACGTCAGCAGGATTCATCCTGTGGGTGCCACAAACATCGATACTGTCGTTGTGGTTTGGAGGACCGTCTCTTGTTAAGATGTGAGCTGTCTGTAGCTCACTGTTTTATACCTAACCCCTTTATTGGGCCTTCCACATTAGATTTTATAAGAGGTGCAACTGCTGTACTTTCCACCTGGTCACAGGTGTGGGAAAGCCGCCGCCCCCTTCTGCCTCATCACTGCTGCATCAGTGCAACTCATCCACACAGTCACATGACCTATCTGTCTATCAGCCATGTTCTTTGGTAATTGGTGTGTTTCACAGTCTTGCGTTGCCGAGGCGTGCCTCCTTCGCTGGAAGCGGTGGACGGGACACGTGAAGGCGTGTAGGCGAGTATAAAGGATGGCAACTATGTGCATCCGTGTTCAGACCTGAAGCAGCGGCTTTCCCTCTACAGCAGAAACGTGAGTAGATTTCTTTGGTACAACATAGGACAACATATAGGTCTCCAGCTCACGCAGAGACAAACAACCAGTGCGTCAGCTTTCGAAAAAATACCTCCGTCCTACAACAAAGAAGCTGAAAGTCTTTGCAAGATGTGCCGCGCTTCAACGTTCTGAAAACAATAAACATGTCAGTCGAAGCTGGTATTCACAGATCAGGTGCAGTCAGGGTTCACGGATGTGCTTCCTGAAGGGACCTGCTTTCTTTTTTCTTTCTTTATTTATTCATGTTCTGGCGACACTTCGGGATTGAGATTGGTATCGTGGTGGTTAGTCAGTGGCAAAAGGGTTCCGGGTTCAAACCTGTTCAGCAACTTTTCTGGCTGGTGTTTGCGTGTTCTTCACGTGCCTGTGAGGGTTCCCTCACGGTATTATGGCTTCTTTCCAAAAAGACATCCAGGATGTGTTGATTAGTAACTCTAAAAGTGCCAGTAGTGTGTAAATGGGAGAGTGAATGTCTGTACTCATGTCGGACCTGCAATGGACTGGTGACCAGTCCAGGGTGAGCTGCGTGTCTCACCCGATGCTAACTGGGATTGGTTTGCGACGCTCTAAGGATGAGGGGTGTAGAAGATGATCGACTGACTTTAGGTTATGCTGATTCCAGAATGGTTCAATCCCCGCCCACATCTGGTCTCTAATCTGTCCATCTAGTCTAATATTATTCTAGTCTAATATTATTCTAGTCTAATATTATTCTAGTTAAGTGAAACTAAACACCCGTCCAGTCGGATGATGACGCTCTGACTTTCTGAAGGATGCCTGAACCAGTCTTACTCGACAGAAGTGACGCACCTTTCCGAGAATATTAATTTCCTCTAAATGCTACCTGGTCTGGTTCTGAAAAGAAGCTTTTGTAATAGAGAAATGTTTGTTCTGCGCTTCAAAGCGATAATTGAAATGAGCTTTCCCTCACTCTGCAGTCGTCCCGCTGAGGCCTCGATGGCGTACCCCACCGGCACTCTGGCACAGGGAGCCTTTGGGAAGGTGTACAAGCAGAAGTACAACGACACCTGGGCTGCAATAAAGAAGGTCCCCCAACACCTCATCAACAGGAAGGACCTGGAGAGAGAGTGTGAGGTGTACAAGTAAGTAGGAGGGGTTTTAATAATGTCAACTTAGTACAAGTGAAAAACTGTTAAGATACTCTGAACTCTTCAGATGTTTTAACGTAGTAATTTCCCCAGATGTCAAAGCTACATACCTTTAATGCCCCCTAGGGCACAAGTCTTGACCATCACAAAAACAGAGAAATACAATAGACATATTTGAAGATACAAGATCATTGATGACCGTCACAAAATTCACAAACGATTGTCTCATGGAAAGTGCTTTTCATTTCAAATATTGTGAACATCATTTAAGGTGAACAAAACATCTGGCTAACCTGAGGGAAGATAGACCCTTATTTGGAAAGTCATTTTTCCAGTACCACTTGTGTTATTTTTAACCCCCACATCAGGGTACCCAGGGAGTATTTATTTGCTTTACATATTTATTCATTTTCCCTCCATGACCACGGCCACGTCTGTGCAGAAAGGCAAAACATCCCAACATAGTGAAGCTCCTGGGCAACATAAATCTCAAAGACGGGAAATGGATCATTCCTCTGGAGTTTATCTTCGGGGAGGACTTAGAGACCACCATCTTCAAAGCATCAAATTCTAAAATACAGGTAAAGTTATCAGCATCAACTTCACGATCCACATTGAAACTAATTCTCAAACCACGATTGCTTCTTATAAAAGTGTAAAGTTATGAACACACCATCACCCTAATTTGACCATGATGATATTTATTTTCTCTTCTCTTTTTCTCAACTGTGATGAAGTTGGTTTCTATTTCATGGTTCAGATACTTGATGCCCGTCCAGCTGAACCTGATCTTGTATTTGTGCCTCTGCAGCTGTCTCCATCTATCAAAGGCACCATCATCCTCGGCATGTGTGAAGGGCTGTTTCACCTCCACTCCAGAGATATTGTCCATCAAGACCTCAAGCCTGACAACATCATGGTGAGTGGAGGCCCGCGTGGGCCGTCAGCATCCTGCACGAAGGTTTCCATGCAGCCTTTCAACTTGAAATGAGATATTTACATTGCTGTCCTGCAATCTGGAAAATAGAGATACATCAAACATTAAACGTGACCAAATATCATTTGTCTTCCAGGTGGAGCACGGTACAAACAGAGCCGTCATCATTGACCTCGGACTGGCAAAGTTCTTCAAATTTGGCCTCAGCTCTGCCATGGACATGGGGAACCAGGCCTACTCGGCCCCCGAGGTTCTGCAGATGGGCACCCAGAGGGACCAGCGCTCGGACGTGTGGGCCATGGGGAAGATCATCGCGGAGCTCTGCGCCCGCATTCGACTTCACACGCCCAGCGTCTGCCCCGCCAAGATCAGGGACGTCATGGGGGATCAGCCGTACTGCCATTCCGTGTGTAGGATGGTGGACCCCAACCCGTCTCTGAGGGCTTCCGTGGGCGGGGTCATCCACGAGATTCGAAGGGCCGCAGGCGCAAGCGCGGTCACCAATACGGCGGTTCAGAAAGAGCACCTCAAGCCACCTCAAGTTGATGTCACAATCCCGTCTCCGGCGGACCAAGGTGCAGCTCCAGGGAACAGAGATCTATCGCCTATGAACAGAGGTGCAGCTCCGGCAAACAGAGATCTATCGCCTATGAACAGAGCTGCAGCTCCAGCGAACAGAGGTCTGCTACAATTGAACAGAAACCCGCCACCTATGAACAGAGGTCTGCCACAATTTTTCAGAGACCCAATACCACACAAGCATCCACCACCACCGAAATGTGAACCTGCCCCCAAACCACCGTTTAAGGCTTTGCTGCCTCAAGCCGCAATGCACTTCCCTCCTTCTCCACAGAGTGCCGAGGAGAAGAACCAACAAATGGCTCTGGTCCCGGCCGGCGGACCCGAGCCGACCAGAGACTTCCAGAGGAGGATGCGGCCCCAAGAGTGAAGTCACACACTCATACGATAAATGTATTAATAGTTACTGTGTGAAAATAGAGTCAATACACAGGTCGAAAATAAAACTTCCGTCCGAAGTGGTTATTGTGCATTATAACTTAATGGGGATGTTGGGAAAGGTTCAGTGATTGTGACAAAGATAATACATGTTTTTTAATGTGCATTTTGTTATGTGACAATATATTTACTATATATATTTATGAACTTGCAGTTCATGTTCTAATGACAGAATTGTTTTTTATTGCAGCTCAGGTCATTTCTGTCATAATAGCCAATTCGTTAAATATGCCCCTCAAGGTTTTTGTATGTTTCCTCACTACATTTTTTATTCGGTCTGTTTTTATTAGTTAAAAAAAACCTCTGAATTCCAGATTTTCAAACAACTGGGTGGTCAACATTACATTTATTCAAAACTCATTAACAGGGCTCTATTGCATTCTGTTGAAAGGACAAGTACGAAGAAATAAAAAAGTTATTTTCCCTCACTCTGCAGTCGTCCCGCTGAGGCCTCGATGGCGTACCCCACCGGCACTCTGGCACAGGGAGCCTTTGGGAAGGTGTACAAGCAGAAGTACAACGACACCTGGGCTGCAATAAAGAAGGTCCCCCAACACCTCATCAACAGGAAGGACCTGGAGAGAGAGTGTGATGTGTACAAGTAAGTAGGAGGGGTTTTAATAATGTCAACTTAGTACAAGTGAAAAACTGTTAAGATACTCTGAACTCTTCAGATGTTTTAACGTAGTAATTTCCCCAGATGTCAAAGCTACATACCTTTAATGCCCCCTAGGGCACAAGTCTTGACCATCACAAAAACAGAGAAATACAATAGACATATTTGAAGATACAAGATCATTGATGACCGTCACAAAATGGGAGCAAATGGTAACGATTGTTTCATGGAAAGTGCTTTTCATTTCAAATATCGTGAACATCATTTAAGGTGAACAAAACATCTGGCTAACCTGAGGGAAGATAGACCCTTATTTTGAAAGTCATTTTTCCAGTACCACTTGCGTTATTTTTAACCCCCCATCAGGGTACCCAGGGAGTATTTATTTGCTTACATATTTATTCATTTTCCCTCCATGACCACGGTCACGTCTGTGCAGAAAGGCAAAACATCCCAACATAGTGAAGCTCCTGGGCAACATAAATCTCAAAGACGGGAAATGGATCATTCCTCTGGAGTTTATCTTTGGGGAGGACTTAGAGACCACCATCTTCAAAGCATCAAATTCTAAAATACAGGTAAAGTTATCAGCAGCAGCTTTACGATCCACGTTGAAACTAAGGAATGTATCACCAACAATGAAAACAATTCTCAAACCACGATTGCTTCTTATAAAAGTTATGAACACACTATAACCCTAATTTGGCCATGATGATATTTATTTATTTTTTACAAAGAGTTTGGGCTAAATAAGGAAGGTCACCATGGACAGGTGTAGTGTGCAACGGTTTAGGATAAAGATTATCTTCAAGCAGACCCCAAATGGGCCCAAACAAGCCAGAACCAGGTTGGGACTAGTACTATAATATTAATATATTTTTTCAACAGTACATATAAACTGATTGTTACAGAGTATAACATTTATAGGGGTTTCCCTTTACCCCCACACAAATAAATTGTACAAATAGACAAAGTAGTTCCAGAGTTATTACACTTTTTTTCATGGGTGTGCCATTTTTGGAGCAGAGGCTTGTTTCCAATTAAGCTTGCGGTTTATTAATGAAATCTGGACAAATATAGATGTGACTTAGTAGTTCACTTCACGCTGAATCAACTGTGATGAAGTTGGTTTCTATTTCATGGTTCAGATACTTGATGCCCGTCCAGCTGAACTTGATCTTGTATTTGTGCCTCTGCAGCTGTCTCCATCTATCAAAGGCACCATCATCCTCGGCATGTGTGAAGGGCTGTTTCACCTCCACTCCAGAGATATTGTCCATCAAGACCTCAAGCCTGACAACATCATGGTGAGTGGAGGCCCGCGTGGGCCGTCAGCATCCTGCACGAAGGTTTCCATGCAGCCTTTCAACTTGAAATGAGATATTTACATTGCTGTCCTGCAATCTGGAAAATAGAGATACATCAAACATTAAACGTCACCAAATATCATTTGTCTTCCAGGTGGAGCACGGTACAAACAGAGCCGTCATCATTGACCTCGGACTGGCAAAGTTTTTCAAATTTGGCCTCAGCTCTGCCATGGACATGGGGAACCCGGCCTACTCGGCCCCTGAGGTTCTGCAGATGGGCACCCAGAGGGACCAGCGCTCGGACGTGTGGGCCATGGGGAAGATCATCGCGGAGCTCTGCGCCCGCATTCGACTTCACACGCCCAGCGTCTGCCCCGCCAAGATCAGGGACGTCATGGGGGATCAGCCGTACTGCCATTCCGTGTGTAGGATGGTGGACCCCAACCCGTCTCTGAGGGCTTCCGTGGGCGGGGTCATCCACGAGATCCGAAGGGCCGCAGGCGCAAGCGCGGTCACCAATACGGCGGTTCAGAAAGAGCACCTCAAGCCACCTCAAGTTGATGTCACAATCCCGTCTCCGGCGGACCAAGGTGCAGCTCCAGGGAACAGAGGTCTGCCACACTTTAACAGAGACCCGTCACCTATGAACAGAGGTCTGCCACAACTGAACAGAAACCCAATACCCCACACAAGAATCCACATGTGGAACCCAAACCAGCCTTAACGGCTTTGCTGCCTCAAGCCGCCATGCACTTCCCTCCTTCTCCACAGAGGGCCGAGGACAAGAACCAACAACTGGCTCTGGTTTGTTTAATAGTTAGTTTAGGGTGAACTAAAGTCTGTTATCTTCTAAGAACAGGTGAAATACAAAATAGCAAACTGATACAAGTTACAGTACGCACCTTGGAAATCACTTTTCGGGCATTGTGTTCATTCATGTTGGGATTTGATTGATCGCTCAGGTACAAACCTCAATCTGTTTCTTAGCATCTGAATGCACGGGACTGTGAACATTGCTTTAATGTGAAATGCACGTTTATGTGTTAAATTCTGAAGTGTAATTTCTCTTCTTCAGAACGCTTTGTGCTTGGAATTGTCATTACGTCAGCTGGCCACTGTGTTGAGGGCCTTGTCGATGCTTGGAAGGGATTAGGGGTCCTTTTCGGTCACCTTGTTGCGGGGCCTGGAATCCACACAACGAATCATTCTGTTTGGGAACCATGACGACCGGGGAGGCCCAGGAGCTGATGGAGGGCTCAATGGTTTTATCTGCTGCAGGCTGCCGGGCCAGCGGGATGCGTGGAGGTCTCATCCTCGTCTCATGTTTTCATGTTATGCTGTAAAAGATCTGTGCACGCCAAATATCTATCTCATAGTGACAACTATGCAGAACTTAAAGAATAGGGTTCATTTTTAATTAAGTTGTCCGTATTTTAATGAATTATGGGCTGAACCACCACACCATTGTGCCGTCTTAAGCTCACAGCAACGGGCGTTTTCAGGTCTGCTTAGTACTAATAAGCCCCTCTGTGCTTTTCTGTGATTGGAGGTAATCCGGATCAGAGCGGTATTGCCGTGGTCTCCATTTATCTCGAAAGTCAGGAATCAAAACTGGTAATGAAGTCACACACTCATACAATAAATATTAATGGTTAGTGTGTGAAAATGCGGTCAACACATGGGTTGCAAAATAAAACGTTCGTCCGAAGTGGTTATTGTGCATTATGACTTAAAGGGGACGTTTCAGTGATTGTGACAGATGCACGGTTTTTAATGTGCATTTTGTTACGTGACAATATATTTAAACAACTTGCAGTTTATGTACTAATGACAGTTTTTTTTATTGCAGCTCAAGTCATTTCTATCATAATAGCCAATTCGTTGAAGATGCCTCTCAAGGTTTTTGTACTTTTCCGCACTACATTTTTTATTCGGTTTGTTTTTATTAGTAAAAAATCTGTACTAGTCCCAACTCTGAATTCTCGATTCACACACAACTGAGCGGTCAGCATTACATTTATTCAAAAAGCATTAACAGGGCTCTATTGCATTCTGTTGAAAGGAAAAATAGAAAAAAAAAAAAGGTTATTTTGCAGGGCCGTTTATTTTTGTCAACATCCCTTTGAGTTTGTTGGTTTTTAAGAAAAACTTCTCATGGAAAAACAGCATGTGACACTTCACCCGTGTGCTATGATCTAAAGAGTAGAAAGCTTTTTCCCCCCTTACATGAACGATACGTGAGAACCGGACTTTTAGAACTTCAGTCAAATAATTAATGAATACCTCTGTTTGCTCCTGGCGGAACGTCATTGAGAGGGACGCAAACGCCACTTTATTTGAAGGTACGAAACAACAAAAATCTTTTTGAATATTCAGTTTATTAATGAAATTAAGGCCACTATGGACTGTGCAGAATTCATAATGAGCAGAAATAACTCCTAAAGTCACACGGTACTCGCTTGTGACTGGGCAGCATGACCACAGCAGAAAGGAATCAAATCTAATAAAAGTAGCTAAATTAAAAAAAATAAATCAGGTCAAGTAAACGATGCAGAAATGTAGGTTGTGACTTCACACACACACACACACACACACACACACACACACACACACACGCACGCACTTCTGGATGAGCGCTGCTTCACCTCCGTATCGTGTCCAGAACATTCTCTCACTAAAAGCTTGGTTGCCATGCATATTTAGTCTTTGTATAAAAATTGCTATTGTGTAAGTGTCCAAGAGTATTGAGTGTGTCGCTAAGGCCATAAGAGTTGAATACGAATACACATCAAAACAATATACCAGTATATAGTCGTCTATTTATGGGAATCACAGGGAACCACTCGCTGAGCTTCTCGTCAGCGGACAAATTCCACGAGGACGTGTAGCTGCGTTTCCAGTAGAAAAAACAAAGTCCCTCATCATTAACTATTCTCATCCCTTCTCTAAATGAACTGCAGGGTTTGTAAATGTGGGGAAAACGAAATACCTGTTGGTTTAAGATTGCAACACAATTTAAATATGCTACAAATATTGGTAGGAAGAGAATGTTTATTCACGTCACGCATACCGTCCACACGCACACGCAGTCATTTTTGGTTTCAGCTATCAGCACGGCTTCCCCCCCCCCCCCTCACCGGGTGGGAGCGCCAGTACCTTCTCTCGGGTTTACAATCAAATCTGTCAAGAGTGGAGAGAAGTGAAGCCGACATGCAGGCCAGGGGGCACGATAGTGGAAGAGGGGGGTTGGGGGCGCGTCTCCGTGTGATTGCGAGTGGAAGACACGTTTGTCGGGAAACAAAAAGACCCACACAGTCGAGCTGGGAGACCAATTTCCTGATTAACAGGCTCAAGACATTGGAAACATTTTGTTTCGTTTGATTTCTCGCCAGCGGCACTGTGCGACCCTTCTTGTTTGGCTACGTCACCGTGAGCTTGAAACAGCAGCATTTAGAAAATCTACATTCCTGGACCGGATAATGCTGAAGAAATAACCATTTGGGGCTGGGCGGCGCTAAAGCTTTTTCCAGGTCATTTCTCGACGATGAAGGGTAACGGGAGGAAGCTGGCACTCTTGAGGGATACAGAGATATAAAGTACACGGCTACAGAAAGAAAAACTCCATTTTGATGTGAATCTCAAGCTCATCTGAAGACACCTGCTCTGAAAAAAGGCAAAAGCACAAAGACGAGATTCAGTCAAATGTTGCAGGTATTTGATATGCTACACAAAAGGAACTGTACCTTTGGGCCTCCGAGTACAGAACTTCTCTCGTTCACACGAACAGCATCGGCTGTCTTTTTTTTGATATACGCAAATCAGAACGGATACAGGCCGGCATCTCTCAACCAGACAGATGGGACACGCGCACCGTTGTGTCAGAAGCAGCAATACACACATCTGTGCGCCTTCTTCATTCAGTACTTATTGTAGCAGCTTCACACTCGACTGGAAACCAGAAACCACCTCTTTCACTGGTTTAGGCATTGGAATCACGACCAAAAAAAAAAAGAGCGACTGCTGGAAATTGCAGCCAGCGCTCAGTAAACCCAAATATCTAAACAACATAAGGTACGAGTGAAAAGACACACACAAAAAAAAAAAAAAGGAAGTACAGGCTTCTAAAGGCATCACAAGGTTTAAACAGCGACCACGGCGCCGTAGATATATAAACTCACAGAGTCCAACTTTTGTCGCTCACGCTTCACTGTGGCTCCCCGGGAAGAAGAAGAAGAATCAGTGGTGTACAGGGACCAGCATGGGGGGGGGGGGTGACGAATCCCCATCAATCGTTCTTATTCTTAATCCATCGGGTGCTTCAATCACCCAAACGAGCACCCCGGTGTGTCCGCGAGGCAGAACAATGTTAAACCAGCGCTAACCAACTCTTCCACAGACGCTGAATCTGAAAATAGGAAAGAAAACTCCAGGTGGAGAAAAACCACCACCAGGATTATCCCATGGAAGTAGTGCCACGCTGAACAGTCATTACGGCTCCTATTGAGTGCTCTTCTTCTCCGTGTGGGCCTCTTTCAGTCTGGCAGAGGTTTTGGCCGGCCCTTTAGCCGGCCCTTTAGCCGGCCCTTTAGCCGGCCCTTTAGCCGGCCCTCCGCCAGGTTCTTTGACTCCAGCTTTGGCAGGGGGTGGGTGTAGACCGGCCTCGGTGCCGATGTTGACCGTGATGTTGGTGTAGAGAGGCATGTACTGCCGTGAGATTGTCTCGTATTCAGCAGTGTTCATCCCGTCCGACTTCCACGTCTGCCTCGTCTTGGCCAGCATGTTGAACCTGCACGCGTGGAGCAGAGACCGAAGCCGTGAATACGCCATTCTACTGGTACAGTACACTAAAACCACTGTGGGTTTCTTCCTCTGCCATCTGATCCCCCCACCGTGTAATAAAGCTTAAAAAGAGAAGTTTGATGTTTTTATGGGCTCAGTCTGCACCCTTGACCTCGACACGTGAACCCAAAGACATGAACTGGTTTAACGTACCTCTTGGGGTTCACGTCGTTGCCTTTGTCCAGCTTGTGTTTAATCATCCTGTAGCGGCCGACCTTCACTGATGGACGAGTGATGTACATCCCCCCCAGAGTCACTCTGAGCAGACGGAGAACACGAGTCAGTCTCAATTCAGACCAGCAGCTCTCTGGCACTGAAAACCTCAACGTGTGACGTGTGCTAGAGATGCATAATCACCTTCCCCCACGTTATTCTCACCTGACTCCGATATCGTCGTCCTCTCCCCCCCAGCCCCAGTAGTTGTTGGGAAAGCCGTTCATCTTGAGGTAGTGCAGCGGCGTCAGAGCAGACACTCCTCCGAAGTACATCTTGTACGGAAGCCTGGAGAGGTTTTTAATTTTAAGTATTTCATAAACACGTGGCACACAGATTGTTCTATGGTCTGCCTGCCCCCCCCTTCCCGGGCAAAGACGAGGAAGGAACGTACTTGTAGCCGAACTTGTCCATGTCGATGGCCGCGTGCTTGGGGTTGGAGTCGCAGACGTAGGTGTTGCGATCGTCCTCGGGGATGAGGTCCACGTCATGGAAGAAGAGACAGTCCCAGTCTTCCTCCTTCATGGCCTCCCGGAAACCCACATTCATCAGCTTGGCCCGGTTGAAGGTGTAGTTTCCGGCCTGGGAGGTGAACGGGTAAGGTAATTAAGGGACGAGACAATAATATCTGCAAATCACAGTTCCATCTCACGGAGAGTAAACAAGCATAAATCAACGTTTACATGGAGATTAAAAATCTCCACTAGAGGGCGCTCTTCATCCAGTCTGAACTGTAGCGGATACAAACCGATGGGACTCGACGTGATGAAGGAGTTGATCATCCAACACGCCAGATCTAACGTTAGATCAACCGAAGCACAGAGTGAGATCTTACTCAAACCGGGCCTGGGCTGCGTGTGTGTGTTTCACCTGGTGAATGACGTAAATCCCGTAGTTGAGCTGTTGCCGCTGCAGAAAGGGATGCAAGTAGTACAGCAGGAACTTGAGGTGATGCTCCCGGTGTCTGTGGGGGATGATGATGGCCGTCCGGTGCCTCGCCTCGCAGTCGGGCGGCCTGTAGCGTCCCCCGCGCACCACCAGTGGGTTTTTCCTCTGGACCTCCGCCAGCGTGAGGCCCGACGGAAAGCTGACGTGGATCGGCCCGCCTGAGAGCACAAACCGGTCCGCTTGTTACCAGCGGGAAGCCAGATCGGATGGGACACGCGAGTTCAGCTGGATGCGTTTGAAAATTTAGTTGACAGGCAAGAAGTCAGATCAGCATGTTAATTACTGACAGTAATATCGGAACAATGGGGCAAAAAAACAAAACTAAGCCTGCTTTGCAGGTCCCTTCTAGAGTAATGTGGAATAAATCAGCAGCAGGATGTGGGACGAGATCCCCTGCCTACCTTCACTTCTGGGAGCGTTTGATCATATCTCGGTCTTCTTGAGTGGGTGGATTTTGCTCAGCACGATGAGAGCAGATGTTTTAGGTTCAACGGTATTTTAGTAAGTAAGCCTGGAGCTTCTTTTAGTGAAGTGCTTAATCAAAGTGGTGGCGATCGGTTCCTCGCACTGAGAAGACGCACTGTGGTCGTTTACTCAATTAATGTCCCTGCAAGTCTTCATTCATTCCATGTTCAAATGAACAAGAACCAAAGTAATTTACTGGAAAACTTTTCCAGAGTTTTCTGGAGTTTTCCAGGGAAGCTTTGCTGCAAATGGGAGCAGCGGCTCGCAATTTTGGGATGATTTTGGATTAAATCATGAAAGAAAAACATCTTTTGCCTCATTTGCCTGAAAATATTTTAAATAAAAAAACACCAGATTGAAATATAATATTTAAAATAATTTAAAAAACTATAAATCTCAGCTCATGAGGCCACGTCTTCAATTCAATTAATCTGCTTACTTGTAATAACCCTTCACACGTTTCCAATTTGCTCCTAAACCTATTTGATCATCAATGAACAATATAACTGCAACAACCATAATAGTCCATAAACATTTAGAGCTTTAGTGCTACTTCTACACACGATTGTACTGTGCATCCAGCGGAGGACAAATGGGGGCTTCAGTTTGTTCTAGTTGCACAACATGCACCCACTGGCTTTCAGAGAGAAGATGAAGAGAACAACAGCCGACACGCTGCAGCTGACTGCACAACTCTTTACACGCTTTATGCTCAAAAGGAAATGTGAAGAACCAAAAAGATTTTTGGAGAACAATTTGATTTCAAAACATTTCCATGGAAACAACTGCCCTCCGAATGCTGACTGGATGTACAACACAGTGGAGTCATCAAATGAGCAGAATTTAACTCCATTAACGAGTTTTCTCAGCTGCCGTCAGTAATTTAGTCCGAAGGGGAAAAAAATAAATGACAACATGTTAGTCTTGGAAAACTGCAAAGTTAGTTTGTGTATATTGAAACAGAGAGATTTAAAAAGGCAGGAAGGCAAGCGATCCGCCTTCAGTAACAGACGACACCACTCACCAATAAGAGGGGACGTCTTCGGGCAGTAAGGCATCACGTCTCCATGGCCGTGTCTTCTGGACAGGTGGGAGAGGTTGGCGTACACGTCCCCTCCAGCGATGCCCAGCGCTGTGTGGTTGCGGCCAGACAGCCCCGTGACGTCAGGCTTGCGGAAGATGCGGATGAAGTAGGAGACCCTCTTCTGGTACCCCTCCCGGGACAGCAGCGCCATGACCACCAGCTGAATGCCCAGGAACATGAAAAGGTAGCGCCATTTGGACTGGATGCCGATCATGGCGACGACGCCGTGTTGTCAAAGCAACGAGCGTTGGGCGAAGGAAGCGCGGGGAGTCACTTTGCTCGGTCGCAACCGGACTCTAGCGGACAGAATCCTGGTACTTAGTAAATTATCCCCAAGCAGAATTCTAAAAAAAGGGATTGTTGCCAACGGTGGATTTGGTGGCGGCTGGTGTCAAACCTTGTTTGGGAACTCTAAAATATGGCTATTGAATGTGACGGTTACTTTATGTTATATGAAAAATGGCAAATGACAAAAAGTGAAACAAAAAAGGCACTTGGGAAAGGCTGTAATTAGGACCACAGATGAGGAAAAATAGAAAAATACTCCAAACCAAGAAGAAAAAAAAAAATGTTTCCTTCTTTTCTCTTTTTTCACTGCATTCCTCGCTGCAGGCCACTATGTGGCAAACATCTCCAAAGTCGACAGTTGGTCCGATTCGGGATCGCTTTCGGGTGCATCATGTACTTTCACCCCCTTCGAATTCCACCCGTTGCCCTGTGAAGCTCATTCTCCTCCGGTCAAACAAATTGCAGCGTTGATGTCTCCCACTCGGCCCGCTCTTCCTCACTTTGTGGGCTTTATGCCGCCTTCTGTGTTCTCCTGAGAGAGGCCTCCGCAGCAACAACAGCCACCGCCATGACAAAAGGCAGCAAGCGCAGCCGTACGGGCCCTTTACTTTACAGAGGATTACACAGCTTCCATGGACTCACCGACTGGCTGGCTGGCGAGACCGGGGGAGTTCACCACGAACCAGAGTGGTAGGAGTGGTCAGGGGGGGTAAGGCTGAGAAAGGGGGAAGAGCTTTGATTCCCTCGGTTATTGTCGTGTGAGGATGCAATCCTCCTCTCTGAGACACCTCGAGCAGCTCTTTGGACCAACAGCCACCGGACAGGAAGGACCGGAACGGGACCAGTCACTCCAGCACGGCTCTGAAAGACAAAAACGAGGAGGAGGCACAGTTACACCGACTGATTCCCCCCCTTTGGTTCAAACTGTTGACATCAGCGATTTTCTACTCTGGGCGGAATGCTGCTTCCCCCCCCACCCACACATCCAAACAACGGCGGATTGTGTGCAATACAGGGCCAACAAACGGATTGTGTTTGTTTACACGGAGAGCCAGCAGCACAGTTGGATAACCCCGATTAATCAGGCCCAGCATGGCCTCCGGTGCCGATCTCCCCCAAAGAGGCCCGCTGCCGTAGAGCCAGCTGACTGGACGGCCCACGTTGGTGCGGGCGGCTGCAAAGTGGCGTTCGCCGACCTTGCGTGACCCACCCCCCGGATTCGGTCCCCGATGCCTTGATGTCGGACACGCCCAACACACAAATCAATTACTGCTCGTTAAAGAAGCCGGTCTAAGGCCACTAATCCTAATCCCACTGAATGCTACCAGACTGGTGGAGGGACGGAGCTGGACGACAGCCGCTTCCAACTTCTCGCCTACGAGTCAGAGGAAAGGAAACATTTCCGAAACGACGAGAAGTCAGTTGCAGTGTCTGAAAACATAAACAACTGTATTGCCCTTAGATGCATTTAGATTTTAAAAAATGATGTTAAACCATACTGGCCTATTTCATCCCTGGGAGATAAGATAAGGATTCATGTCAGTTATGAATCCTTATGGTGGGGACATCATCGGCTCTGAGAGCATGTCTTGCTCATTACCGGGAAGAAAATAATTTGTTGTTGCTGTAGAAGAGTACACAGCGTGGAAGCGGAGACGAAAACATGACTTGAGAGCTCCGATAAGAGATGGAGAGAGAAGGATGAGTGCCTACTTATTGCTTGGTTGCATTACATGGGATTAATTCACAATCTGAGGAGAAAAACAATTTTACCCCCCCACTATATTTTATCATGTTGGCTGGAGTTTTCCCAGCCGATGGTGCAACGCAGTTCTATAAATGATCATGCGAATTATAAATATACTGAAATGGTTAAATCTTCTATCAGGGAAACACACAGCCTTCTTGATCAACTACACAGGCCGAGCAACAACATCTGACAAACGCAAACTCGCGCTGACAGAGCGCTCGTATGCATTCCTCATCTTGCTTTGACAGCTAGCGCTTTCTGTTGGGGGATAAGAGGAGGTCTCACCTCGGAGGATATGGGGAGGCAAACGGAGAGCAGAGCCTCTCTGTGCCGCTGCACATCATTTCTATCCGCATGCCGAGCTGTAGGCAGATGGGACATTGGCGGCTCTCACTTTTCCACGTAGCTCAAGGAAATGGTGCATAAAGAACATAAAGAAAACAAACACTTAATCCCCCTGCAGGCAAACTTCACTGCAGCAAAGCAAACCAGGAAAAAAAAAACATCTACTAATCTGAAAAATGTTGGAACCCGTAGAACTAGTTTGTGTTTCTTCATGCTCGCTAGATATGTGTATAAACATTTAGTCATGGCTCATAAGACAAATCTGCAGCGCCAGCGCAAGCCGCTACATGACTAAGCATCATGTATTAGGAGAACTGCATATGACGGGGGGGGGGGGGGAACGGGGGTGAGTCTGGTCTGCTCCGGCGCTCGGGGGCCATGTCGTGCCGGAGCAGGCTCACAGTCGGAGGACTTGGCAGCGGGCGTCTCCTCCAACAAAGCTCAGGCACTGACTTAACACGCATGTGAAAGAGATCCAGTGACCAGACCCTAGACGACTCGGTCTCTGTGCGTTTGCCAAAGGAGCGACCCGGGGAGAGGGGGGGGCAGAGCGAGGTGGGGGAGCGGCACAGCGATCAACCATCTGGTTACACTCGTGCCACTTTTGACTTCATTGCTTCTCCTGCCCGAATACACTTCCCTTCCCCTTTTACAATTAAAAAAAAAGGGGAGGCAGGTTTGGCGTGGGATACTTCAGGGCACCAAAGAAAGTACTTTTCTGGTCTTGCGTCCAGCACCCCCCCCCCTCCTTTTTCCTCACTGTGCAATGTGTGCTTTAAAGAATGATGGCACATAACAGCCGACAAATAGCACAATTTCTTTTCTGCCTATAGGGCATTAAAACTGCAGATGTCCACATGGATGCTTGCACACATACATGAGTGAAGGCAAGAGGAGCCATTAACGGGGGGGGTTAGAACGTAGAGCCAGCAAGAAAATGAAAGGGGATGGAGGTGTACAGAAGGGGAGCTATATTTAGATAATCATCCAGCGACTAATAGCTTGTGCACTGATGTTTTAATCCTAAAGAGAGATAACACGGCCCCTCAACACACATATCAGCCCCAGAGGAGGGGGCCGGCGAGCAGTTCCACCATGTCGGGGGGGGGGAACCCACAGAGGAGGTAGAGTCGCTATCAACCAACACCTGAGCTCCAACAAGGCGACCCATTTGCGGACTACCACTGGTGGGGCGATTTGTGCTCCTCTGCAACAGCAGCAGTCACTGGTTACCGGCCGCGCGTTGCTTCACGGGTGGAAGTTGTGTGAGCCAAACATTCCAGGCCCAGCTGGTTCACATCAGTCGAGCAGAGCACGGAGGCCAGATGGGGGCCTCCCATCTACGCTACAAGTAGGATGCGATTCTACTGCAAGAAAGGGGGGGAAAACGACTATTACAGATCCCAAAGTCATCGAAGGAAAGAAAGGGTTCCGGTGGGAAAAGGGAAAAAAAGGCCATGTGTGCAAAGGTTTACTGGAACGATCAACACTTTGAACCCGAACCGCCGCGCTGCATTAGAGGAAGCTCGCACGTTTGCGTCAGCGTGTCAGTTTTACGTGTGCCAGTGTAGTGAGAGTGAACAACCTCCTCTCAGCCAATAATGTGCAAACTTCCTGTTAAAACCACAACGACTGCTGGCCAAAAAGTCCTTTTTTGTTTCTGCAAAGAGATTTTACCAGCTCTTATTCAGCATAAAGCTCCTGCTTGCTATCTTGTCTCTTCCTAATTACCAACTATGTAATAATATCCAGACATGCGGCTGCATAGATAAAGATTGCCCCATAACCGTAATAAAATACATTCTAAAACATACTGTAAAAGAATTAAATCCTACTGGCCAAGAAATACCCTTTCACAAGAAACATTTTGTTTTAAATCATTTGCTTTCATCAAATATGCATTTCTAAAAAGGCGTTTTGCATGTTTTGTACTAACTTGAGTTGAGTTTGTTCAATAGAATAACAAACTGTTATTCTATCCTTACATTTCACCATGGGCTTGTTCCTGTGGCTCAAAAACCAACCGCTCCGTTCTTCCTCTTCAGGGTGTGCAGTGCCTTCCTCTGCTCACGAACTGAACACAACAAAGCCTACATTATGTCGCAATTTCCATTACAAATTACCAAAATACAGAAGAGCAATCCTTTTAAGAAAGAGCCCGTTTTCCATGAAGACTCCATCAAGTCTAGTCTGCCAAGAGCTGGAAACGCAACAAAATGTGACCATGGCCACCGCCTCGTAATTCTTCTACTTCTTAAGATCTCAAACCATTCACGTGTGAAAAGTGGCTTAAAAACTCAACCTCACTTTAGTCAGAATATAAACACCGAGGCCCAGCAATTAGGAAACTAACAGAGCCGGGAGGGAACGAGCTGCGAAACATTTACCGAGCAAACTGAGCAGTTTACCTGGAAAACCCTTCAGCCACACCTCGTCTTTGAAGAGGACTTTCAAAATCAGAAGGTTTTTTTTTTTCCTCCCCCTTTGAATTCAAAGCAATCTCTGTCTGTGGCGTCGTTTACACATTAAAATAGGTCCCGGTGATCCGATCACAAGGGCCCAGCGGTTAGGTTGTTTGCATCTCCTATTAGACTGAGTCTCCACTCGCCTGCACCATATGTAAATTATCACACAGAACACAAAGAACAAACAATCAGTTGTTTTTAAACCCGTGTCGAGAAGCAATGACCTCATTTGGTAAAAATATGCATCAGAAGTATTCAATTTTGAACATGGCAATTCCAGGGCAATGATCCCCATATTAACTTTTGACTGTATCCAACACTAGTTGGAGTGAGAGTCCTTTATTTGCCAAGTAAGATGGACATAGGAGGAATGTCACGGTGGGTGATCATTTACAGTCAAATTAACAACAATATAGAAGAATATAAAAAAAATAAAAATGGAAAATACAACTAGAAAAAAAAGAAAGAAAAAAAAAAGTGCACAGGGAACCGGACGGTGATGGAGGAGGAGAGGATGGACTCAAGAAGTACACCATCATTGCCTCTAGCAGGTTGAATTTGTTCAGGAAGTGCATCCTCCTCCACATTTTGCGGAGTTCCGGGATCATCGTGACTGGAAAAGATTCCATCAGGTGATAAGCACGCTTTGCCGGCCAACGGCGTCAGAGCAGAACTGCGGTACGAGGTCAGAGAGTCAGCATTGGCCTGCTGCTGCTGCAGTTCTAACCTTGTGGTTTGTGTGCATTTTTCCTGGAAACGGTCAGTACCGTGTGCCACTCTTCACAACATGGAATGTACTAATTTGTGGTGCTTGAGTAATACTCCATTAGCTCAATGGGAGAGACGGGTAACTCCTTATAAATATGTCCTTTCGGTCAGCAATAAGAGGTTGCCTTATCAGGCTTTATAAATTAATGATTGCTTAGCAACGGCTTGGAGTTTAGACTTTACCTGTAGACTACACAGGAGCACCAATTGCTACGTTTACATTCGGAGAAAGGCCCGAGAAGGACTGTAACTTAATAACTCAATCCCATCAATCATAGGAAGGATACGTCAGCTTAAGTTAATTAACAGAATTGCAACTGGTTTAGGAGCTTGCGTTTAATAAGAGTGGAAGAATTGGTTTGAAACTGATCTAGAGAGATGAGGCCAGCAGACCGCAAACAACTCAAACAAAAGCCTTTTTTTTTTTTTCCTTTACCAGGTTGCCAAAAAAACAAAAAAAGCAAATCAGCAATACGTTTTTTTTGTTTGTGCAACGAATGAATGTCTTAAGAAAAACAGACCAAGATACAAACTGAACTTGTATACTGTAAACGCTAGCAGGCCTTATTCTCTCCAGCACCAACCAGGCAATGAAATAATATGCAAACAGGCCCAGAGAAAAGAAGAGCATAACAACGCGTGCCAGCGTCCTTGTCATGGCAACCCACCCTGAGACCAGGCCATTCATCGCGGCTGCAGCTGGTACGTGTCTCTATGGCTGTTCCCTCGAGTCTGACTCTGCTGGGACGAACTGCTGAGGAGAGAGAGGCTGGCAGGGGGGGGGGACGACAACATTGTCGTCATCCTCCCACTTCACCGCTCAGGTTTCTGCCTTTGGTTGAGAACGCCGTTTTCCATGGCCACTAATCCCATCATAGTCACATGCAAACTTTGCACTGGCAAACAGGCAAACGGATGGGGGGGCGTGATGGAAAAACACACACGCACAAAAATGGAGACAAGTTACTCAAGAGGCAAGGGTTGACGCCACAGATCTTACACCACCCAGCCCGTCCAGATGAAGCCACAAGGTGCCGAAACCCACCGGGAATTAAGTGCCCCGTGGGAGGGAGGGGCAATATGGAGAAAGACAAACATGACAATATGTTTCATCAGCCATCTTAATATTGTGACAATATAGTACGGTTGGACACGAAATAACTACACAATTTCAATTCTGATCACTCCGGACCAGTGATGTGGGTCTAATGTCGAAGAAATAATTGAAGAGCAGGAAGAGTCAGGTTCTTTTTAAAAAGTCTTGGATGTAATGCAGCTTTCAAAAAACATTTAAACACTTGGGCAAAATACCAAGTCTAAGACGATATCTCGTCTTATTGAAAAACACTCACTGCACAAAATGCGTTAGATGATTTAAGAGAAACTATGACGCAAGTAAAAAGAAACAAAAAAACATTTGCAATAGCCTGTCACAGGACTTTATTTTAAAAATGATTGTTGCATTAACCTGCCTTCACTGTCCGTGGCAACGTGGGCCACCTTTCAGTCTTATCCTTTTATTCCAATAATTAAGTTTCCGTCCGACAGTAGAAGTAGAGATGGTAGAAGAGAATTAGTCTGACGCACATAATGTCCTCAGTGGTTACGGCTTGCTTTGAATTGTACATCGAAGCTACTGGGACTTAGTGTAAAAAAAGCACAGACAGGGCAAAGCTTGCTGGTTGCTTTTTGCAAATCGCTCTGGATAAATGGCAAAATGATAAATTGAACTGCAAGTCAAATAGGAGAGCAGATGTGCACCCAGATTCTCCCTGACCCCACACACACACACACCGAATGAAAAAAATATATATCATAGAAGTCCAAAAGTTCAAACAATCTCAGGTTTGTCTTAATGTACGCTTTCACCATGTTGTTCTCACAGTCCTCAAGTATTTACAAACCCTCTGACAGTTTGGAGGGGGGGGGGGCATGCAGACTCTTTTGTTCCACGCAGGAGTTTGTACATGACAATAGCAACAAAAAAACGGAGGCCGTTTGAAGTTCTTTGTGCTGGAAGTCACCAAACGTGCGTGAGCAAAAAACTCCTGAAACTCAATTACACTTCCCAACTGTCCCTGATGTCCTAGAGGCGACGTGACATCGGCTCGGGGCGATCCAGATGTTTATTTAGCCTTTAAGAAAACACCGGTTTGTCGGCTTACAGCGGGAGGTCATCACATGGCCTCCTCGCGGTGTCGTCATTGTTCCGGTGACAGGTCACGTTACGCTGTAACAGCCCAACTGACGATGCGCGCCACACACTTTTTAAAAGTAACTAAAAGTTAGCCGAAAAACAGAAAAACGTTCGAACCGAGCTTGACGTTTTAACAAACATTGCGTGCCACGAAACACGTACGTTACACGTTCAGCCCAAAAAGCACCAAAGACAAAAACGACGCATTCTTAAGAGTCTTTTTGTTGCGCGTCAGTTGGGACGATAAAACCTTCCGACGCGAACACGTTTCTCCCAAAGAGAGTTCGCCTCGCCCCCTCCGAGCCATTTAGTCACGCAAACTCAACCCGAGAGAACCGCCCACGGCCCGAAAACTCTTCCGAACCAAGACCGAGCCTTTGCCAGCTGCGTGGCGTCAACCGAGCAGAGCAGAGCTCAATCGCTGCGGGTCAAAGTGGTGTCTGGGGTTAGCAAGTCGGACTAGCAAGTTAGCTTAGCCCCCCCCCCGCGCGCGCACACACACACACACACCGAGCGCTGTTCTCGGTGTCATTCATCGACATATTTGAGGAGTTGCGCTCACCGGCCGGTCTGCCTCCGTCCCCCGCTCGGTTTAGGTCGCCGTTAACCGTCGATATCCGCGACGACAGCCTCCCTCCATTGCAGGTCGGACGCGGGGCGAAGTTGTCGCTGCGCGGCGGCCGCTGTGATCGCAGAGCGAGTCGGTGCCTCCTCCCTCCTCCTCCCGCAGGAAAACCCCAAAACTTCACGCGATATTGATGCGATGCGTGGCTGCTCCACCAGTTGTTATCAGGAGCGGTGCCGGTTAGCGGCTTTTATCGGGTCTAATGTCCGGGTTCAAGGGTGGGATTTAAACCTGATTTTTTTTTTTTTTTTTCAAAAGACAACGTCCATACGCGGTCCTCCCGCGAGGAGCTGGGACATTTATAGTGGGAACTTTTATTTATAAGGCTCATTATCCGGAAGGGGAAAAAAAGAACATTAACAAAGTGGTCAAACGACGCTTTAGGTCTCGAGCCTCGATAAAGCAACATGTTTCAGAACAGGACAAAAAAAGAACAGAAAACATTTAACATTTAAGACAAGAGATTGTGACAATGCTTTACTTTTTCTTATGTAATTTAGTCTTTGTTGTGCTGGAAATTAATATATTTTCTTCCGCTCAATACCTACTTTCTTTCTCCTTTTACTACTTACTACAATTCAGAGACAAATATGGTCGTTTTTTACTCCACATTTAGGTTGCATTAGTCACTAGACACATGTTTACTAATTAACAAATTAGGATGTGACATATCTGCATTTAAATTCCACTTTCGTCAATCTGGCACTGATCCCTTTTAACTTCGTTAATTTAAAAAGTGAAAAGACTTCCTTGTAAATTAGTGTTTATGTTACAGGGTGCAACATCTTGTCGGAAAAAGAGTCTTCCACCTCTGATCACAATCACATACTCGCTTTGCCAATAATTGATACAAGCCAAATGTTGATATTGTGTAAACACATGACAATCGCAATAAATACCAGTGCAATGACTTTGATCTTCATCAGAGCAAAATGACTGTCCAGCCACATCTGTGCCAGCTGTTTCACGAGAGGCCTTCAGACGCTCAAACCAGCAAAGGCTGCTTTGGTTGCAGCCTTTTGGCAACAACTGTTCCCCGGAAAGAACTTTTGGTCAGAACCACACGCCGGACCAGATCTTTGTCAACATGTCCCACTGGCCAGTACTGGCACCCCTGCCCTCGGCAACTACTACTTTGACCTGGTGACCCAACGGCTTCCTGCCAGAGACTAAGTGAAACACAGGTGATCACCACAGTTGTTGCTTTACATCAAGTCAACGGGTCGCCTTGGAGCTTCTGTTCAGATGAATCACTTTCATATAATGTCATTAATAACTTCAAGTTATTGTACTTCAGTCAAATCGATTCTTCGAGGGCTTTTGGGCCTTGAAGGGATTGTTGGGATCTTCTGAAGAGGGGGGGGGGGAGTGGAATGGCAGATCGGCACGGCCCCCCGGTTTGAGGAATCATACATGGGTACAGCCGGCGCTGTATTTTATACCATTTTAAGTGAATGCTAAGATCATGTTCACTGTTTCTCCATAACAATCGGGAACTAAAATATTTATATCCGTCTGTGCGCTCTTAAAAGCCACCAGACTCCTCTGACAAGTCACTTGACTCCGCGGAGCAGACGATGCCAGCTCTCCTTCTCCGCTTGGTTTACTTGTGTTACTTCGGTAAAACCACCCTTCGGAAATGGCTCTCTGACATGGAGATACAATCAAAGAAAGTAATTTTTCCACCACCTACTGTAGACCTACAGATAAGTACCTCATATGACCCCACTTCAAAATATCCACGTGGGTCCATAACATTGGTTGACACAGGTCACATTTGCTTCTCAGACGATGATAAAATGTAACCCCCCCCAGTGGCACAAAGAGAGAGCTGTAACCTCCGGCTGTGCGGTTTCAACTCATGGGTGGACTTAAAACAAGAGAGGAAGATAGGGAGGACGGGGCGGAGCCACTCGGCTGGGTGAACTGTGTCAACGGCAAACGCTGCACGCCGACAGGAGCACCTCCACAGAAAAGTACATTTTCCTCAGGAATGGCCACCGCTGTCTCTCGGCCCTTAATACAACCAGCCTTTAAATGAATCTTGAGCAAGTTTGTTTGAATGGGATACCTGCAGATAGCATGTTAAGAGTGTGTGTGCGCGTGTGAGGCATGTTTCATATTTGGTAAAGAAAACATCAGGCTTACTTTATTCATGAAAAAGTTGTCAATTGCACCCTTAAGGGGCAACTACTGAACAATGCAGAAGTAGTGTTGATAACAAAGGACAAGCATTATTAGACTACACACAAACACTTGTTGCACGTCTACTTAAAATATTTAACAGACAAGATGTTTTCTTAAAATTAGAAGCCTTGTTTTAAAAAAAGGGGAAAAAAAACACCATTTATTATTCTTTATGGAAAACATCTAATAGATTTTTTTGTCATGTCTTTTTAAGTGAGTACACATAGATAAAAACGGTCTATCCTTGCTGCAGTCAGGGCCAGATATTGTTAGGAGCCAATAGAGTGCCTGCACAAAAAGCACTCCCTCACAAAGCAGTGTGTGTTCCATTAGCAGACGGGTCTGATCTGTCGTTGGGCCTCGTGTTGCAGTGGGGGGAATTAATCCCAAAATCAATGCCAGTGTCGGGGACCACAAATGCTCATACGACACACTGTAGATAGTCACACAAACGTAAATGGATAACAAAAAGGTGTGTCTGGGCATTTTATTTAATATTTCAGCCTCAAGAAGCATTCTTTCTCTACTTGTAGAACTCATGCTCCTGCTCGTCCTTTTTGATGACAGTCTTGTAAGCTTTTTCGAAGTCTTTGGCCAGGACGATATACCTGTTCTCACGCACTGCCAACATGCCAGCCTGAGACAGCAGGGGAGGAAATAAACAAAAATCAAATATATATTTATCTATTCTAACAAAGTAAAAGATTTCATTTTAATTTTGCACTCATCTGATGAATAAAGCTCCATCTCACCTCTTGGCAGATAGAGTTGATATCGGCTCCAGAGATCTTGTCTGGTCTGGCAACATCTGTGCATCAGTTAAGGCCAAACGCTCCATCAATGCCAAAATAAGCTGTATTTACAAAAACAATATGGGAATGATGATGGCACATACACAATGATACAAACCACCCCACTAAACGCTGTTGAACCAAAGGATACAGTCCTCCAGGTCGACCTCCTCGGACAGATTCATTTTACTGGTGATTGTGGTGAAAACGAGACGTTTCTGCCTGCGGTCGGGCAGGGGGAACTCGATCTTTCTGTCCAGACGACCAGGACGTAGCAGAGCCGGGTCCAGCGTGTCTGCTCTGTTGGTGGCCATGATCACCTACAGATACAACACAGCATCAAACACTGCCTTCAGCGCTTGGTTAAGCTAAGAATTAATGGAGTGAGTGCAAAGCTCAAATACCATCTAACGCTTTCCATGACAGCTGGACTAAGCTCACCTTTACGTTGACGTTTTGGTCAAAGCCGTCCATTTGATTTAGCAGCTCAAGTAAGATTCTCTGCACCTCCCTATCGGCTGCAGAAAGAAACAAGTGGATTTTGTTTGTTTGTTTGCATTATCTGAATCTTGACCCCAGTAATGAAAAACAAGCGTGCCATTTATCCCTCATAAAAACACCCAGCGAACAAAAGGTAGCTTTGTATCCATGAAGTCTGCGTGTGAGTCACACGTGTCCGTACCTCCAGTCTGTGCATCGAAACGCTTCGTGGCGATGGCGTCGATCTCATCGATGAAGATGATGGCGGGGGCATTTTCCTTCGCCAGCCGGAAGACGTCACGCACCATCCGAGGGCCTTCACCCAGATACTTCTGAACAAACTCGGAGCCAACCACACGGATGAACGCCGCTGGGGACAGAGTTCATTTTTGATTCATTGTGGATTGTCCTCATCAGTATTCCATAACAAGGACAGTGTCTCTGTCGTTATACATGCTTTTGGTTTACTTTGACAGAAAACATGATGGGTGTTTCAGAGGTTTACAGCTTCGGGGTGGCGGGTGCAAATGGATCGACTACTTACCCGTAGTGTGGTGAGCAACAGCCTTAGCCAACATGGTCTTACCACAACCAGGAGGTCCGTACATAAGGACACCCCTGGGTGGGTCAATGCCAATCTGAGAAAACAAATAGGCAATGTTAATATGGATTTCACTTACTCAAAGAAGTTTAACTGTAAAAACCAACGTGATCTCCAAAACCTGTTCGTAAAAATGTATACGAAAATCTTGAACATACAAATTCGTAACAATACATACGAACTGGCGGTGGTTAACCACGCCCCTTGAGTGAACAACATGGCGGACCATGTTGGGTTCTTGAGTGAACGTCGGGGGGGTTTTGAGGGGGTTAGGGTTAGTATTCTATTCTTACAATTTAACATTGATTTCTCGTTAAAAATGCAATCATAACACATTTATTTTACATCGTTAGACTTCACGAAATGTGTTTACGGGGTGCAGGTCCCCATTCACTTTGAATAGGGTGACGTCATCAGTTGCAGTCCATATTTATTTAGTATGTATCACTACGAATTTGTATGTTCAAGACATTTTTCCGAACAGGTTTTGGAGATCAGGCTGGTAAAAACGTGTGACTATCTGACCTGTTTGTAAAGCTCAAAGTGTGTCAATGGCAGCTCGACAGCTTCTCGAACTTCCTGTTTCTGGATGTCCATACCACCGATGTCGGCATACATCACATCTGGCTTTTGGTCTGGAAGCACGGCAAGAAGGAAAGTTATGTTTGCGATTCAAACAGTTGACTTCATACAAGATACACAACCTCTTCCATACAAAAAGGTGCATTGTCTACCATTTAGTGTTGTGTTTAGATTGTAGTAGACCTTAAATGCTGACGCTTATTTGTGTTACATGTGGCTACAGAGTACGAATCGCACCTTTAGCAGCTTCAAGAATATTACATCGATCTATTTTTAAGAATTTAGCAATTTTGACGGCTGATAGTAAAATCTTCTGTAACACGGGAGGATAATCTCCATCAGACAACAGTAATCTTTGTTGAAGAGCAATTAAACTGAACCAGAAAACCTCTGGGAGAAAGTTACCCGACGTCAGCATCATGATGCTGCTGTCGGCTTCAGGGGGGAGCACATCCACCAGAGCGTTGCTGTGCTTGTGCAAAGCCACTGAGGCGTTGGGCTTCAGCAGCTCTCTGTCGATGGTGCTCAGGATGCGGACAT